TTACTTCTCTAATAGAACCAATTTTCAAAAGCTTATCAACTTCGTCATTGACCGCTTGAGCTCGGTCAGGACCAAGTTTTCTTCTTTTTTGCTTTATTGGTTTAAAACTGGGATCGACGTTTAAATCATGGGTAATGATACTTTTGTCGATTCCAGGCATATCTTTCGTCGACCAGGCAAAAGTATGTTTATTTTCTTTTAGAAATGTTACCAATTGATCTTTGATTTCTGAATCTAAAGTAGCACCGATTTTTACTTTTCGATCTGGAAATTCGGAATCAATTTCAATTTCTGTGGTAACTTCATTCGAACTGAGACCACTTGGGTAACGCGAGGTGCTTTCTTGCTTAGAATTTATCATTAATTGCTATTTAAGCTTTAAACGATGTCCCATGAGGTAGCAAGATCGTGACGTTTCCTGATCTCCTCGAATGGTTCCGATTCCACCAGGAGTCGGAAATTTCACACATTGGTGATAAGTTGAAGGTATAGCCTTCATTTGGTATATCCACGGAGTTCCGAGAATTATGTTGTAAGCGGCCGGTCGGTCGAAAACAATAAATTCTACAATTTTTGGAACCCCGGCGGCGAGCACTGGTAGTTTTATGTTTCCTAAGGACATAGATGTGTCACTCGTGAAAGCTACTAATGGTGCTGGTGAACCGATAATGTCGGCTTTACTAATTCCCATTCTTTGCAAAGTGCTTAGAAATATGAGATCTACCGAGCTTCCAGTATCAATTAGACACCTTGTCACTTCGAAATTCGCAACATCTAAAGTTATCACAAGAGCATCGTCATGAGGTCCTGCTAATCCTTGACTGTCCGAATTGTCGAAGGAGATAGAAGGTATTTGTTCATTTGACTGAAAACCCACCGCGGTTTGAATTGCTGCTGATTTCTTGTGCCTTTTGATCGATCTGATAGAATCTCGGCATAATTTGGATCCTCCCATTATAACATCGATCCTTTTCTTAGGAGTGTTCGGAGTTCCGGGCCCATTGGGCTTATGTTTCTTTTCAGGAGGATTAGAAGCTTCGGAATCTTCTTTTTCTTTGTGATAAGATTCCACAAATTCCTCGATATTGAAATTAGCGAGCTCTCCAGCTGCCCACAGTTCGGTGAGGTGCTTTTTGAGTACGCTGCAATCTTTGGTGGAGTGCCCGTTTACTTTGTGAATATCGCAATAGGCACTTTCATCTCTTAGCCAAGTATTAGGAGGATTGTATCTTCCTCTGCTTGGGGAGGGTTTCCCTACAGCATTAGTAGCAGGATTAACTCCGAACCATTTTTGATCTTTTGGTTCGAACTTTTTAGTTGGATTCGCAACGACTAATTTAGCTGGCCGATGCTTTTTAGCGAGGCTAAGCTTTTCTTCTTCTGCCTCCATCCAATTTGTAGCTCTGAATAAAGCATCTTGGATGGTACTTGGACGATTGACGATGATTTCTTCTCGAAATCGGGATTCATGCAAGAGTCCGTTCCTTAAAGCAGAAAGGGCAGCAGCGTGCGATACCCCAGGAATTTTGGCTATCACTTCTTTGAATTTAGCGATATATTTGCGAAGTGGTTCATTCTGACCTTGGGTTAAATTCCAAAGATCCGCATCAGTAGTTGCCTTTTCCATGAACATGGAATATTGTTTTAGGAATGCAGAGGACAATTCCTTAAAACTATCAATAGTTTCTGGTTCTAACTGAGTGAACTATAACAGAGCCGGTCCGGAAAGATTCTCGGAAAATAGTTTGCAAAATCCGGCATCTTCCTCGCCTGGTTCTAGATAAATTCTGCCTGCGGCGATCTGAAAAGCAACGAGGTGATTTTTAGGATCTCCTTTACCATCATAAGTTGGTAACTTAACCTTTCGAGAATCTCTTATCCGAAGGTTCGAGATTCTCGAGGTAAAGGGTGTTCGACGAGTTTCTTCGATTACTCGATCGATCTCAGGCGCCGAACTGGTCGCCTGATGAAATTTCGACTTCATTTCATTAAGCTCTTGACGAACTTTGATGAAATCGTCTGATAGGGTGACATCAGGATCTTCCATAAGGAATCCGTCGTCAATAGGAAGATTTCCCTGATCCTGGGGAATTTCTTCCCCAGTTGAGTTAGTCGCTTTCCCTACGGCTGCCTGATTGCTAGTATTAGCAGGCTGGCCTACTGCGCGTTTGACAAATTTGTCTGGGTGGTTTGAACACTCGTTAAGGTTTGCTCGATTGAGTTCAACCTTTCACTAAAAGTGGTATTGGCACCAACAAGTGTACCCATCTGATTGGTCAGATCGGTGGTTTTCTGAGTAAGCAAAGCAATCGCATCGCTCAATGCTTGCTGATCAGCCATAGTTTCTTGGTTGGGAAAAAAGGATTTTGAGGTAAAAGAGTTTTGTGGCAACTCCCCACAGGCGGCGCCAAAATGTGGATGTAGGATTCACACTCAATTATCTTTAAGTATTTCAGTGAAGAAAAACTCTTGTAAAATCAGAAAATGAATATGAGAATTCGAAAAGGAAATCAGCCAAGAAAAGAAGTAAAGAAATTTGACAAGAACGAAGTACAAAATGCCTTGCGAAAGTAAAAGAGAGAAAAATATATTGTATTGCTTAGAAGTAATGAGTAATAATATTCGTTCCTTTCAAACACATGCGTTTGAGGTTGTTTTTATAGAGAAAATATGATCAATGCGGTCATTTACTGCTCATATTCGCATTGATCCGCATTAATCATGTAAGTTACAATTTGACCGAAACGGCTTGAATTCGAACTATCTTGGGCTTCGCGTGGATCTTCCGAACTTTTTCTTGTTGACTCCGAACTCCCGCGTCTTGACGCTACCGCGAGCCTCGAACAATATTCTCCTCGCTTCGGCCTTTCTCTATGTGAACTTTATATTGAATAAGAGCGAACTCCATACTGGCAAAGATAGAGCTCTTTAATAAACTGAATCGAACTCCCAACTAGTCAAGTTCAATAAAACATCTAGAAATCCAAGAGGATTATTATGTAATAATGACGTGGACAGATCCAAGTGGATCCTACCAAAAATGTGTGGGATCCGACCCCAACAAACGATAGCTCCGGACATCGTGACGACGCAAGAGACTTGCGGCAACGAGAAGAAGAAAGTAGTAGAGAGAGATGCAGTGGTCAAGCTATTGACTGTGGCAAGTTGAAAAAATTAGGTTAAAAAAGCTACTCTTATACCAAGAAATCATCATATATATGAAAGGAGGTGAACTCTCTCCATCCTTCCACCACGTCAGCATTTTAGGCTCTTCTGGAGATGACATATCAGCTTTCTATTATTCCAATCAAAATATTCATTAATATGACTCAGCTTTCAAATTTACACATCAGCTTCTAATTATAAGTGTCAAACTAGATTTTAATCCGCGGTACACCGCGGGATGATTTATTTTTTAAAGTTAGTATATATAAAATTTTATAAATTGTATCTCCTTATAAAATATTTATGTTTTATAGTTTATAATTATTATCAAGTAAAGGTATATCACGAGTTCATGGAACAATAATAAACTGAGGATTTAACTCGTATTAAAGCGGAATGTAATGATATTTTAAAATTTTATAAATATTGATTCAAACCCGTCCGAAATGTAACCCGTCCCATAATTTATTAACCCGTCCCGGGATTTGTTTTCTAAAAATAGTGATTTTAAAATTTAATGATTTTCTATTATATATAAAGTTTATAAATTGTATCATTCTCTAAGACATTTATATTTCTGTATCAAAGCGACATGTTAATGATATTTTAAAATTTTTATAAATGTTGATTCAAACTCGTCCACCATATAACCCTCCTGTAATTTCTTAACCCGTCCCGTAATTTGTTTTCTAGAAGTAGTAATTTTAAAAACTTTAACGATTATTTATTATAGATAAAAGTTTGTAAATTGTATCATTTTCAAAGACATTTATATTTTATAGTTTACAATTGTTATTAAGTAACATTATACCACAGGACAATTTTTGATTTTATACAATCTTTTCTAAATGAGACTGATTTGATATGTCTAATATTGGTGGTATTAAAAAAAAATTAAGGATTTAATCCGTATTGAAGCGGTGGATTAATGATATTTTAATCATTTTATTATTGCTGATTCAAAAACCCGTCTCGCCAAACCCGTCCAGCTAAAAAACTCATTTATTTTATTAATGTTGATCTTATTTTTGATATGATTCTGAATCATTGTCTAAATATTTTAATCGATGTAGAACGATGAACACACATTTTCGTCAATTGGATAATATATGTCCGTTTTTAAAATTTTGAATCACAGTATATGCAGAAAAAAAAATTGATTTTTATTTTTACTTTATGTATTATATGATGATTCAAAACAGTTAAAAACAAATCAAACAAAGATGATAGGAGAATCATAATTCTAAATTTTAATCAAATCTTCTAAATATCTAAATTATTAAATATGGAATATCCGGTGTATGAGTTGGGTTAAATATAATCCGACCCAACAAACTTTTTATGACCAAAATTTAGAAACGGGTCGGGTATCCAAATAATCCGGGAGCATTTTTACCCAACCGTCACCAAAATGACTGCAAAAATACTAGTATAGATGGGGTAAACTGAATAGCCCATGACGAATGGCCGATATGAGTTTAAAAATCTATTAAGAGTGCAATATTAATGGGTGGAGCCCATTTCATTGATGGGTTAATGCTTCTATACCCAACATTTTAACAGAATAAATCTCTCCCACTCTCTACTCGATCGTTCAATCTAAAAAAAGAAGAATCTCAAGGCAAATTTCTCGGCTTTGTAAATTTCTTCGCTTCTCAATCATATTTCTTTCCAGTCTTCATAGTCTCCTTCTCAATCATATTTCTTCGCTTCTCAATCATATTTCGGTCGGTCTGGTTTACGTTTAACTAGTAAATTCAATTGAGGAAAGATACTTAATACGGTGTTTGAACATAATCAATCTTCCTGAGAAAGAATCTGAGTATAACTGATGCAAAAAAAAATCCGACGATTCTTTGTGTCGACGATATCAAATTTGATCTGAGACTCAAATTCCCGTGATAACGCGAGGAAGATGGATGATGAATTGTTGGAATTGCAGCGTCAGTTCGAGTTTGCTCAACAGGTGAAGTCAAGCGTGAGATTATCGGATCGGAATGTTGTCGAATTGGTTATGAAGCTTCAGGAGCTTTGCGTTATAGACTTCGATCTGCTTCATACTGTCACCGGAAAAGAATTCATCACTCAGGTACTGATTCTATTTCGTTTCCGGTGTGAATTTAGACTCCAGAAGAATCAACACTGGGTTTTAAAATTTTGGTATCATGATTTCAGTAATGTGTTAATGGAGTGAAAATATGATAACTCTGCTTGTTGCATGAGGAATTTAATTGGAAATAGAAGTGAAATTGTTTGACCGAGTTTTTGCTGAACATTGGGAAGGTTTTGGTGGATTTTTTTTTGTAACTGTTCCTCTTGATTTGTTACAGGATCAATTGAGGAATGAAATTACTCGTGAGATTTGTAAATTGTGACGTGTCTCCGTTATTGATCTAGCAGATACGATTGGGGTTGATTTGTATCATGTGGAGAAGCAAGCACAAGATGTGGTGTTGAATGATCCAGGGTTAATGTTGGTTCAGGGAGAAATAATATCACAAAATTACTGGGATTCGATTGCAGAAGAAATTAATGAGAGGCTTCAAGAATGCAGCCAAATTGCTGTGGCTGAACTTGCTGGTCAGTTACAGGTTGGCTATGATTTGGTGCAATCGGTTTTGGAGCCTCGACTTAGAACTTTGGTAATTCTGCTTCTCCTCGGAGCTTTCCAGATTGTGTTTGAGTGAATGTTGAACTTTTATTTGTGTGGATTTTTTTAAATGTTTCAATCTTTTTTAGGTGAAAGCAAGGCTAGAAGGTGGATTACAAGGTAGAAAACGTTTGTTCTAATTTCAATTGTTACATATGGTTTCTAGGGTTTTCTGTCGTCATTCCTATGGGGCAGTATCCGTTTATTTTCACTGTGACTCTTGAGTCGATCACCGTCGATTCTTTAATCTAATTCTCTCTTTCGGTGGTTTCTGCTACAGCGGTGATTGGTCGTTCTGGTGAAGCAAAACAGACATGTCGAAGCAGGTCATGCATTGAAAAGGCTGATGTGTTAGGGTATCAAACCAAACGAGTTCACTTTTGGCACGGTCATTGGGTCTTCTACATCTTTGAGAGATGTCAAATTGGGTAAGCAGCTACATTGTTATGCGTTAAAGATTGGACTTGCGTCGAATGTGTTTGTGGGTAGCCAATCTTTTCATGTATTTGTAGGAATCAATAACTTAGCCCTGCAGAGATTAGTGACAAAATTTAAAATTCGTTTTTATTTTTTAAATAATTTTAAAATAGATTTTATGATAATATTTACATTTCTATACATAAGTATTTTCTATATTTTTATTATATATTTATGTATAAAAAAACTTTTATCAAAACTTTAATTTAAATGAATTTTATGACTTGGTTTTAAATTAGTATTTCTTAAATAAACAAATAAATGCTTTCAAGTGAAATTTCTATTATTTTTTAAATAAATATTTGAATTTATTCTATATTTTATTTTAAATTTATATAGAACATTAATTTTAAATAAAATATATAATTTTTTAATAATTATGATGTTAAATATTTATTCAATTTTTCGGTTACCATTTACCATAATTATTTATTCAATTTTTATATTCCTTTTGGTTCCTGGTTTTGGTCATTTTCCTTTCCTTTATGTTATTTTCATTCTTTTTTTTCTTATTCCTATTGTTCTTTTTTTGGTCACCAATCGGATTAGAGAAAAAGGACAACACTACTAGGATGCAACAGTTGTGTTACGCCTAATGAGGAAGGAATTCTTAGGTACGCTATAATTTTATAATAGCTTTATTTTATAAATTTTAAACAAAATGAATTAAAGATTAAACAATTTGAATTATTATTTTTTTAAAAATACTATTATATACAACTAATTCATAAGTACCGAGTGGGGCTTGATGTTCATGATGGACAACATGGTGCGACATTTGTGATTTAGACAAAGAAATGAGAAAACTTACAAACAAAACGGCAACCACAATTATGGAAGAGAAGGTAAATAAAATCTTAGAAAACTAATTTTCCAAAAAATTGCAAATTGGGGATGTGCCTTTAGTCAAGTGGTTAAGTCCACTTGACTCCGCCTTCTCCACCGGAGTTCGACTCCAATAAGTCGCGTTACCCCGCGTAGTAGGGATTGACTATGGATCGGGCCTTGTCGATCTAAAGATGTCAAAAAAAAATTGCAAATTATACTCATTTATTAATAACAATTAAACCAAAAAATTTAACATTTTTTGTAGGCCAACAAAGGTAACAACAATATCTTACCAACATGTTTAAGTGATCTTGCTGGCAAACATTATTCTGTTTCCAAATAAGAGTATCTCCTCTCAACTATACCCCCAGGAATTGGAATTTCATGGTGTCAAACATAAGTTATAAGGACTTCCACGAGGTAAATAGAAAATACAAGAATTTTTAAAATAATTTATAAAAACATATATAACAAAAAATATTCATTCTAGGGCTGAAGCACATTTGAGGAACTAAAGACCAACAAGAACCCGACAACAACTTCGACCATCAATTAAAGTGGAGGGAAAAAAAATGGAGACCAAGAGAAAATGGAGTTTAAACAACATTTCTCTTATCAATAATTCAATACAACTGTGGATGTGGTCATATTGAGCCAATCATTTTGTTTTTTATTCAAGTTTAAATTTTGAGGATATTTTCTTTTCTTTTTCATTAAATAAATTGTTATAACAAAAACAAAAAAAAATTAATTTCAATAAGGGGTGTTAAACTTCAAAAAATATTACAAATTGTATAATTATTATACTAAAATAATAATAAAAATAATATTAAACTTCATCTTAAAAGCTGGATGAGAAAAACAATAAAAAATATATATATACATTAGTCTTAAACATGCTAGGATCTACAAATATTAATAATAAATAAAATTATAAATAAATAAATACCAAAACATGATTTTAAAACATAACATTCAGAAATCTATTAATATACATATAAATTTACATAAATTAAAAAAATTATAAAAACAAAATTAAAAAACAAAATTCCTTGCGTAGCGCGGACACTCACCTAGTATATATGAAAGTTAGCTAACTCTTTCCATATGAGTTACACATCATCACACAAGAAAATTACATATGTCATTCTACATTATTTAAAAAAAATTAGCAAAATTAAATGAGAAAAAAAATTAAAGTTCTTCATTGCATTAAATCCTCCATCAATCCTGCACTTAAAGGATTTCTTCAAAATAAAATAAAAAAAATGAAAAAAATTATGTTAATGAATCAAGCACTGCTTTCGTTCTATTTTTCTTATTTAACTATTTTTTTAATAATGGTCAATGGTCATTACTCGATAATGACTAAAAATTTATTTGTGTTGTATTTTAGGTTTTTGCTACCTAACCTCTTATTCGTTTAGTAATTTTACCTTGAATCTTTTCTCATTATTGTGTTTTGTGGTTCATAAATGACTTATTATATGTTTTATCTCTTTTAATTTATCTGCCTTATGGTAAGTTGGTAACATTGACATGCAAGTTTTTTCAAGTAATAGGCATTTGAAACGTTAGACATAACGCAAAATTCAAGACACGACCATTTCTTTTATATGGCTATATGCAATGGTAGAAGATGTAAAAGTGTTGACTAAAATGACTCTTTAATTTTTGCTTTTCTTTTTTATTTTCATATGAAAACTCTCAAGCTCTTGTTCAAATTATGTCAATCCAGTGTTTATGCCTAACATTATGTGGTTGGAGTAAAGAGAGTACATAGAGCAAAAAAAAAATAATTTATCATCAAGTTAGGCAAGTATTAAACCACACAACTAACATAGTTACATACCATCGTATCAAAATATCAAATATTGTGAAAAAAACTAGGATCTTTAGATACAAAAATAAACAGATTTATACACGAAAATTAATATTTTGAATTAAAAATAAATCTAACTATAACAATTATAACTACAAAAGATCGGTATAATTTAATTAACTACACAATAACAAACAAAATATAAACATAAATTAGCAACAAAAACAATCAATATTATTTTTTCTTAACAATTTACAAACAAACTCATGCGTAACGTGGGTATTCATCTAGTATTTGGTAAAATGTGCTTTAGGGCTTGATTGGTTCTAGCACCCGCCTAGCGGTTGTTAGCGGTCGGTTACGGTTGTTAGCGATTGGTACCAATTACAAAAACCGCTCGAAATCGCTGGATTTCAAAAGCTCCTTCCCGCAAGCGTTTGCGGTTGCGGACGGTTGCAGTTGGTTTAAAAAAGGAAAGAAACTAATAAAAGACATTAGATAGATTAAAATATATTATCAAGTCTTATATATATTCACGTTAATTCTAAAAGAATAATTATTATCTAACTTTAATTTTTCAATATTAGTAATAATTTTTGTTTTCAATATAAAATTTCTTTGAATAATTAGTTATGGTTTTTAATCATTAATCATGTTTAAAAATTTAATACTTTTCATAATTATAGTTTTTGGTGTTTTTATACTTTTTACAATCATATATTAAACTTATTTTGGTAAATTTTGGTTGAACCACTATTGTACCTGCTGATCAACCAGTCATAAATCTCCCGTAAATGCAAACATTTTAAACCGCTAAACCAGTCAGTTAAAACACTAAATAACGTTTAAAACCACAGTCGCCTGCTTTCGCAAACTCCCATAACCGTAACCGCAACTGCTGCGTTTAAACCAGTAAAGCCTCTGTTCATTTTCATAACGTAAGTATTTAATTTTATACACAAAATCTAAAGGCTTTTTCTTGTACATAAGATAAGACTAAATATATATGAGATATACATATGGAGATCCATTAAAGCCCATTAGATTATGTTTTAGTTTTATTCTTGCGTAACCAACCCGAACTTTACCGGATAAGTATTTGGATACTCAGATGTCGAGGCCTACCGGCATGCACTATGTTTAAACCGATCGAGCCCTAAATGAATGACATGTATTGTGGTCAAAGATGAGTTAGTGAGAGAGACACAGTCAACGGTTCAACAAAACGGACCTTCATCTTCAACAATTACTCAAATCTAAAAAGGGACGATCTTTCGAAAGAGGTAACCTTCTCTCTATCTCCCCCTTGTCAGTTTCTTCGAATAGGGTTCTCTTTTCCGCGTTAGGGATTCAATTCCGTATCTGGGTTTTTGAATTCTGACTTGGATTCATCTGATTTCGTTGAAAATTCTCCATCTTTGGGTTTCGTTGATTCTAGGATTTCGAAAAGATATCATTTTTGGTTGTTGCAGATAATGGTGAAAGCAGTGGTTGGTGAAGATACTAGACTTACTTCTGTTGAAGATCGTCTCTCTCACTCAGCTATTCCTGCTGAGGTAATGCTTAGTTTTATGTTATTGTTAATGCATGTTGTCTCTGTTTTGAGATTGTGATGTGATTTTGCATTTATTTGAGCATAGGTGGGTCTTGTGATAGGGAAGCTTAGCTCTGTTCTGGATCGTGGATTTGTGTTTGATTTGATTCCCACACCGAGTAACGATGATGGAGAACCAGCTTGCTCGGTTTTGGAGACCAAAGATGTTAAAAGGAAGCCATCTAAGTCAATCTGAGTCGTCTTCTTTATCGATTGATTCCGATTGGGTTGCAGAACATGCCCGACAGGTTTTTCGATTAGTCGATACTATTGTTTTGCTGGTTGTGATGAATGTGTATGGTTAAATGATGATTGGCATTGTAATGGATGATCAGGTATCGAGAATGTTGTTGGGTGGGATGACGGTTGGTGGTATCTATGTATGGGCTAGTGACACTTCTTTTAAGAATTCTACAATGATTCTTTGCCAGGTAACTTTGTGGGAGATTAGTTTTGCTCCTGTAGTTTTAATCGAGATCGTTCTGATAAGAGACTTCTTTCGATAGTGTCTTAGTTTTTTCTTATAAACCAGTATATTATATGGGTTAATGAGTATGCTATTGAAACTCTCCTACATGTGGATGGATCTAAGTTATGGTAACCTTTATCAGGCTATAAAAGCAGTTTCGGATGCAATACGACATTTGGATCCTAGCTTGAATGAAGCTCTTCTTATTCACATATGTTACAGTCCGAGGAGGTATTCCACCTTTCAAGGATTTAGTTTCTAGAAGTTTGGTGAACTGTTACGTACTTAAAGTAAATATGACGAAATGTTTGTAGATGGAATTGCCGAACTTGTTTGTTGAGCTCAAGTATTACATCAAGTAGTCTTCGACCTTGTGACTTTAAGCTAGGAAAGGTATTAAGTTCTCTACAGAGGTTTAGGTGCAGCTACAGCTTTAATTTCAGGTATGTCATTGCATTTTGATTTAGATTTTAGATTTAGATTCAACCTTAACCTATATTCATGTTTAGGAATTAGTACACAAGAAAAAAAAAAGTTTATTTAATCAGCATTCAGGCACGTTCATATGAGTCTTCTGAATTGCAGTATCTATGAATATACATATATAAATACCGGAACTCTTCTTCTTCTTTTTTTTCTGTATTTTTTCCTGACCTCATTGTTTTAATTTTTTTCTTCACTTTTACACACATAGATTACCAATTTACGGTGAGGGTGGGTCAAGTGCACAAACATTTACGGATACCCTCCGTAAAGAACTTGCAGTTCATGCAAAAGAGCTGAATAGTGCAAATGCAATGATTGATGGAGACTTGGTGAGGAGACAGTAATCCCTCTGCTTTTTAATATGTTTCTGTGTTAATTGTTAAATATTACTGGATGTTGAATTCTTGAATCGTTTTGGAGCATGCAAATCTTGAGGTTTCAAGTGATTTAATCGAAACGATCATGCAGTTAAGTTATCCTTGTGAATGGCGTCTGTCTGTCATACATCAAACATTGCTATAGTCTATTTGAATATAGTTTCTTTGTAGGCATTGCTGTGTTGCTAAAATTATGGTGACTGCATAAGGGATGATATATTGGCTGGACATAACCGGCTCTTGTTTGTAACTTCTTCTTAACTTTTGTTGGACTAAAGGTGCATAACGACGAGCCTTGTACCACGGATGGCGAACATGAAATCGAATTGTTATTTCCATTCATGAAAGATAGTCGGGCTGAGGGTATGTTTTTCTCACTCTAATTTAGCCACACTGATTTGGTTTGCTATTGGACATGTCTTCGGATGATTGTATCTAATATTACGGTGTAATGTTGAGCAGCATCAACTGCAAAGAATGTTACTGGAATTCTACTCTTCAGTGGTTCTGTATTCTCTTACGCCTATTTGAACGTGAAAGAACCAGTTTCACAAGCTATTGCTGATATTAAGGTACTGCAACAATGTATCATCTCTGTTTCTTATGTTCTTATTTACTTAAATATGAGTTCGTGCCAGTTCTATTGGACTTATTGAATTAAATTTTTTTGTTGATGGTGGTATATTTCTTTTCAGGCTGACATTTTTAGGAGTCTGCAAAGTAGACTGGACATTATCTGTGATGAGTCCGAGCAGGATCTCAATCCAACTGATGTTGGTGACAATGATGATGCAGATGAGATGTCGAAAATTCCCATTTCCAAACTCATCCTCAATTCATCTAAGTGAGTCAGTTGCTAAACATAACGGTTTTTGAATGTCTGGTTATCCTTAATGTTTACTGATAAAACTCGAAATAACTTAACGTCTCAATGTTTGTAAACAGAAAAGCATGTCATCTCCGTCTTCCCAGGAGAGTTCTTGTTCCGTGGCTGGCGGGTATGTACATCTGCGATTATCTACAGCCATTCGAATCACTCGAGGTATATAAGCAACCTGCAATGTCTCAAATTCATTACGCTTTGTGAACTCTTCTTCCAAATATTAATACTCATTTTGTTTTCTGAAAAGGTGGTAAAAGAACGGTGTACTGAGTTAATGTCCATGGAACATTCTTCTATCGACGCATCAAAGATATCAGAAGTGGAAACCGAAACATCTTTATTGATCGCAGAATCAATGTGGGACGTGATATCTCCTGCGACTTCTGCTTCCAGCTTTTACCTAGGAGGGAATGTGGAAAGAACAAGGGGTGAAGACGAAAACAAGAGACCGAGTAACGCAAGTACTACATCTAATGTCCCGATTTTGGTCGGGGTTTTCGTGCTTTTACTCTCGATTGTATTAGGATTCATGCTTTACCAGAGCGATTAGCAAATATTAACAGTCTCTGTTTAGACCAAACCACAAATGAACTTATTTTTGTTTCCCGCATTAGAGTTATAGAGAGAGACCTTTCTTCTTATTGGAGAAACTATACAAAACCTTACCTCTTTTTTCGAGGATACCTTGAATCAATTTTAGTATGCACTTTTTTGGAGTTTACAATTGAGCTTCAATCTCAAGGATCTTTTATGCAATATTGTTGACATGTTTAGGTGAATAATATAAATATTTACAATGGAGCGTCAATAATAAATGGGGATGTAGCTCAGATGGTTGAGCGCTCGCTTAGCATGCGAGAGGTACGGGGATCGATACCCCGCATCTCCACTTTTGTTTTTCTTTTTCTTTTTATGTTCTTAAAAACCCTTCATTGTTTTGATAATTACATAACGATATATATTTCCTTTACGCAACCTAGTAAAAACTATAAACTCTGTTAAACACATACCATTTATAAATCAACTAGATCATGACCCGTGCTATACAGCACGGGATTAATATTTTTTATGAATTAAATTGTATATTTTGTTCGAAGAAATTAAGAATAATTTAGTATAATAGTATAATATAAAAGGGAATATATCATAATATTTTATATTTATTACTATTTGGATATAATGTTATATATTTTATTTGACTAAAGAAGGAGAGAATATTGTATTTTAGAATTTAATATATTTAGCAGCATTAGATTTGTATTTTTTTATATGAGATTAATAATTTCTTTCGTTCAATTAGGAATTGATAATTTTATTGTGTGATTGTGAACAAACAAAAAAACAGTTGTATTGGGTCTAAGTTTTCTAATGGATTATATTGGGTTTGTGGGGCTTAGTTTCATGGTTTAAAAAAAAGGAAAAAAAAAAACGGTTTAACATACCTTTGGAATTTGCTGATCTGTTCCTATTTGATGTCTGCTTGAATTTTGTTACCCTGTAATTAAAATAAGATGACTTAAAACTTACGGCACATATATTACAAAGAGAATTGTATAAAATTTCAATGGTACTTACAGGCTCATCTTTCAAAATCATTTCCAAAGATATGCCAGAACCTTTTGTAAAATGAATCCACGAATGAAATATACTAACTTGAATACAGCAAAAAGTCTTGACATGCTTCAAATTGTTAATAGGAGTGTATGGACTAACCATAGCCATTTCTGCTGTATTTTTAATTGTAGGATATGAGAATGGTGCTGAGATGATTTCTGTGAGAAAGGTACGTCAAGCCTAAATGGATATTTATAGTTGTAGATTGTTTGTGATAATTAGGAGATTAAGAAATATATTAATTAACATAAAATAGTTAGATAATATTTTAGAAAGGTATATTCTAGATTATTTGGAATATAGGATCAAAATTATATAACAGAGAGATTTGACAATCTTTAGAAAAGATTTTAAGGAAACTGAATAGCTGATTATATTGATGCGTGATTAAACTAAACAAAAAAACGTAAAACTAAACAAAAAACGATCTAGAATATAACAACTATTATAACTTATTTTTTTTATAAAGGGTTTTAAGGAAACTGAATATATTCTCAAAGATTTTAGGAAAACTGAATATATTCTCAAAGATTACGAATTGCTTGAATACGAATTTATATCTAAACAAAATATAACAACCTAATATCTTTAAGATCTTTAAACCCGTTTTTCGTTATTTGACCCGTTTTTTAATTAATTTGTTAATGTTAGTGACATGGAATTAAAATGATTATGATTAGAGATATCTAATGGCATATATTATAATTTCTTACAAAATTAACGTTACGACTTATAGGATGTACTTCCCAAATAATAGTATAGGATTTGCCTTATTAGTTTGAATTGATTTTATTATTTACGAAATCTCCCTAATTAATTAATTACAAAATTATGTGATTATATTGTTTAGATAGTATAATTAAACCCGTCTGATGACCCAATGACCCGCGTAATTAAAAAATGAATATACTACCTAAACAATATAATCAACTGAAGTCAGAAACAAAGATTTAGGAAACTGAAAATATTGTATTGTTTAGCTTAATCAAAAACAATGAAATTGATGATAACAGATGTTTAGGAAACTGAAAATATTGTCAAAGATGATAACAGATGTTTAGGAAACTGAAAATATTGTCAAAGATTACGAATTGTAGTTGAAAATAAATTTTGTTTAGTTATAAGTACGTAGACACATTTTCAATTTTTAGTAACATTTTTAAAAAATGAAGAATTATATAACATTTTCAATTTATATAACATTTTCGAACTATATGAGTATTATAATTCAAAATAGCATTTTTTATTTTTTATAAATTGGATTGATATAAAATGTTTTCAATGATATATCATTTTCATTAACATTTTCAATGACATTTTTTATAAGATGTTCGAATAATGGATTACTATATAACAAATTGAATAACATTTTTAATTTTCAATAACATTTTCGAATAATATATTAGTATATTAGTATATAACATTTTTATATATTATATAAACAAAATCTTTTATGTATTATATAACATTTTTATGTATTATATAATCTCGAATATTGATTGGTATATAATATTCTCGAATTATATTAATTATGTATTATATAAACAAAATCTTTTAATATCTTTAAACCTGTTGACCCGTTAATATATATTAGTGACATGGAATAAATTTTATGATTAGAATTATATAATGGCATATATTGTAATTTCTTACAAAATTTAAGTTATGATCCTTAGGATGTACTTCCCAAATATTAGTATAGGATTAACCACTATTGCTTCCTCAGTTCCTCTTCTTTACCAATCCAACTGTGCTTGTCAAAATGGTCTCTTCGCCGGAAGGTTGGCCAACTTATCGCGACGGAGTTATTTGAGCTCATACTTTTAAAGGAACAATTTTCGAATTTGAACTGTTTATATGAGTAGGAACACTAATGTTAAAACTTATTTTCTTTCTCTAACAAAAAAATACTTATTTTCTTGTTCGTAAAACTTGAAATAAAAATGATGTGCTCTAATTTGTTATACTTTATTAGTTAGTTTACATTTTCGATTAATCAATAATATTTTTGTAAAAATAAAATGTATATTTTTATCAAATAAAAATAAATAAGAAAATATATATTTGTTACAAAAAAAGAAAATTAATAACTGTCCTAACATCTTATTTAGTGTAAGAGATGGTCTTTTAGTTGGTAAGTTTCCACTCCCACTAGAAATATTCATATTATCGTTATTCAACAACACATATTCAAGATGTTTAGTTAGATTTGTCTTATATTTAAAAATTAAAACCATAAACAAAATACCTTATAAATGTAACCATCGGTCCTTGTACGATCGCCGCATATCTCCGACTTCTCTCCGCCGTCCACCGGTGACTCTACGTTCACTCTAAAAATCTTTTCACTTTGTTTTTTTTTTTGTTCTAATTTTTCTTAATATTAGATTAAAAACAAAAGAGAGGATTAGATTCATTGGTCTGAGTCAAGAGTCAAGAACACAACCACCTGTAATTCCAACAAGTTATTTTAGTTGCCTACTGTTTATCATTATCTAAAACACCTAAATGTTTCCACGTGTCATCATCTCATGAGAATGTCACAAAAAGCTTATATTCTTCTAGATGTAACATTAGCATAACTATATCCCAAAAAGTCTACCCTTTCGTCTTCTTTATTTTAACCTCAATTATTACATTTTTTATACATATAATTATGGGACTAAATATGAACTGATTAATACTATTTTAGAATCTGGAAAACTAGTAAATAAAGTTATCAACATACTCATGCTTTGATTATACTATGATATCTTAACATTTCTACGATCTAAAGAATATTTTGGCGTGACAGTGAACATCAAAATTTGTCATCAAAATTTTCTTAGATTACGTTACAATCAAAATTTTAAACATGTCAATTGTAAAAATGACATTACCAACTTGTATATTCTTGTTGTTATATTAAATGTATGTATTAGAATAATCTCTTTTAGACCAGAAACGAGATATATATTAAATTATTATATCAATTTTTTTCGAATTGTAAGAAATTCAAAATACTTTTTTTTTTATCAAATGTGTAATCATATTTATGTATTAATTGGAAAATAATAATATTTTTTGTTAGTTAAATTAATATATTTTCTTAACCAGCTAATTAATAATAATAATTTGAAACATATGGTTAAAAAAAATTCTTACAATATAAATATATATATATATATATTTTTTCATAAATATTAAACAACTTTATATAATTGGCTAAAGAATTGACCAAATCAATCATCATAATAAAATTTCTATTCTTGTACGCGTATTTCTAAAAAATTTAACCAAAGATTAGTGTAAACATTATACAAGATTATAAGTTTCATAAAAATACAATAAAATTATTTTTGTAGGCGTACTTTATTTGCCTGCCCAAGCTGACCAATTTACTTATCTGTCTTACAAAACCTGCCCAATCTGCCCGTTGCTGACCACTTTCACTCTCTCTCTCTGAAGATGCCCTTTCGTAGCTCTCTAGCTCTCACGCACGCAAAAAATCTCCCTTTTGACTAAAACTTTCTCCAATTTGTTTTCTTTTGTTCTTCCTTCACTTATCTCTCTTCTTTGTCCCCAATTAAGGAGCTCAAATTCACTTCTACTGAACTGGGTTTATATCGTTTTCTTTGGATCTTTTGTTTATGTTTGATTTTGAGGCAAAAAGGATCAAACTTTATATTAAGAGAGAATTGGGTTTCTTTGATCATTGATTTCAATTTCTGGGTTTGATCAAAGTTTTGTTTTTTTTTCATAAATATGTGATCAAAGAGAGTGATCTATTTCCCTTGACTTTTGTTTTTGTTTTGAATCCATTGTGTTTGTGATTTGTTTTGAAATTAGGGTTTATGGTTAGATGATGGGTACAAAGTTAGAATCTTTTAAGGTGGTGGAGAAATTAGGTGTTGAGAAAGGTGAAAAAGGGAAGATGTTGAGTAAAAAGAAGAATGTTAAAAAAGATGGAGATGAGAGTGAAAGTGGGTTTTGGTTTAGATTCAAGTTTATCTTTAGTTGTATCTCTTCTAGATCAAAAGTTGATAGTTCCATGAATGCTACTACAGTTATTGGTATAATCTCTTTCTTCCTTCTATACAGATTTTAAAGTTAAAGTTTGTATGTGGTTGCTTTCAGATTGTTGTTGCTTTCAGATTGTGGTTGTGCTTTTTATTTTTATCTTGTGCTAACACTTGAGCTTGAAAGACAACTTTAGTTATCTCTTTAATTGGAAGCTCATCATTTATAGGATTGAAATTATATGGTAGAAGTTTGTAAATTATAATCAATTTCAAGATAGAGCCTTTGTGACCTTTCACCAGATATTGCTTTGAGACATTTGAGCATATATTGCTTTTCTTGTTATTCTTCCTTTGAGACATTGCTAGAGCAATTGCTTTACTTTTGCTGAAATAAAAAGGCAGAGAGATTTTATGGTAGGATTCTGTAACAAGCCTTTATTTTCAGAGTGTAGTATTCGACAATCCGCCATGTCTTTCTGTCTATCTGTTTGAATGTGTGACTTGGTTTCGTCCATACTTCAATTCTTTAGTGCTCACTTTCATTTGTTATATATATTTTTCAGCAGAACCTAAGAAAGTTAATGAGAAGGTTGAAGGTCAGCCAGCTCCGACTAAAGACACTGGCTGTACGGAGAGTGGTTCCTCAACACCTTTAATGAGCGGGGAATTGAAGTATTCTTCTAAGCTACGGATTTTCATGTTTAACGACCTTAAGTTAGCCACTAGGAATTTCAGACCAGAGTCTCTTCTCGGTGAGGGTGGGTTTGGATGTGTTTTTAAAGGATGGATAGAGGAGAATGGAACTGCACCTGTCAAGCCTGGTACTGGTCTAACTGTAGCTGTCAAAACACTGAACCCAGATGGCCTTCAAGGTCACAAGGAGTGGCTGGTAATGACCAATTTCTTTACCCTTGTTAGTGGTTATGGTCTGTGTTTCTGTTTCTTTGGACAATGTTGATGAAGTTGGTATTTATGTACAGGCTGAGATTAACTTTCTTGGAAACCTTGTTCACCCAAGTCTTGTTAAATTGGTGGGCTATTGCATGGAAGAAGACCAAAGGCTGCTTGTTTACGAGTTTATGCCACGAGGAAGTTTGGAGAACCATCTTTTCAGAAGTATGTCTATCACAAACCTCTCCACATCTTTTTCTTTCTGAGGGCTTTGAGGATTCTCGTCTAATTACCATGTTTTTCTTTTTCATTTTGGTTCAGGGACCTTACCTCTCCCTTGGTCTGTCAGAATGAAAATTGCACTTGGTGCAGCTAAAGGTCTCGCCTTTCTTCACGAAGAAGCTGAGAAGCCAGTCATATATCGAGATTTCAAAACATCTAATATATTACTGGATGCGGTATGTCTGAAAGCCACTTAACCCAATAAAAGCCTCAGAGTCTTCCTTTTCTCTCTATGTTTATATAATTTAGAAAAATCTTCTTTTTTCAGGAATATAATTCCAAGCTCTCTGATTTTGGGCTTGCGAAGGATGCTCCAGACGAGAAAAAATCCCACGTATCAACCCGAGTCATGGGAACTTATGGTTATGCTGCCCCCGAATATGTAATGACTGGTAAGTCAGCTATCCTGGCTTTGTTTTTTGGCTATCGTATTATCATTTGAGCTTTTGAACTTACAAGTTTCAATATGAACATCAGGACATCTTACAACGAAAAGCGATGTATACAGCTTTGGAGTAGTATTACTTGAAATATTAACTGGACGAAGATCTGTGGATAAAAGTCGGCCGAATGGGGAACAAAACTTGGTTGAATGGGTGAGACCTCATCTCTTAGACAAGAAAAGGTTGTGCCGGTTATTAGATCCTCGGTTAGAGGGTCACTACTCGATCAAGGGTGCTCAGAAAGCCACACAAGTAGCGGCGCAATGCCTTAACCGAGACTCTAAAGCTAGACCGAAGATGAGTGAAGTTGTGGAAGCCTTAAAGCCGTTACCAAATCTTAAAGACTTTGCGAGCTCTTCTTCTTCTTTCCAAACAATGCAGCCTGTTGCTAAGAACGGAGTCAGAACACAAGGAGGAGGGTTTGTATCGAGAAATGGACCGCCAATGAGGAGTTTGTCTAGCTTAAACCTGCCTCAAGCATCCCCTTATCGTTATGCCCGTCAATCACCAAAGCCTAAAGGAAAAGAGCCATGACTCAAATAGATATTAATTAGTTCTTCAAGTCTGACCGAGGTTTTGCTGATTGCGGCTGGATATTCAACTTCCTGTTTCATCGATTCTTTCCGATTCAAGAGCAAGTTACAGCCTTTTACCCAGATCAAAGAGATGGTCTGTGGGAAACTGAAGCTTGGCAAGTTTGGAATGTTTCGGATCCTGGTTTGTGTTCTTTGAGTTGATGAAACTCGAAAAATATCTTTGGTCCTCAAAGGTCTAAAGATTTTGATCTATGATTTTAATGTGTAGAAAATGTAAAGTTTGAGAGTGTAAAGTTTCTATAAATGATATAAACCTGTTGTCTGTAAAAAAACTTATGTAAACCCTGTAATATATGTTCTGATATGCATTGATTTTCATCTTTAACTTGGTTAAACTATAACGACCATTGTAAATAAAAATCGAAGGTGGATAAAATCCTTTAATGGATACAAAGTAGAAACATTTCATATATTTTTACCTTTTAGCTACATCCACTAAAATTATACAATCTTTAATAAACTAAAGCAAATGTAGCACCTAGAGGTGTCAGAAGGGCCGGCCTGCGGACTAAAATGATATGTCCAGGCCCGCCCCGCTAGTGGCCCGCAGGCTTAGTTTTAATATTTTTAAAATAATTAAAAAAATAAAATTAATTTTTATAATTTGAAACTAATAAGTTTTCAATTAAAAAAAACTTTTAGTATTAATATTTTTGTAAATCTTATAATTTGATACATTAAATTTCGTTATATATTCATATATTTCACATATATATATTCAGAATTATGTAAAAGTATTTATTTATTTTTATTAAATATTTGTAGTCCGCGGGCCGACCCGCAAATCCGCGGACAAAACCCGCAAAAATCCGCAATCCGCCTGGGCTTGTCCGCGTGGTCCGCTATTTTATGGACATGAAAAATGATGTCCAAGCCCGCCCCGCCGTGGGCTACTAACACCATTTAAATGGTTTGGTTTCATTAATCAAGTTATTTAATTATTTTTTTTATAATTTTAAAATGATGCTACAGTTGGTTCTGGATATTGGACCAATTTGTGTATACAAAAAAGTTTGGGGTCTTTTCTAAAGTAAATAAAAGTTCGAGGTGTCTTTCTCAAAATAGTTAAAAATAAAGGTATATTCATATATTTCACATATATATATTCAGAATTATGTAAAAGTATTTATTTATTTCTATTAATTATTTATTTTATTAAATATTTATAGTCCGCGGACCGACCCGCAAATCCGCGGACATAACCCGCAAAAATCCGCAATCCGCCTGGGCTTGTCCGCTATTTTATGGACATGATTAATGATGTCCAAGCCCGCCCCGCCGTGGGCTACTAGCACCATTTAAATTGTTTGGTTTCATTAATCAAGTTATTTAATTATTTTTTTATAATTTTAAAATGATGCTACAGTTGGTTCTGGATATTGGACCAATTTGTGTATACAAAAAAGTTTGGGGTCTTTTCTAAAGTTAATAAAAGTTCGAGGTGTCTTTCTCAAAATAGTTAAAAATAAAGGTTTAAAAAGACAGTGGAGATGCGGGGTATCGATCCCCGTACCTCTCGCATGCTAAGCGAGCGCTCTACCATCTGAGCTACATCCCCATCTATTGACCTAACCATATTTTAAATTTACATAAACAAAAATCATTTCTCTTCTTAACCCTCCCAAGTTCCGACTTCTCTCTCTCGTCGGAATCTGCAGATTTCGAAATCGCGAAGATGCTGAGAAAACTACTAACGCAGCCATCTTCTCGCCGTCTTCTCTCTTCCGGTATTCCTCCTCTCTTCTCCAAATCCTCTCTCTCACCGTTTTCCTCATTATCCTCTTCACCGGAGCCACCGTCCTCAGAGAGTACCACCGTCGAACATCCCGGAACAACAATCTCTGTCGATCGTTCTTCTCTTTATACTCCTCCCGGTACGTATCTCACTCTCACACTCTATGTTTTCGATTGAATTTGACAGATTTGGTATCTGATTGTTGGAAATTTTAGAGCACTCTCATGAATCCACACCTGAGACTGAGCTCGTTAAGCATCTCAAGAATATTATCAAGGTAACTTCGATTTTTCATTCATAGTAGTGAAAATTCAAAGAATCTGAAGTGGTTTTATGTATCGTAGTTTCGAGATGGTCCAATCTCAGTAGCTGAGTATATGGAGGAGGTTTTGACTAATCCTAAAGCAGGATTCTATATGAATCGTGATGTTTTTGGAGCTCAAGGTGATTTCATTACTTCTCCAGAAGTTAGCCAAATGTTCGGCGAGGTAATCGTTTTAGCATTTTTTGTTTTTAGAGTTAAGGATATGAGCTTGAGATTGGTGTTGTGATGTTAGATGATTGGTGTTTGGACTGTGTGTCTTTGGGAGCAAATGGGAAGGCCAGAGAGGGTTAATCTTGTTGAGCTAGGTCCAGGTCGTGGAACGCTTATGGCTGATCTTCTTCGTGTATGTATTTTTGTTCTTGTGTTGTATTCTTGAGATTTCTAGATTATCTCGTTGTTGACTACTGAAAATATTTGACTTTTAGGGTACATCAAAGTTTAAGAATTTTACGGAATCGTTGCATATACATTTGGTGGAATGTAGTCCTGCATTGCAGAAGCTTCAGCACCAGAATCTGAAATGTACAGATGAGAGTAGTTTGGAGAAGAAAGCTATAAGTTCACTAGCTGGGACACCTGTGCACTGGCATGCTACTCTTGAAGAGGTACCATCAGGAGGTATGTATCTTTTGTTACATTTCCTTGGAATTTAAGACTTACTAATTGTGATGATCAATGAGGTTGTGGTCTTTAATATACACAAAGTCAAAGTACAATACATGTCTTAAGAATTCAAGACAATGATCTCATGGTGTCTCTTTTGCTTCTATGGCAGTACCAACAATAATCATTGCACATGAGTTTTATGATGCTCTTCCAGTTCATCAGTTTCAGGTTAGTCAGGAGGTCATGATTCATCTTTATATTTAGAAACCAACTTGCAATGTAGTCTTCTCCTTTTAGTTTAGTATGCGTATCTTATATAGACCCAATCTCTGCAGAAATCTTCCCGTGGTTGGTGTGAGAAAATGGTTGATGTAGGAGAAGATTCACAGTAAGTATTAGGGAATTCAAAGAAAAAGGATATATCATTCGTGGATTTGCAAAATCATGAATATTTGTTGTGTTGTTGGTTTAGGTTCCGCTTTGTTCTATCCCCACAGCCTACACCTGCAGCCTTGTATCTCATGAAACGTTGCACATGGGCTACACCTGAGGAAAGGGAGAAACTTGAACATGTCGAGATCAGCCCAAAATCAATGGATTTGACCCAAGAAATGGCCAAGAGAATAGGTTCTGATGGAGGTGGAGCACTTATAATCGATTACGGGATGAATGCAATCATTTCAGACAGTCTTCAGGTTTGTGGCCTCAAAATGTTCTGATCATGTTTAATGTAACAATCATTTGCTGAGTCTGTTATGGCAAAATGTCTTCAGGCTATTAGAAAACACAAGTTTGTCAACATACTAGATGATCCCGGGTCTGCAGATCTAAGTGCTTATGTCGATTTTCCTTCAATAAAACACTCCGCTGAGGAAGCTTCAGGTTTGTTCATATTCTGGCTGCTAGTCAATGTGATGTAGAGTTAGCTTACTTGCTTGACCAAAAGCAAATGTGTGTGTTCTACAGAAAATGTCTCAGTCCATGGACCTATGACTCAGTCTCAGTTCTTGGGTTCGCTTGGAATAAACTTCAGAGTTGATGCGTTGCTACAGAACTGTAACGATGAGCAAGCTGAGTCCTTAAGGGCAGGATACTGGCAGCTTGTTGGCGATGGTGAAGCACCTTTCTGGGAAGGACCTCATGAACAAACACCGATTGGAATGGGGACGAGGTATCTTGCAATGACTATTGTCAACAAAAACCAAGGCATTCCAGCTCCATTCCAATAAGAAAAGTTGAAACTTTCAGAGAAGGAAACCCTCTTTTTAACTTGGTTTATCTCTCAGTAAAAGTAATAAAAAGCTTTTAAATTATGAAGTTATTGCTATATGTTCCAATCAAATGTTTTATAGCACCATCTGTAGCATTCTTGAGCTTTATTTACAAGTATTATCCTTTCAAGGACAGTTTGATAGATTTCAATGATTGTTTCAAGGAAATTCTGTGTAAAGATTATATTATAATCTAAGATTTTAGCTACGTGCAAAAGGCTTGAGTTTTCACAGGTGCTACTACTTCAATCTATACACCGATTTTGGAAGAAAAAAAAAAGCTCACGTTTTCTGGTCTACACAGGCGAAGCATCCTGATAGGTTTAGCGCTGTTACGATTTGATGGTTCTCGATCATATTGTAGCTAGTTCCATAGCAAGGATCTATCTTAAAAATGATTTTTTTAAAAGGAACTAGATAAACAAAAGTTTGTATAAATTCTTAGTATAAGAAAGAAATCGAAACTATATGAAGAGTTTTGAAAATAATAAATGCGATAATGAAAAGTAGACAGTAACTAGTGTTGGTCGGTAAGTGTAAAAAGAGTGCAGCCAGGTGGACAAGGAATGGAGCCAAGTCGTTGTGGAAGCAAGAACTGATGAAAGAGACGAGGTTCATAGTCTCCGAATTCAATGGGTTTTTGCTTCCAGTCTTTGTGGAGTTGGAACTTTTTTGTGCGGAGATTACCTATAACAAGATGGGCATGTGTTTGCAAGAAATTAGTTTGTCGGGTGACGAGATAAACGACCTCTTTATCGAACGGATGCATTGCCACTGGAACACATCCGGCGCATAGATCAAGGCAAGGCCTAAGGTTCCACAAAAATTCCCAAGATTCCTTGGAAGAGCCACTGGTATAGTTCTTGAGCCTCCAAATTTTGAGTTGCTGGTTTGGTCTTCCGGTATCAGTGTTCATATACATGAGTGACCCACATGAGATAGTGAGAGTGGCTTCGTCTCCTTGTCCTGGTTGCTTAAAATAGCCCTTAGCAGAGCGCTGAGGTAAATCGATGACACGACAAAGCTCGGTAGGAGCATAGAAATCATGAGCAAAGATTACTTGATTTGCACGGCATAGCCAATGAAGATAACCATTCAAATTAAGGGGATTGGATGGGAGGAGCTTGGAGATGGGACGTTGGGTAGAGACATAGTGGTAAGTCCATTTGCCTGAATCAGACGAATATATCTGAAAGCAAAGCCTATCCCTTTTCATTCCTATCCCTAAGATAGAGACTCCATACCGAACCACCTTGAAACCTAAGAGATCACCGTTGTTCATGTGTGTTACAATTGCTGCGCCTTGTAAATCATCCTGAGAAGAATAAGGAGGAGGACTAGGGATTTTGATCCATTCTCTCAACACAGGATCAGCAACACAGAACGTCCCAGGTCTGAATTTGGTCAAAATCAACCCTTCCGTGATAGCCAAGATACGCACTCGTCTGTTATTGTTAGCTGCTTTCATCTCGTCTAGAAAACGTGTGACGCAAGAACCTAGTGACTTCGTAAGACCCCATCTCTCGCAGAAGAATTCCAAAGCAATATTCGAAGATTGGTCGTTGTACAGGATCGACCACGAAGAGGACAGTTTCCTTTGGTTTATGGTTTCGTAGAGATCACGGAAATAGGAAGACTCCAAGAGAAATTTCCATTCTCTAGACACTAGTTTCAGTCTCGCAAGGTCCTATAATCGGTAATCTCGCCAGTATCAACGCTGTCACCGACTCTGGAAGATCCATAATGCTGATTTTGCTGCTCTTCGGAGAAGAAGAATATGGTGTGTTTCTCTCTGATAGGGCTTGTCGATGATGACAAATATATCTCTTTAACTTCGACAATTTTTTCTTTTATAGGGAAATATTAACACATAATCCCAAAAGATATATGAATATCTCAACAAATGATACAGCGCATGTTTTAGGGTTTTATCGAATACAATTTTTTAGACTTCACGTATTCGTTTTGGTGTTATCGGTTTTGTTTTATTTTTCTTTTCGATTTATGTTAATGTTAGGATAATTATAAATCCTGTTAGTGTTTGGTTTTGGAGGTTTATCTAGAACTTCTTTACTATTTACCAAATCTCCTAAACCATTATGATATAACCTAACAAATAGAAATTAGAGATTGAAGTATTTACCAAATCGTTTTGGATGATAATGTTTGTGAAAATGTGAAGTGCATGCATATGTACAAAATTATATACCAAATTATATTTAAAGATTTTTTTATTTTCTTATGAATCAGTTTTGACTAAAAAAATGTGAATTGCCCTTTTATTATTTACCAAACACGGCAAAACACTAAATTAGAGAATGCAACAAAAATAAATATTAACTAGTAAATAAAGGAAAGTTACTCCAAAAAAAAAAATATAATTAATTTTCATTAAGGCACAATTCAATAGCCTTTTAAAAAGAAGAGTTGTCATTGACAAACCCTAGCAGAATAAATAGCGACACACTTTTAGTTTTATCCTCTATTCGAGTTCGAGAGCAGCAAAATCAGCACTATGTATCTTCCAGAGCCGGTGACGGTGATGTTTTTGAAAGACTAAGGATCAGAGACATCGCGAAACTGAGATCTGTGTGCAGAGAATGGAAATCGCTCTTGGAGTCTTCCTATTTCCGTGATCTCTACCGAACCATAAATCACAGGAACTTGTCCTCTCCGTGGTCAATCTTGTACAGAGACCAATATTCTAATACTCCTTTGGAATTCTTCTACGAGAAATGGGGTTTAAAGCAGTCACTAGGTTCTTGCGTCTCACGTTTTCTTCACGAGGTGAAAGCAGCTAACAATAACAAACGAATGGGTGCCTTGTCCCTCACGGATGGATTGATTTTGCTAGGTGTTTCGACCAATTCTGGACCTAATATGTTCTGTGTTGCTAATCCCGTGTTGCGACAATGGATAAAAATCCCTCAACCTCCTTCTTGTTCATCTGTCGACGGTTTCCTAGGCGCAGGCCTTGTAACAGATATGAACAACGGTGATCTCTTGGGTTATAAGGTAGTTCGGTATGGACTCTCAGGGATTTGTAGCGAATGGTGTAGCCTTTTCTTTCAGATCTATTCGTCCGATTCGGGCTATTGGACTTACCACTACGTCTCTACTGAGCGTTCCATCGAAAAGCGCCTCCCATCAAATCCCATTAGTTTTAATGGTTATCTTCATTGGCTATGCCGTGCAACTCAAGTCATCTTTGCTTATGATTTCTATGCTCCTACCGAATTTTGTCGTATCATCGATTTACCTCAGGGCTCGGCTAAGACCCCAGTGAAAGCTGATGAAGAGACTCTCACTATCTCATGTGGCTCGCTCATGTATATGAACATTGATACTGGAAGACCAAACCAGCAACTCAAGATTTGGAGGCTCAAGAACTATATGAGTGACTCTTCTAAAGAATCTTGGGAATTGTTGTGGAACCTCATGCCTGGTATTGATCTCGGCCTCGCAACTGTTCCAGTCGCAATGCATCCTTTTGATAAAGAGATTGTTTACCTGGTCACCCGCAAAACTAGATATTCCCGGAAACATGCCTATCTTGTTTCAGGTAACCTTGGCACAAAAAAGTTCCAAATCCACAAAGGTTGGAAGCAAAGACACAGGGAATTCGGAGACTATCAATCTCATATGTTTCATCAGTTCGTGCTTCCACAAAGACTCGGCTCTTTTCCTTGTCCACCTGGCTGCACTCTTGTCACACTTCCTGACCCACACTAGTTTTGTCATATAATTTCATAGTTTCATTTGATCTTGTTCTTAAATTAAAGATTTTTGAGTTTGTATCAAAGCTAAAACACCAGTAATATTAGGAATTTCAGAATATTCAACTTTTTAGTTTTTTATTTTATAATCTAGACAAAACTCAAAAGTGAAATTATGTTGGAAGTATATTAATTATCATATTACCAAAACCGTGAACACAATATGTTCCGAACTGTTAATGGCTTGATGCAGCATCTCCACAAAAAGATGGCTTAGCTACATAGAAATATCTTGTCGAAAATTCAATATTATGCTAATTGAACCAAAACTTTCCAGCTAATCGTCGTCACTACTGGCGAAACAACTAGATCGCTTGGCACTACCTGATCGTTGAAACCTGTAACGTCCCGATGACGGCTCAAAATCCGCTAACCCATCAACACACGACCACGCCATCGTCTCGGCATCTGAATCAAAGAAAAATGGTAAGTCTTAATTTCCCAAGTACTTAATATTTTGCAAATGATCATATACTAGTTTCCTAACAGCTTTTGTGACACATTTACTCGATAAAACGATAAAGATATGATTTCCCCATGAGCATAAATAAACCATGTTCCGATACCACGTCACTTGATATGCAACCACGAACTTAATTGTAACCCGAGTTATTGGTAAGTTGAATTGTGTAGAGTTTGATGATTTTAAAAGTTGAGAGAATTTAAAATTTTCAAAGATTACTATGGAATGTAGATTATCTATCAATGGTTTTTATGAATTCTAGTAATTGGGAATTGGGAATATTCCTCAAAATAAAATAAAATAAAATAAGAGTTGTCATCGATAAACCCTACCAGAAAAAATAAGAGATGTCTTCTTCTCCTCTATTCGAGAGCAGCAAAATCAACCTTTTTATTCAACTTTTTCACAACGAACCTCAATTGCCTTCAGAATTTCTCTTTGGGAGATCATTAGTAATCTTAGCTTTTGGACATCCAACTCTTCTCAAAACTTTGCTAGTTTCCTCTCAAGTTTATGTTCATTTTCAAGGAAATAGAGACCTTTCTCTAATTTATGATTCTAATAGTTTAGGTAGACCTTTCTCTAACTCGCGAAAGAATATGTTGTGGCCGCGAAAGTAATTTGTATGCATCATAAATAATTTGATATTACAAGAGTGTATTGGCATACTAAAGAGTATCAATCAAGAATATGGCCAACAACAAACAAACAAATAGGAGAGATTCTTATTGGGGAATTACTCAATACACGCACTCTGGTAAACGCAGAGCGACAGAAACAGGGAATCTAAAACCAATGATTGTACATGAGGAGCGATGAAGAAACCCAACGACCATATGGTTTTTCTTATTCTCCAATTTTTCAGACAGATTTCACATTTGTTTATGTGTTTTTTGACTTCTTACCACACTCAGAACATGTAGACGACACTGTCGTGGATTCTGGACTTCTGGTTCTGAGCAACACACTCGGATATCCACATCAGGTTCCTGATCTCCTGCTCTCTCAACCTCATATACGCAAAGAATACGGCGTAATGGAACTGCAAATCTCAGGTTTAAACATCCATTAGACAAGAACTGAGACACAGCTATAATCGCATAATGAAATTGGACTCTACGGTCTCTAATGTATTAGACCTGATGTTTTGGAATTTACATGGAAACTAACTAAAAATGAAGGTTATCAATGAAGCTGGGATTTTATCGAATTTGAAAAGTTTTTTGCGGTTTCATTTGGGGAGAGGGAAACAAACCTGCTGCTCAAAGGCTAAGCAAAGCCTTCTGACTTCTTCTTCATAAAATGCCTTGTCCAGCATCTGGCTTTCTCCATAAGACATCTTGGAGAATATAGCTTGATATGGAGGGTATTTCTCCATTACACCACGAACCTAACAGTGAAAGATAATGTGATACATTGAGTCAAATTCGTAACTATTCTGTAATTATAATATATTAGCTTGTGGATTTACCTGATCTATATCCTCGCAGATAGCAAGCTCCTCGTGGCCATATGGATATCTGCAGAAGCAAAAATCAAAACCATAGTTAAGAATTTTATGCAACAATTGAATGGAATATATAATTAGACTGTAGAATGCGTCTTACAGGAGACCAAAGTTGGAGTACAGTTTCTTCCTGTCTTCTCTTGTGAGCTCAGTGCCAATGCTGTATAGCAAAGAAAACCAGTTTCAGTGCGATAGTAGCATCAGCTTGTGGTTTCATGCAAGAAGCAGTAAGTAATTACCTGTTGATAGTGATATTCACTGCTCTTCTGTCAGCTTCAAAGGCCAAAAGGTCAGACATAATCTCTGCTGTTGCGCCACCAAGTTTCTATTTCAGATACACACAAAAAAAAAAAAAAAAAAGAAGAAGTGATTAGCAGGTATATAAGTAAATTCTGAAATTAAAGGGAAAAAAAAAGGATTTAGGAGTGGACTAGCACCTGACAGAACTTGTAAAAATCCTCAAGGTATGCTTTGTAGAGGGTATTCCTCATAATCTCTATGTTCATGTCATCGAGATCCTACAGATAATAGGATATGCATGTGATACTACATTCATAACAGAAACTAAAAACTAGAATTATAAATCAATGAACTTTGTACCTCTGATGTTAAGCATTCAGAAAAGTATGGAGCCAGAGGAGTGTCCACAAGCACCAACCTATAGAGTTCACGCATGTTCTGCGCAACTGCTAGTGTAGCAATACTGGCAAAAATGAGAGAGAGCATGAGACAAACATAAAAGTAAGAAAAGAAGATGATGTTTAGAAGATGCAAAAGGTCGATGCGGGCTACCTGTCAAACATGCCTAAAGGGTGACATTTCTCGATCAACTCTTGAACATCTCTCTCGTGCAGTGTTCCAGTAACAATGAGCACGACATTGTCAATCATATGGCCATATCTGCATAAAAACCCAATATCTCAAACACCAGCGTCTTAAATTTGATAGATCATATACTAAACTAAATCCAGGGGTAAAACAAGACAACAATCTAAGCTAGCATTTCAGAATGATCACAATCTTTCCCTTGAACATAGTGAAACATATACTTGCTCTGCGATCTCGGGAATTAAAGCTAAAACTTGAGGAAAGTAACAAATCTTACACTATGAGAACAATTTTGGCTTTTGGCAGAACTAAATAAGTATTTCACATTACCTGATGTACTCTAAAAAGGTAGACATTGGCTCAGTAGCTTGGCAAAGCATATGCTTGTAGTCATCAACAAGCTTGAGCGTACACTTCTCCACAATGGTGGTAGTATGCAGAGGTGACGGTTCTACATTCGAAAACAACAATTTAGATACAAAAAAAAAACTAGCAATTGTGAAGATTTCAAGCACAACAACAGTAGTCTTTATAGAAAAATCCAGATACAGAGACTCAAGGAATCAATGTATAGTCTAAACATCAGATTTCATATCCACTTAATAAGATCAGAATTTCTACAAATCGCAGATCAATTTCAAATGCCTAAAACCCAGAAACCCAAACGCAATGAAGCAAAATTCAAAGTAAAATCATCAAAATTCGTATTACAACAACTGATTCAAAATTGTGAGAGACAATCAGGGATCATCATGACGCACCGTTTTGGAGATAAGAGCCGTATTTGGTGGCAGAGAGATGCATCTTGATGTCGTCTAGGTTCTCACACTGACATAAATTATTGTAATCGGCGGTGGTGAGAAGACCAGCACGGTGACCTCTGACGATCGCCTCCAAGTATCCGCCATGGATGTTGAAGGTAAGCGCCTCGAATCCGTACATCTTTCTCTTCTGATCGTAGGATTATTTTCAGATCTCAAAGATTGTCGCGAGAGATCTGAAGAAGAAGAAGAAATCGATACAGAGATCGACGCGAAGAAGAAGATAGCTTCGAATTGATTGGATTTGTTTGCAAACTCGTGTTGGCACGTTTAATTACGTTTGTATCCTGTAAACCGGTTTACTAAACCGAAGAATGTACACTGAAAAATGATTTTCGTGTCTCAATTTTGTTTTGGTTTGGTTTAGTTTGGTTTAACGTTTTTTTTTTCTTTTTAATACATTTTAGGGGATGAATGAATCAGTAGAAAGTAAGAAATCAAGTACAAACCGGATCTCCTGAATTTTGATACATTCGAATCCAGATGGAACAAATATCTTGATATCCAAATGTTATCTTAAAAGGAAAAAAAACTAATATATGAAATAAAAATTACTATTACGGTTATTCATAAGTTTATGCTTATGGATTTGCGATTTCAATTTAAATTTAATAATAAATAAAAAAATGTGAGTGTTGAAATGCATATATTATATATTTATATTTTTAATTTATAAATTAACAAAAACATAATGCATTTTGTATAAATTAAATTTTTCGAGAAAAAACTTTTTGTTAATTCAAGATATTTAATTTTGATAAATTTAGTTAATAACAATAAATGCTATATGGAATTAAAAATGTTAGGTAAGAAAGATAGTAAAATAAATAAATTAAAAATAAAATAAAAATCTGAAAAAATTATAGGAGTGAAAATAAGCATTAATGACTCTATTTTAATGGGTTTGATTGGAAGCAACAAAATGTCTCTTTTGGAAACGAGATGCTCAAGTGGCTAACAATCATCAAAGGGGTTAGAGAAAACGTTTGATATGAGTGGTTGAAGAAGGTGTTTTGTTTGAATGGTTAAAGCTGATTTTGAGTGATTGGCAACAACATTTACAATCACTCATTTGGATAGGAGTTTCAAAACAATGGTTCAATAGAATAGAGGTTGCACAGCTTTTTTTTTATCTTTTTGTTATTTATTTGTTTAACATTGGATTCCTTTATTTGACAAAAAAAAAGAGATAAAAGTAGTGAATAATACAATTACTTTTACCTATACTTTTTAGAAACTTATTAAGCTTTTCATAAAAGAAAAAAGTTGAGATGAAATAGCAACAAATATTTTTCTCTCCTTCCCTCATATACGTATGTGCTTCATACAACACCATTGTTATGATACATGTTTTCTTCGAACAAAAAAAAACAAACAGTTTCATTTTGTTCAAAAAATAGTTGTTATTTACAATCATTTTAAGTGCATCAACTAAAAGGTAAGTATTGTTTAAAGTTTTCCTAATTTTTTTAGTGTACATGAAATACTTATATACGGTTAAAATCTGAAGTTTTGTGCGTAACTAAATCGAGATTAAGTTTTGTGCCATTAGAAGTTTCAGTGCCTCCACGAGAAAAATATTATCTTGTTGACTTAGGAAATCAAAGAGAAGAGTTGAGATACCATTTAGAACAATTTCAAAGTGGTCAACCCCAAAAAATAAGGAAGAATTGTTCAACATATGGCATGTCTCGCTACGTTCAGTAATCGAACGAACGTTTGAAATTTGGAAAAAAAAAATGGCGGGTTGTCAAAGAACTACCAAGGTACAATTTTGAAACACAAAAGTGACTAGTATTTATCACAATGGGTCTTCCTAATTTCATTCAACATTCGAATATTTTGGATGATGATTTATTGATAGTAAGTGAAAATAAAGATAGAGATAGACAATACGAAACTGATGAAAATGATATCAATGAGTTAGAAGAAGCTGAAACAACATCAGATGGAGCATATATGGCAACAATTCGTAATCAAATTGCTGATATGTTATGGGCTGATCATAGATAAATATGTAAATTATTATGGTAATGTAATTCTTTAATATTATAAAAATTCTCATATTATGAATTAGATAATATTTTATTAATTCATACTTCATTATTAATAATTTATTTTAATTTATAATATTAAATTCATTTTTATAATTTATATAAAAATTTATAATTTATTATTATTATTGAAGTGACAAAAGTAAATTTTTTTATCATTATAACAATTCTCATTTAACTATAGTAATATTTTGTATTATGATATAATAATGATTCATTACTCCATATTTTTAATTTTTTAACTAAACTAATTTCATTATTTTATAATTTACTATTAATTTATACTATTCAACCGCCATAATGTTACCAATGAAGCAAAATATTTTTACCGTTTTCTTTAACTATAGGGAAATTGTTAATAATGCCACTTTTTCAATGCCACTTTTCAAAAATACCCCTTTTTAAAAACCTTATAAAAAATGCTCTTAAAAATATAAGATTTACCCAAATATGTATGTAATATTATTAAAACATACACAAACTACATTTCTATGTATCTAAAATCTTATAAATACTTTATAAATACCTTATAAATGCATTTTAAATACTTTAAAAACCTTTAAAATATCTTGTAAAACCTTTGAAAAACCTTAAAAATCCTTTAAAATAACTTGTAAAACCTTTAAAAACACCTTATAAAACCTTATAAATACTTGGATCGAGTCTTCAAGTAGTAGTTACAATCCATAAGTACCTTATAAATCTAATAAAACTTTATAAAAATTTCAGATTTAAAAAGGGGCATTTTTGAAAATGGACATCTAAAAGGGGCATTTTTGAAAAGGGGCATGAGAAAAGGGGTATTTTTGCTAATCCCACTTAACTATATTGCATTTTCCATATGCTATTTTACAATCACTATAAATTAAAGTTTAAAAGGAAAATTACTTACTTAATCGGGTGTGCGTGTCTTCGATTTAGCAGACCGGTTTAGGGATACCGGTTTAGCTTGAAAACAAATCCAATCAATTCAATCAAAGTTATCTTCTTCTTCGCGATCGCAATCTTTTCTTCTTCTTCAGAATTCAGAATTCAGATCAGATCTCCGGCGACAATCTTTGAGATCTGAATATCTTACAATAAGGAGAGAAATATGTACGGATTCGAGGCGCTTACGTTCAACATCCATGGCGGATACTTGGAGGCGATCGTCAGAGGTCACCGTGCTGGTCTTCTCACCACCGCCGATTACAATAATTTATGTCAGTGTGAGAACCTAGACGATATCAAGATGCATCTCTCTGCTACCAAATACGGCTCTTATCTCCAAAACGGTGCGTTATGATGATCCCTGATTGTCTCTCACAATTTTGACTCAGTTGTTGTTGTAATACGAATTTTGATGATCTGACTTTGAATTTTGCTTCTTTGAGTTTGGGTTTCTGGGTTTTAGGCATTTAAAATTGATCTGCGAATTGAAGAAATTCGGATCTTATTTAGTGGATATGAAATCTGATGTTAGACTATACATTGATTCCTTGAGTCTCTGTATCTGGATTTTTCTATAAGGACTAGTGTTCTTGTGCTTGAAATCTGCATGATTGGTTAGTATTTGTATCTGAATCGTTGTTTTCTAACGCAGAACCGTCACCTCTGCATACTACCACCATTGTGGAGAAGTGTACGCTCAAGCTTGTTGATGACTACAAGCATATGCTTTGCCAAGCTACTGAGCCAATGTCTACCTTTTTAGAGTACATCAGGTAATGTGTGAGATATTTAGCTCTGTCTCAATGTACATAATTTAGTCTAAGATTTGTTCCTTTCCTCAAGTTCTAGCTTTAATTACCGAGATCGCGGAGCAAACATACATAATTCTGAAATGCTAGTTAAGATTGTTGCCTTCTTCTCCCCCTGGATTTAGTTTATTATATGATGTATCAAATTTAAGACGCAGATATTGGGTTTGTATGCAGATATGGCCACATGATTGACAATGTCGTGCTCATTGTCACTGGAACCTTGCACGAGAGAGATGTTCAAGAGTTGATCGAGAAATGTCATCCTTTAGGCATGTTTGACAGGTGACCCTTTTGCATCTTATTTTGTATCCCTTACCTTCTACTTCAGACCCCCTTTTCTTCTTTTTCACTTTTATGCTTTTCTCATACTCTCATCTTTGCCAGTATTGCTACACTAGCAGTTGCTCAGAACATGCGGGAACTCTATAGGTTGGTTCTTGTTGACACTCCTCTGGCTCCATACTTTTCTGAATGCCTAACATCAGAGGTACAAACAAAGCTCATGGATTTATTATTCTATTTTTTGCTTTCGATCAATCTTGTGCAATTTCTTTTCTAGTTTCTGTTATCACATGCATATCATATTATCTGTAGGATCTGGATGACATGAACATAGAGATTATGAGGAATACCCTCTACAAAGCTTACCTTGAGGATTTTTACAAGTTCTGTCAGGTGCTAGTCGAACCCCCCACATCCTTTTTGTACTTTTGAAGTTTCAGAATCTACTTATACCAGCTAACCCCTTCTTCTTCTTTTTCATGTATCTTAAATAGAAACTTGGTGGCGCAACGGCAGAGATTATGTCTGACCTTTTGGCCTTTGAAGCCGACAGAAGAGCAGTGAATATCACCATCAATAGGTAATGAATTTCTGCTTCCTGCATGAAACCACAAGCTGATGTTACCATCGTTATGTTGCTTTGTTTATCTACGCACTGAAACTTATTTTCTTTGCTATGCAGCATTGGCACTGAGCTCACAAGAGAAGACAGGAAGAAACTGTACTCGAACTTTGGTCTCCTGTAAGAAGCATGCTACAGTCGAATCATATATTCCATCCAATTATTGCATAAAATTCTTAACTATGGTTTTGATTTTTGCTTCTGCAGCTATCCGTATGGCCACGAGGAGCTTGCTATCTGTGAAGACATAGATCAGGTAAATCCACTAGCTAAAATCTATTTATACTTATATAAATTTACGAATTTGACTCAGTGAATCACATTATCATCCACTATTAGGTTCGTGGTGTAATGGAGAAATACCCTCCATATCAAGCTATATTCTCCAAGATGTCTTATGGAGAAAGCCAGATGCTGGACAAGGCATTTTATGAAGAAGAAGTCAGAAGGCTTTGCTTAGCCTTTGAGCAACAGGTTTGTTTCTCTCTCCACAAAGAAACCAAAGAACTTTCCCTAGTCCATAAATCTCGGCTTCAGTTTTTGTTGTCTTCTATTTGAATTCCAAAAAAAATTCTGGTCTTAATGTACATTATTAGAGACCATAGAGTCCAATTGCATTATGCGATATACTATAGCTTTCTCTCAATTTTATTTCTAATACTAACAACGGTTGTTTAATCATGAAATTTTGCAGTTCCACTACGCGGTATTCTTTGCCTATATGAGGTTGAGGGAGCAGGAGATCAGGAATCTGATGTGGATATCCGAATGCGTTGCACAGAATCAGAAGTCCAGGATCCACGATAGTGTCGTCTACATGTTCTGAGTCTGGTAAGAAGTGTAATCTGTCTGAAAAATTGGAGGATAAGAGGAATTCATATGGTTGTTGGTTTTCTTCATCACTCCATTTTTACCAGAGAATCTGCTGTACAATCTTGCGGTCTACCTTCACTGTTTATGTCGCTCAGCGTGAGTGCGTGTATCAAAAACTCCTTAATAAGAATCTATCCAATTTGTTTGTTTGTTTTTGGCCATATTCTTGCTTGGATCCGGTAAACTCTTTGTAATGTCGAATAATTTACAATGTATACGAATTACTTTGGCGGCCATAACATTTTCTTTGGCCTGAATTTTTCTTCCGAGAGTTGCTTCATGTGCTAGCTAATAATGTGTTGTTGCTTTTGAATATGATAAATCTGGAACACATACCTGACTACCTGAGATGTCCATAGCTGGGATGGTTGAGACCGTTTGATTACACGTATGTTCCAAATTATGGCTTACCAATTGTCTAAACCGAATAAAGTAACTCTTTTTAATCTTCTTTGTTTGATATTGAGAAAGAAATCGACAAAACGAATCACCTATGGTATGGCATTTCGTGTGGCAAATTTTAACGGGTTATGGAGAATTTACGGAAAAGAGGAATTGATTGTGACACAGGATGTGCCAGATGTGGCGCATCAGTGGAAACGATCAATCATACACTCTTTCAGTGCTACCCGGTATGACAGATTTGGGCGCTTTCCCAGATTCTTACGGGTATGAGGAATATTCCAACGGAATCCATTTTTGCGAATTTGGATCACTTATTTTGGAGAATACCTTCGGAATTCGATTCATCAGCCTTTCTATGAATTATCTGGTATATTTGGAAAGCAAAAAATGAAAAAATCTTTGAAAATATTGATATAGATCCGTTAGAGATTTTACAGTTAGCGGAAAAAGAAGCACAATTGTGGCTGTCAGCTCAACTCGAGCTTCATAATGGAAATCATGGTTCTATGGATTTGGTAACTTGATCTCGAGTGAGGGATGCTCCACTTGATTCAAATTATTCTGGATACCGTTGATTTGTGGATGGATCATGGAAATGAAGTGATAAGTTCTCCTGTACAGGGTGATTCTGTACATCATCAACTGGAGAACCGCCAACCATGGGAGCTGCCAACCTCCGTAGAAGTCTACCTCCTTTACATACAGAAGTCGAGGCCCTTCTCTGGGTGATGAAGTGTATGATTGGTGCAGATAATCAAGAGGTAGCGTTCATTACAGACTGTTCTGATCTGGTGAAGATGGTGTCTTCTCCACCCGAATGGCCGGCGTTTTCAGTGTATTTGGAGGAATTTCAGAGCGACAAGGAAGAATTCTCAACCTTTTCTTTATCTTTAATTTCTCACAGTGCTAATGTAAAAGCGGATAATCTGGCACGAAAAGTTCGTACAAAACCGCTTAACATCACATATGTAAACAACATTCCCCATGAATGGCTCTTTTGAGCTCTAATTAATTTCGGATGAAAAAAAAAATTACTATTATTTCTTTATTGGAGCACGTATCAAAACTATATGAAAATAAATTTACACTAGATTTAGATTTATCTAGTTATAATGTTTTCAAGAAATTGGAGAACTAAAAAATTTGATTCATTTAAAATTTATTTTAAAGTTGTTAAAGTTAAATTTTACCTAATTAGACTTTTGGTACTTTTTTCATTTAGACTGCTACATGAATAATCACACCGAAGCAAAAGCTTTGATTGAAAAGCGAAAAGAAAATCTTAAGTGGTGTCAGCCTTTGCGTGCAAGAAGAGGATGATATATATGAGGTCGACTATGGGATAAATAAGTATCGGGTTTATGTTCGAGATGCTGTTTCTTGTGCTTGCAGAGCATATGATGTGAGTGGCATTCCGTTTTGCCATATTATGTCCGCTATGTGGGAGGAATATAGGGAAACAAAGCTACCGAAAACTGTTGCTTCAGATTGGTATTCAATTGAGAAGTGGAAGCCATGTTACAGCTCTTTGCTTCGTCATGTTAATGGGATGTAATTGTAAAAAAACCACAGTAATGTTGTTGTTATGCCTCCTCCAGACAGGATCATGCTGGGAAGACCAAAGAACAATGACAGAATCCGTGATCGAACTGAAGATCGTCCATCTCAAAAAGTTCTTTCTGCATGTGAAAAAGTTCAAATGGTAAAATAAAGAACAATGAATTATGTTTTATAAGATCTTCCATTTCAAGTTATTTAATTTAATCTTTGCATTTTTACACTTGCAGCAACTGTCAACAAGTCGGACACAACAGACGCTCATACAAGCGTAAAGCGGTGCCAAAACCAACCAAGAAACCTCAAGGACGAACGAGGAAAAAACAGAAAACTATGGATGAAGAGAACCCTACCACTCGGCCAATACAATCTTCTCTGCAAAGTTAATGTTTTACTAGTCTTTACTTTAGGATATCTAGGGTTTGATTGGTGAACAAAATAAAAGTATTACAAGTTGTACAGTTTTTATTTTTACCAATCACAAAAACTTTATCAAAAGCGTTACTAAAAGTTTTACTCTCAGCTTTTTTGTACAGCTTTCTCGCACATCTTTTTTATACAGTTTTGCACTATTCCGGTAAAGCTAACAGCTAAAAAACTTGTACAGCTTTTGGTTACCAATCGGACCCCTAGTCTCTTTGGAAATGATGTAGACCATATTGCTATTTTTTTTTATATGTTTCAACATGTAGTACTTCTTAAAACGATTTTTTTTTTGTTGACCAACGTTGTTGTGTTGCAACAGGTTCGATGGTTATGTTGGTAGGTTTTTTATAAGCATGACTCGTTGGATGAATTAATGTTGTTGTGTCTTTCTTTTTTCAGCTTCTTAACTCCAAACTAAACAATTCAAAATCCACTAAAACACTAGACGAGAACTCATATTTTCTATAGTTTTAAGAAAACATCTTGATGTTTTTCTTATAAATTCCAAGATCACAAGACGTTTTTTTGTAAATTCAAAACAGTTTTCATAAAAAAACATCTTGTTGTTTCTGCGTTAAAAAAAAACTCCTCGTCGTTTTGTTTCATAGAAAACAAGATATAATTACTCTAGAAGGAGACTGTTAACTTAGGGTTAAGTTTATTAACAGATTTTAGTTCAGGGTTTTTTTAACTAAAAATATAGTTCATGGTTTAAAAATGGATCTGACCAATGGTGAGGGTTTTTTTTCCATTAAATTCCCTTTCTCTTATTTACATATGTTTTTCCCATATCTATGATTAAGAATATCTTTTTAAAATCTATGATCGATTATTTTATACCAGTATCTGTTACTAATAAAAGAAGCTCATTGAAACTTTTCAATGTGTCCACATCAGCACATCAGCTTCGGCAAAAAAAAAAATTCTTAAAAAAAAGGTCTACCCAAAATAAGAAGAAGCTTAACTTTTAAACAAGAGAAGCCTAAGAGCATGTTTACTCATGAACCAAAATGAGTATCATTAACAGTTTTTTATTATTGTTTCATGAGTTGAAACCCAAAATGAGTATCAATAGACTCACCCCAATGATACTTTTCATCCAAATATCAACCCAAAATATATATTTTTTTTAATTATTCATGGGATGATACCCACAAAAGAATCATGAGTAAACATGCTCTAACGATAAAAGCGTAATAATTTCGTAGCCACCCAATATCAATTAGGCCACTAAAACCTAAAATCAGTTCACAAAAAAAAAAAAAAAACGAGAGTCATCCTTCTTCCTCATCGTCTCCTACCATCGTCTCTATCCTCTCAAACTGAATCGATTCAGTTTTCTCCAAAAAAATGAATATGCCACCGTTATCAAATCGCCACTTCGTCATCCTCACTCCCCTATTTATTCATATCAATTAACATCGAACGAAATCAATGACAACTACTGTCAAAATCATAGCCTCTTGCGGAAATTAACCCTATAAAACCTCAGATCACCAACCATACAGATAAACCAAAACGCTCAAACACTCACTACAATAAAAACATGGCACCAAATACAGCACAACCGTCTCCCCAGCCCAACATTCTGTTTGGAAGAACTAATGGAAATTTATAGTTCTGGAGGAGTTTCTTTCAGAATGGGAATACTTGATTATATTTAGTCGGACTTAGACTAATTCTTCCAAACAGAAATCTCCATCAAGTTCATCCAAAATTTGAAAGGTGAATGGTATAGTACGGGTGGAATCCTAGAATTAACAATCTATATATGTAATTATACAATCTTAAACACTAAACAAAACAACAATATTAACAAAATAAACATAACTTAAAATTTCAATTTTTTAGTTATAATATATCGTCTCACGGCATACCATACATTTAAATCAAACAAAAACAATAGCTTATCTATAGATCATTCTAAACAATACAAAAATGTTTGCAGTTTGCACAACAACCAAAAAAACAAAACAATTTGCAGAAAACCCCCAAAGTGAAACCCCTAAATCTACCCCAATTTGACATTTTAGCCCTCCAAATACAAACATATCTTCGTCTTCGTCTTCCTCCTCTAACCTCCACTTTCACATGACGCACCACCGCATCACCACCTACTTCAATGGCGGATCCGCCTCCATCTTCCTCCTCCTCCTCCTACTCACCACCACCACTTCCTCCTCTTCTCCACCAATCCCAGGCCTAGACACTTTCTTAACAAACCAATATCGTCTCGACCCAAAATCATCAAACGACTCATTCACATCACTCTCCTCCTCTCTCAAACGATCTCTGTCTTCTTCATCAATCCACTTCTCATCACTCTCCAAATCTCTCCTCTCTCTCTCAATCTCAATCCCACTCAACGTCCGTTTCATCGGAGACTCCTTTCCTTCCTCCGCCGCTTCAACTCTCTCCGAATTCATCTCCGCCGCCGTAACTAACGACAACTTCCATGTAATCTCTCCGTCTCCAGATTCATCAACAAATCACAAACTCGTTATCTCTCACTCTCTCCACCTCGTCGCATCTCTATCTCCCCAATCTCTCTCTACCAGACTCGATTCAACTTTGAAAACCCTAATTTCAAGCACGACTTCATCTCTCAGATCTAATCTCCTCTCGATCCAATACAATCCCATAGATGAGATTATAAAGCAAGAGTATGAGAAAGAGAAGCATGGAGATGGTGGAGTTTACATTTACTTGATCTCTTTAGGCTCTCAAGCTAAACCTTATGCTTATAGTTACTCTCATGGTGATTCATCAGCTGGGTTTACGAAATGTTTGGGTAGTATTTGGACTGGTAAAGAACGTTATCTATGGATTGATCTCTCTGCTGGTCCTGTTGATTATGGTCCTGCGTTATCTGGTGATGGTGTTTTACCTAGAGGTGAGTTTCATCCTTTAGCTGCTTTTCATGGTCGTCCTAAATCAGAAAAAGCTTTACTTGCGGATTTAGCTTCGTTAGTGTATAATGCTTATCAGGTTTTGATTGTTCCTTCTTTGAGAATCCCTGTGTACTTTGAAGATACGTTAGTGGTTCAGTTGATTCATGTGTATGGGTCGGAGGTTAAGGATTCAAGTGGGTTAGATTGGGAGTTTGTGAAGAGAACGTTTATGGATGAAGCTGAGAATGGTGGGTTGTTGTTAGGAGAACAGAAGTTGAGTTTTAAGAGTTATAGTGTGAATTATAGAGAATGTCCGATTTGTTCGTTTGCGGTATCTCGTGGGATGAATTCATATACGTCTAGGTTTTTGTTTGATAACTATACGCTGATTGTGAGTGAGTATTTGGATTCTAAGCATATGCATCGGGCTTTGACTGATTCAGCTGAGGAGTTGAGGAGAGTTGCGGGGATTGTTGAAGAAGAAGGAAATGAGTTTGCTAGGGTTTTACCGGTTTATGTGTTTGATTTGGATATCAATACGCCTTTGTTGCTTGATCGGTATCATCAGTCTGTTGCTTTTAGAGATATGGTTATTGCTGTTAGAACTAGAGGAACTCAAACCGTGAGTGATTATACCTGCAATGGGCGTCATGTGTTTGTTCATACGAGAGACTTAGAACGACCTCTCGTCGGTTCCATTTTACAGAGTATGTGGGGTGTGTCTTCTACTCATTTGACTTGGAGCCCGAGACATAACACAACTCTAGTTGATTACACATGGAGCATTGGGCAAACACCGTTTGGACCTTTCTCTGATATATCGTCTCTATCATTTGTTCAGAAAGACGCTGCTAAGAGAAACGTTCTGTTGACATCGTTGAACACAACTATCACAAGTGCAATCGATGTTATTGATTCCGCGGTTGCTTATGGAGGAGATGTGATCCTACGGAAACAGAATCGACACTCTGAGTTCATGCAAAGGTGGAATCTTTTGCAGTACAAACTGGATAAAACGGTTTCTGCTCTATCGCACAATGAGTTCGAGATGGCTTTGTACTACCTGAGATCAGCAGCGCACGACTTGTACTCAGTGCATTCAGTAGTGTACCTTGCGTCACAACAGGTAGAAGCCACTCTCAACTGTTTCAAAGATCCTCCGTTCCCATGGGGAACTGTTTCAGTGTCGGGATTTGGGTTAATGGCTTTGGGTTACGTGTACTCGAAAAGAGATAGACTCTTCAGGAGCAAAAGAAAACAGTTCTGAAGAATTCAGGCAGTGCAGGGTAATTTATTATAGTCACATTGGATAAAAGTCTTACTAGTTTGGTTTTTGAGGTTAATACAGCATGTACTATTATGAGCTTGTTTCCATTTGGTAATTTCAAACAATAGAGAAAATGTCGGACCTCTTTTTGGCTGTCTATTTATTTTGAAAGTTAAGAGTTAAACAAATGAATGTTTTAGCCCCTAAACTTGAAATTCGTTTTCTCAGGGGTAAAAATTAAGAACCGAACAACCGAAATGCACTTGTACATTTGATATAAATCTTCGGTTTTATAAAGCTCAAAATTCGATTAAACCGAAAAACCCAAAAAAAAAAAAACCATTTTTTCAACTAATTTGATATAAAATAGCTTTTTCCAAATGTGAAAAATTCAAAACTCAAAATAACCCATTTTTTACTGTTTTGATATAAACTTCGGTTTTATAAAATTCCCAAATCTGAAAAACCATAAGCTCAAAATTCAATTAAACCGAAAATCAAATTTCGAGAATAGATTTTCTTGCCAAAATTAATTATTTTTTTCTACTTATTTTATAAAAATAAATTTTTATTTAATTTTTGTTTTTTGTTTTGGTAAGTAAATTTTTATTGGGTGATTTGCAAAACTAGCCACTTTTGATAATTTAATTAAGAATATAGCATCATGTATGTATAAATTAAGAAAATAGCATGTAAGGGTTGGGAAAAGACAATTTTGGTGTGGAGTTGTTGGTGGAATGAACGAGCAATGGAAGGGAGGAAGAGGGAGACTTTAGTAACACTTAGGGTTGTCGATTGTTGAAACCATAAAATCTAGTGTTTGCATTAATGAAAGAGGGACAATGAGTAGAAGATCGGAGAGGAAAGAGATTCTGGGAAAAAAATGGGATGTGCTATGAAAGATAGAGAAGAGAAATGGGCAAAGAGACAAGGTCAAAATTGTGATTAATACAGAAAATATAGAAAATATCAACCTTTTTTTGTTAGGTGTTAGTTTCTTAATTTATAAATTTTTTTGTAATATTCTTGCAAATTTCCCATTTTTATTTAATTTTAGAAAACGCAGTGCACCACCGCCTATATAAGATCATATCAATGTGTGAAAAAAAAAAAATTCACTCTCTCTCTGTCTCTCTCGCTCTCTCGTCTCTCACCGGAAACCATGACGGACAGCCATTCCTTCAATAGCATCTCCCTCAGCGGCCGCGGCGGAACGGTACCTCCTCTCTCTCTATCTATCTCTATCTCTCTATCTCTCAAGATCTTCCACTTCCTTCAAAGTTTTCACCTTTTCCTCTTCCTTCAAAAACCCTAATTTCTTCTCCCTGTATCCCCTTTTGCTTCCGCCGCTCAATTCCAAAAGAAACGAATGACACAAATTTAGGGCAAAAAAAAAGATTGTCTCTTTCATTTTTCAATTGTGTTGTTTTCTTGTTTACAATTGTTGAAAGCTGCGGTAGTTTTTTAGGGTTTTTTAAGGGCTAATTAGGGTTTCAATTTTGGTACTTTTAGAACCCTGGACTTCTTAAAATCAATTCTGGAGGAATTCAATGGAAGAAACAAGGTGGTGGAAAAGCTGTGGAAGTTGATAGATCTGATATTGTAAGTGTTAGTTGGACAAAAGTTACAAAGAGTAATCGATTGGGAGTCAAAACCAAAGATGGATTGTACTATAAGTTCGTTGGATTTAGAGATCAGGTTTGTGTTTATATATACGTATCTTCTTGCTTCTGTTTTGATATGATATTTGTTTTGTTTTGAGATTTTTGTGTTTGTTTGGTTTATAGGATGTTCCAAGTCTGAGTAGCTTTTTCCAAAGTTCTTATGGAAAAACACCGGAAGAGAAGCAGTTATCGATTAGTGGTCGTAATTGGGGAGAGGTTGATTTACATGGTGAGAGTTGTTATAGCTTTTTAGGTTCACTTAAGGTTGTTGTCTAGTTTATTTGTGGATTTAAAGGAGAAGTTTTTGTTTCTTTGTGTAGGGAATACGCTAACCTTTTTGGTTGGATCAAAGCAAGCTTTTGAAGTATCTTTAGCTGATGTTTCACAGACTCAGATTCAAGGTAAAGATGATGTTACTCTGGAGTTTCATGTTGATGATACTGCTGGTGCTAATGAGGTACTCATTTCTATTCCAATCTGGTTTCTTTTTAGATATGTAATTTCGAGGCTGTTGTGTATGTAAGTGTACATACGTTGGCTGGTTTACTGATTATATTCTACGTGTTTACAGAAAGACTCGTTGATGGAGATTTGTTTTCATATTCCTAGTTCCAACACCCAGTTTGTTGGTGATGAAAACCGTCCACCTTCTCATGTAAGTTCCCAAACCTTTTTAATTTTATGTATGTGTCTCGAGTTTGTTTTTTTTTTTTTTTTTTTTTTCTGTTGATGCTAAGAGCATGTCTCAGGTTTTCAATGACACAATCGTTGCAATGGCTGATGTTAGTTCTGGAGTTGAGGACGCGGTCGTCACATTTGATAGTATTGCAATCCTCACACCCAGGTAAAGAGTTGACCACTTAAACATTTGTTGCACTATTGTATGGTTGCATCTTGTCATGACTAAATGAATTGTTTTTTTTTTCTTTCACAGGGGTCGGTACAGTGTGGAACTTCACCTTTCTTTCTTACGTTTGCAAGGACAAGCTAATGACTTTAAAATCCAATACAGTAGTGTTGTCCGGTTGTTCTTGCTTCCAAAGGTAATTCTTTTTATTAAGCATATCTCAGGGCATTTACTTATGTTAGCAGTCATCAGATTAAACGGATTATCATATTATGATCACTGAATCTTGTTCCTATTAATTGAATTCGTATTCTGTTTAATGCCTGAGCAGTCAAACCAACCACACACGTTTGTTGTTATCTCTCTTGACCCACCAATCCGGAAAGGTCAGACAATGTACCCCCACATTGTGATGCAGGTAAACTTTACTTATATTTTTCCTTCCATTTCAATTTATGTATAAGTTTCTTTCTTTTTTACTCTGATTTACACATCTGTTTTTCCATCTTCTCTAGTTTGAGACAGACACCGTCGTCGAAAGTGAACTGTCAATTAGTGATGATCTTATGAATACAAAGTTCAAGGACAAGCTGGAGCGATCATATAAGGTTTCTGTCTGGTCTGCACTTACGTTATTGAATCAAAATAATTCTACATACACTGATTGCTAAGGATTTGGTTATGAATTTTCAGGGTCTCATTCATGAAGTATTCACCACCGTGTTGCGTTGGCTGTCTGGTGCAAAGATCACTAAACCTGGGAAGTTCCGAAGTTCCCAAGATGGGTTTGCAGTGAAATCATCTCTTAAGGCAGAAGATGGGGTTCTTTATCCACTCGAGAAGGGATTTTTCTTCTTACCTAAACCTCCAACGCTTATACTTCATGATGAGGTAAATTGTGGTTATTAAGGACTGGATATTTTTGATAGGCTTTGAGATAGAGTTGGGTTGTCTAACCCGTTTGTTTTTCGTTTTTAGATTGACTATGTTGAGTTTGAAAGGCATGCTGCTGGTGGTGCTAATATGCATTACTTTGATCTTCTCATAAGACTGAAAACTGATCATGAACATCTGTTCCGTAACATTCAAAGGAATGAGTATCATAATCTCTATACCTTCATAAGGTTAGCACGATTATTTCATTATCTCCGTCTGTATTTACTGAGAGTGCATTTAATTTTTGTGGTAAGTAATCATTATCTTTTCTTGCTACAGCTCCAAGGGTTTGAAGATTATGAACCTTGGAGGTGCGGGAACCACAGATGGTGTTGCTGCTGTTCTTGGGGATGATGATGATGATGATGCTGTTGACCCTCATCTTGAGCGTATCAAAAACCAAGCTGCTGATGAGAGTGATGAGGAGGCAAGTACTTTATGTCTGACCGAATTACTTCATATTCTAATGATTACGTTTTTGACATTCGATACTTCTAATTTATGAAGGACGAAGACTTTGTTATGGGTGAGGATGATGACGGCGGTTCACCTACTGATGATTCTGGCGAGGACGACTCTGATGCTAGTGAAGGCGGTGGAGGAGAGAAAGAGGTAACTTTTGTCACATTCTTCATTCGAACTCTTTCAGCAGCAGAACTATTTGTTTCTCATATCTCCCTGTCATTGACTTGTTTCAGAAATCTATCAAGAAGGAACCCAAGAAAGAGGCTTCGTCATCGAAAGGATTGCCCCCTAAAAGAAAAGTGTCAGCCGCAGACGAAGGCAGTAGCAAGAGGAAAAAGCCGAAGAAGAAGAAGGATCCCAACGCACCAAAAAGAGCGATGTCTGGTTTCATGTACTTTTCCCAAATGGAAAGAGATGTGAGTTCTTCTCTCCTTTGTTTTACTTTTAGCTCTATGATGTAGACTAAGTTGCGGAATGGAGTATCAGCAGTCTTTTACGTAGATGAGAGCACAATTTACGAATCCGACAAACTTAGCATTCCTGATTATCCATTTGTGGACTGAACAGAACATAAAGAAGGAACACCCAGGAATAGCATTTGGAGAGGTGGGAAAGGTGCTTGGAGATAAGTGGCGTCAAATGTCTGGTAAAATTTAAAGAGCCTTTTGAAAAAAACTACATTTCTTGGTTTTACTTGAGCATGTGAATGTGTTTTAATTCCCCCATTGTGTATATGTTTTGTTGTAACTATAGCTGAGGAAAAAGAGCCATATGAAGCCAAAGCTCAAGTCGACAAGCAGCGATACAAGGATGAGATTAGTGATTACAAGAACCCTCAGCCGGTGAACCTGGACTCAGGAAACGAGTCCGACAGTAACTAAACTTTGATGCCCCAAGATTCTCTCTACTAGTAACTTAGATTTTATGCGTCATTTACCTACAAGATTAAGTTATGACATGTAAACGTCAGACCTTTAGCTGTTTGGAGTTAACCAGACTCTCTGACGATAAAGATCTTGTGTTATTCCTACATAAGACAGCCTCTCTTTACCGCAAAATATAGAGTACTGGTGGATTTTGAATAACCTGATTCAAACTTAAGCTCATTACAATATCTACAAGGCCTTAACTAAGAAGCAACAAAATAGATCGTGTTTCTTCTATCTAACAAAGTTCACATGAAAATATTATACAACGAGGTTCTGTAACTCAATCTGTATGATGAGAGTTATGGACAAGAAGCACCCAAAACCTTATGGACAATGGGACGAGTTTTACACATAGCTTGCAACGATGTAGCTTTGCGCATCGTGGTTCCTCTTTCACTTTCTCTCATGTCTACATACTTTTCTCCGACTCTCTCCCACTCAAAACATTGGACCAACGATCCAAGAGCTAAGGTCACTAGCCGTTGAGCTAGCCCTGATCCAGGGCAAGATCGTCGTCCGATCCCAAATGATATCAACTTTTTATCCTCCCCTTCTTTCTCAAACCTCTCTGGCCTAAACTTTTCTGGCTCTTCCCACAACTTTGGATCTCTATGAATGGCCCATGCATTTACCAATATGATTGTGCCACGCGGGACATCATAGCCAGCCACCATACAATCTTCTGATGCTAAGTGGGGTAAAAGCATTGGAGCCACCGGATAAAGTCGTAAGGTCTCTGACACAATGTTCCGAAGATAAGGAAGTTTCACAATGTCTTGTTCCTCTATCAACCGGTCTACACCGATTTGGTCATCGATTTCAGTCTTTGCCTTTCGTAGTACTTCCGGATGGTTCAACAAATTCGCCATCGCCCATTCTAAAGTTCCAGCTGATGTATCAGTCCCGGCAAGTATCATTACCTACCCAATTCAAAATCAGTTAAATATACAACAAGAGAACATTAACCAATGTTACTAATTTGATCTCTCATTTACTTACAAGTATAATTCCTTTAATGATCACATCCGTGTAATAATCAGGCTGAGTTTCTTGTAGAGAAAGCAAATGATCGATCATCGTGTTACCCTTTACTTTCTCTTCACGTTTCTCGTTCACTAGACTTTGCAAAAACTCATCAACCCGAACAGCTAACTTCTTGACATGTTTCTCGTAATTCGTTATATAACGAAGGATCGGGAAATAATCTGCTGCATTCCCTGCGCCGCCACTAACAACCACCTCGGCAATCAACTGTCTAACATGTCTTGCCTCGGTGTCGTCCTCTGTTCCATCACCGTAGAATCTTTTTCCGGCCACCATTCTAATGATGTTGTTGATAGTCAAACCCATAAACAATGGTCTCAACTCCACTTTCACAAACTCCTGAAATTATAATTATTAAGCCAAATGGTTATAATTTAAAACACCATTTAAATCACAAACCCATAAACTATGTTCTTGTATCGGTTGATGTTACAAATCACAATTTGTTTATATTTGTATTTGCTACAAAATATGTTACGAAAAAACTTGGTAACAATCGAAAGCCTAAACCCTTTAACAAAAATAAAATACAAAACAAATCAAAACAAAAAGACAATAATTAATTAAGTTATATTTTTTCGAAATAACTATATAAAAATGAAAATTTTACGGTTCTCATCCGGTTTAATCCTTCTAAATTCATTCGGTATAGTCTATTTAGCCGATCTTAAACCGGACATGTTACCTAGGGACACTTTAAGGGTTAAAAATGTGATTCTTTCAAAGTTTAAATATATGCAAAACTTTTTTCGATAAAATGTAATGTAACGGCTGGTTAAATATGTTACAGAACGTCAAAAATAATATGTTACACAATATTATATGATTTTTTTTTAATTTCTTATAAGCGAGACCGTGACTAAAATTTCTTTACAAAAATAATGAGACCGTGATAAAAATATGTTATATATTTTTAGAAGTATTTTATAGTAAAATGAATCTTTTAAAAAGGTGTAAAAATCGAGACAGTAATTAACTAAGTTAAAATGGTACGTACTTGTTGAGAGTTTTTCGATAGACAAATTATAAGCCGTCGGATCTCATCTTTACGGATAGATAAGAAGCTATTAAGCCTAAGAGACGAGAAGATCTCAATGGTACCAATACGTCGAAGATTCCTCCAACTATCTCCATAAGCCGCACCAACCATGGTGGTGGAGTTGTACGCTATATGTTTCCCGACGAGAAACTCCGGCCGGTTAGCTAAAACGACGTCGTTCTCGGTGAAACATTCCTCAGCTACGGCATGAGAAGAAACAACAAAAACTAGACGAGAGCCAAGGCGGAGAGAGAAAATCTTGGCGTTGTTTAAAGATTTGGAGAGAGTGAGAAATCTACGGTGGAGTGGTAGCTTTAGAAGGTGGAGGTGTCCGATGACCGGAAATGGCCGTGTAGGACTCGGTGGTAGGTTAAGTTTGGACCGCCGTGGTCGGAACAAGAGTTTGAGAGAGAAGAACAAGACGACGAAGAGACAGAGCATTAGGTATATAGTTTCCATTATTGAGTTTGGGTTTTTTTGCTTTGTTGATGATATTAATTAAAATTATATGAGTTATAGCTGATTTTATAGTGAGTGGCAGTTGAAGAAAGATAATATAAAAATAAGTTAGATCAGATTCGTATGTTAACGTTAGGATAATTGTTTTGGACGAAATGAAAAATAAGAAGAGGATAAGAGTTTTGATGATGTCACTGCCTACTTAAACATTAGAATCTTGAGAGATATGTGACACGTGACATTCATCACATCGTGACATTCATCACATCGTGACATTCATCATGTGATAAACTTGTCGTCATTGCATATGTCATTGTGTTCTTTTTCGTTTTTTTCGTTTTTTTGTTTGGTTTTAATTTGCTTATATGTCATATGGAGTAAGAACATGAGATGATATGGTATCAACTTTTAGTGGACCTATTGTCACTTATCTAAATCTTTGGTTAATTGGTTTCATTGGTAACACAAAACAATCCGAATTTTAGTAGAATAGAGAACAATATGCAATATCAATAACGATAGTGATGAAAAAGAACGATACAAAAAACTGAAAGTATCATTTCCGACTTCATTGTTACCACTTTTGAGATTGTGACTAATAAAGTTATTAAAAAGACCAAGTGTCGTTAGCTCAACAGGTAAAGATTTTAGGCGAAGCTTGGAGATCGCCGGTTCGAGTGACGTTTTGGACGAAACTAATATTACATGTTGTGGTTTTGGGTCTTAAAGGATTACGGGGCCAAATTAAACACCGAACCTCATGATATTAAAAAAAAAAAGTTACTAAAAAAAGCTAGTATCTATTTCTTTTCTTTTTATAACAAAAAAAAGAGGTATCTCCTTGTACTAAAATGTTATCACTCACTATATTGTTATTAGAATACAGACAATGACCAACTATCTTAAATCTGTATTTCAGGAACCCAATTTAGATATTTGTTTTTGCACTTTATTGCTACTACTACTCAAGCATATTTCAATTTAACATTTTTAACTTATGATAGAGCGATTTAGTTCTAAATAAAAACACTAACGAGAGTAGTAATTAAGAAAACATGCGATATTATATTAATGAGTTACAAATATCAATTTTTTTAAAAATGGTACAAATAGAGATTAATATCGCATGGCGTTTCCCTCCTTCATATAATATTAAAAATAAAAATAAGAGATGAACTCATGACTCCTTCATCTGTTGTATAAACTTGTGCCCTTTGTTCAATCTAAGTGCTTCTTGTGAGGGTTGCTCAATGGCCTGAATCCGCTTCCTCCACCGACATGCGCCTTACCCGCTGCATCGAACTGACCTTTTCCTAAGTACTTCTGGAATCCTTCCCAATATCCTCCGTTATTACCTCCGACTTTAGCTTCACCTTGAGCTCCAACCTTGCCTTTGACATGAGCTCCAACCTTAGCCTTACCCGCGGCATGGAACTGACCTTTTCCCATGTACTTCATGAATCCATCATAATATCCTCCGTTACCTCCGACTTTAGCTTCACTTTGAACTCCAACCTTGGCTTTGGGTTGATCTATTGGTCCGTACTTCAAGAATCCTCCGGTTTTACCTCCGACTTTAGCTTCACTTTCAACTCCAACCTTGCCTTTGGCATGAGCTCCGACCTTAGCTTTAGCTCCGATTTCGACTCCGGCTCCAACTTGGCCGTGAGCTCCAACCAATTTATCGGCATATCCGAGACCTTGTTTAGCTATACCTCCGATGAAACCGCCGGGGTAAGTGGGAAAACCAATATTCTTCCCAGCAGAGAATTTCGTGCTGCACTGAGAGATCACCTTCACGTAAGACCTAATGGCACTCTTCAACTTACTCACACATTTTTCAATCTCAGCCCTCTCTTTCACGCTTATCTCAGCATTAGCATTGAACTTATACTTTGCCGAGACCGCAGCCATCTTCTCCACAAGCTTAACAAACCTTTCAGCCATCACGGTGTAGCTTTTTCCCAACTTAACAGCGAGGTCTCCTTCAACACCAATGTGTGCTTGTGCAGCAACCATCGCCCTGGTCATCAAAGCGAATTTGACATGAACGACGTGAAACACATCTTTGGAGCCAGAAAACTCAAAGGCCCCAAGAAATTCGGTGTAGCCCTTGCAGACGGCGAACAAAGTCTTGAATGCAATGGTTTTTGGTGCGAATTGAACCTTCTTCTGGACGAAGTTAGAGATTTCAGTGTAAGGGAAGGCTTGGACTTTGGCCAAAGTAGATGGACACAAGGTCTTTTCTATTTTCTTGTCGGTATGTGGGTGAGCCAAGACAGACCCAATGGCTAGAACTAAGGCTAAAGAGAACAACAGAGAGATCCTTGCCATGGTTGTATTGATGGCAAGGTTAAAAAAAAAAACTTGAAATATAAAACTAGAAAGGAAAATGAAGGAAGTGCGTCTTTAGATTGAGGTCTTTGAAGGGTATATATACATTTTCAAGTATCCTAAAAATAGTTACAAAAAAAGGTTACAAGAACAAACAAAACCAACACAATACAGAGAGATTTATGGCTGTTCACTTAAATTTTTCTTTATGGTCAATCTATTTTGTTGAATGATAAAAAAAATGTGGGAACAAGTCATAACCGATCTAGCTAGTCTTATAAATAGAATAGAAATGTTTGCATTGATAAATTTTTTGTTCCTCAGTTCTAGAAATGAAATGTTGTAGTATCCTAATGGTTAATCATTTATTACCACCAAAATTCAAACTGGCATATTGCATGTTATTAACTATCAACAAAATAAACAGACACATTTTATTTGATATGTTTCAATGTTACCCGAAAGTATTTGATCAATTCTCGACAATGAATTCCTGAATCTCTATACCGGTATGGCGTGCACCGCCCTGTAATCTGATCAAAACTTGATCCCCGGGTTTCAGAGAGGTCACGGGAACAGCGGTTTTGCCAGATGAGTTTACTGCAAGAAGAAAACAGATTCATTAGAAACCATTTGATGTGTAAACAAGTAGCAAACCGTAATGAGAATGAGACTCAAAATAAAAAACCTCGATGAGGAGTGACTAATGCAACTGTTTCCGCGTTCTGCAGGATGATGCTAAAAACCGTTTCCTCCTCCTTTGCGCTAAGCTGCAAGAGATGAAGCGGTTTGTTTCAAACTTAATCAAACACAGAGTCCTAATGAACAGTATGCTATAGTGTAGTAAAGAATGTGATTTACGAACCTTCACCTCCACAAGAATATGTGGACGCTTCTCGATTTTTACTCTCCCAACGACTGCTGTCCGCTGTTTTCCTTTCTGTTCAACAACGATTACCTCTCTTCCTGTCCTTAACTCCGAGAGGTAACAAGTCTTTCCACCTGGAACTGCGACATAAGCGTGCACCGGCCCCTGTAAACTGAGATTTTTAGTGAGTCATATCTATAAGAGGAATTGATCCAGCAAGTGAAAAAAGAAAAAAAAACGCACAGCGTTAACTCTAAATGGTCTGCTTTCGATGTAATTAGACTCCAAGCATTCTGAGTGAACCAAGAAAAGTCCTCTCGCAAAGGATCCAACCTTGTAAGAAGAATAAGGACTGATACTTCAATGCTTATAAGAATAGTAAAAATTGATACTTTATGTTGGAGAAAGAGTGTATATACAGGCAAACATACAAGAAGACCTTCACCGGGTCTCATGAGGCTACAAAGATCAACACAAACTCGGTCTCCCATACCGACCATTTGAACCCGAGTTATAGTAGCTTCCGTCAAACTTAATGTATCACTTTCTTCGTTTCTCTTGTCAAAGTATTCCTAACAGTTTTTAAAAGCAGTAAGTATAAGTAATCATGTTTTCTAACAAAATGAAAGGACATATGATTATGGAGATACTAACCTTTAGATCAAGAACAGCTTTAACATCCTCGGACTTAAGAATGATTCCGCCAAGACCATGCTCTAAAGCCTAGAGCCAAAGCATAACACGAGAATAAACTTCTTTTGTTTGAAAGCAAGGAAAAAGAATACTTCATCATCAGAAACTAAAAGCAACCTCGAGGAATAGTTTTGCTTCCGAGGGAGTATTTGAAATGGCAAATACTGTTTTCTCACTTCCTTGAAGAGCCGCTACTAGATTTTCCGCAGGGATTGACTGCGAAACGAAACTTCCAGTGTTACTAAACAGGTAATCCAGTGAGTTCAAGCTCAGAAAGTTATACCTTCCAGTCTAAGAAATCAAGAACAATATTTTCCGCCTGTTCATTTTCGATCTTTAAATTCCGTAGCTCCTCGGGTGTTGAAACCTCGAAGACCGAAGCAACAACATTCCCCGTACCATCAATAACTTTCTTCTCTTCAATAAACAATGTATCCATCAACGCAATCGCTGCAAATCCGTTGAGCATACCGCAAAACTCAGAACATAGATATATATAAAAAACCTCAAAAGGAAGGCTTTTGTAGTACTGCATTGTTACATGACCACTCATCGGATAGTTCTCGATTGTCCGATGAGAATATAAATGTGTTCCACCCTCGTTCCACCGCAACGGTCATGACCTCTTTGCACTCAGTCCATATCCAAACCTTCTTTGCTTGGCCAAGATTCATAGGCAAAGTTGAAGCAGACATTTTCACAACAAATCTATTGGAAAACGTTCTTTTACTAAATCCAATCGAACTATGATTCTTCTTATGAGAACTCCACAATAGTAATCTATCAAGTTCTAATTTTTCTGCATTATCAACATAGCTTAAGTGAGAAATAAGCAACAATGAAGAAACTTGAAAGCTAATCACTAAAATTACTCATTTTTTCTGCAATATCTACAAAACCCAGATGAGATTAAACCTTTGACTACCAAATTTCATATCAAGAATTAGCATTTTAAGCTTTAAAGAAACTCAGATTTCAAAGGCAAACACCAATGGTGAGAAACATCAAAGAGAAAAGACTAACCCTTTCTTAGAGAGAAACAACAATGGAATTGGTTTGAGGATTTGATGTAAGAAATAGAGGAGACCAAAGACAAAGCCATAAATCTATGGTTGGTTCCGATCTTTTAACTTAATCTTCTTTGCTTCTTCTCTTCAGACCTGTGTGTCAGTTGTGTTGGATCATTTGGGCGTGGCCTTAAAACCGTTTAATTAAATTGAGCAAAAAACAGCCTTAACCAGATCCGGCTCGGTTCAATTTCAAAGCTGTTACCGAGTTAATTAGGAAAGTATGGAAATCACGTAAATAATAATGTCATTAAATCAAAAAAATTCACTCTTTTTTTGTAATGATGTTTTTTTTAAAGTTTGGGAAAAAGATCTATACTCCCACGAGAACGACTGCATCCCACCAGATACACATTGATCTATAACTTCGTGCTAGATATTCTAGAAAAAATATTTTTCAACGTATATTCTCTTGAATCTATAGTTCAAAACCTATATCTCCCAAATCCATAGTTTTAAAGCTAATTATCCACATATATCGGTTTTGTCCGGTGTACTGTTTACCAAACAAATATTAACCAACTAAAAACAATATTAAACCGAAATTAAACCAATTTCAATCCAGTTACAACTAATTGATCTATTTAATTAATTCAAAGATGTTTACTTGAAGAAGAAGACGAGTTATTAATTTAATTTGGTCGTGTCCTGAGGAGAGAAGCAAGGATTTTCAAATATTTGGCCAATTGAACAAGAAAGCTGATGCAAAAAAAGAGAGTGCAAACTCTCTGATTGAGTTTTTCTGATTGGGTTTCGATTTGATTAAACTCTTATATGTAAGAAAACATCAAAAGAGAGGAAATCGCGCGCGTGGATCTCACTCGCGGCGATTTTTCTCTCTCAAACTTTCTACCTCTTCTGATCACAATCTCTTGCGCCGCGGTCGGGTTCTCCGTCGATTCCGGCGACGATGAGGACCCAGAGGCTCATGGTTCTTCATCCGTAACCTGCTGCAGCTATCATGCGAATCAATCTGGCCAGAATCAAGGGAGCAGTGGAGGGGAGAAGCTTCTGCCCGACAACGACGGTAAGAGCTCTACCGGCGTTGTAGCGATGCGGAGTGGAAGACGGAGATCTACGGTGAGGAACGAAAGAGGCAAGCAGTTAGTTTTGGGGACCGGAGATTATGGAGGTTTAACGGGATCTTTGTCGATAGGGGAGGTAGACTCCGATCCGGCGAAACTAAGCCACCGTCGACAGTCTCTTTTTCTACTCCCTACTGTTTCTCTCTCTCATGACCGAGCTAAGATCTCCTCGACAAAGTCAAGATCGGATCTCTTCCTCCTTCTCAATACGGCTCTACGGTGGCGGGATGGCAACGGATCTTGGATCACCATCTCGTTCGGCTTGCGTCGTCCAGGCTCACCGGAGGTCCTGTTCCGGCGAGAATCTGCAGTTTTGGACGGCGGCTTCTATCAAGTTCTTTGATAGAAGATTAGGGTTTCTTCTCATGACCGGTTTAGTTCGGTTTGTGAACCCGAGCCGGTTTTCGGTTTTTTGGTTGTTTTGTTAATGGATAGTTGTTTGTGGGTTGGGCCTTAGGGATTTTGAATGAGCCTATATCCGGAAATAGCCTATTGGGCACTTATTTATAAAAATTGCAAACCTTTTATCAAAAAAAAAAAAAAAAAAAAAAAAAAAAAAAAAAAAAGAGAGTGCAAATTGGGTTAGGATTTAGGCCGGGTTGGATTTAATTCCGGTTTAGTATCAAGTTTAGGTCAACCGTATTTTTAATTCGGTTATCATATTTATTTCATAAACCGATTAAACTTTGATATGTGGAAAATAGGTAAAAAACTGTAGATTTTGGGAGATATAGGTTGAAAAATATTTTTTTCCAGGCACATCTAGCACGAAATCAAAGATTGGTGTGGAAATGATGCGATGTGATACTTTTCGTGGGAAAATAAATCGTCCACCCTTAAAAGTTTAAATGTACTTCTACACGTCATATCAAAGATAAACCATAAACTTGAAATCTTGATTTTTAAATATAACATGTTAGAGGAAATTATTTTACCCGTAATAGTAAAATGAATGGCAAAATCATCCAAAAAGTATTTAAACCACATCACTGTTATTATTTTTTTGTTTATTTTAATTTCACATTTTCGTTCTTGGTTTTGCAAATTCTCCAGATCTTCAAATCCACATGATTGTATGAGCAAATTAAAAACCATTAATAAGCTTGGTTTGCTATTTTTATTGAACGATGGGTCCATCAAAGTCTCTAAGTCATTGATTCCATAAATCTAAACTTAGTGTTGTCACAGATTCACTTTCACTATATATATAACGGATCAAGAAGGAAACTTCCCATAATCATCATCATCAATCATGAGAAAAGTTTCTTTGTTATTCTTTTGTTGCATTGTGGCAACAAGTTTAAGTCTCAATGTAGTTTTAGCACACGAGATGGTCGTGAATGCTCCAAACACGATTAAAGATATAGAGCCGTACATCTCGAATAGAGCCCTTGGGTTTGTGTTGAAATTGGAGAACAATTGTCCTATAAGAGAACAGCTAAGATCATTCTTTGATAAGCTAAAGGATCTCTTGAAGTTGGAGTCTTCTGTTACGCCGCTGATCGAAGACAATGAACCAAAGACATTCAAGTTTGATCTTAAATCGAAATCCGAAAATCTCTTGCAAACGATGTTTATGATTGGGAAAGGACTGGTGAGTTATCGTGAACGAAAATATATATATTTATCGTTTTGAATGACTTAAATAGATATTTGCTTGATTGATTTTTCTGCTTTTAAGTTGTTTGTGAGTTTAATCTCCAATCGAAAATAAAACACGATATTTTGTTTTGCATTTTAGTTTACAATTTACGAAAGATACAAAAATACTGTATTTTCAAAGCTATGACATAAATTTTAACGTAAACACAAACAAAAATATTTTGTATTTGGAACAAAAGTTCTAATCTCATGCATTTTCTGTCCTTGCACAATGAAGATAGTTAAAACGTTATAGCTTAAGAAGTTATGGAACTAATCATTGTTTTTCTTTTGTGAATATGATAGTTGAGTTCAAGTGTAAGAAAGGAGATGTTCGAAGTGATGAAATCGCTCACTGAGTTACATGCTGCGATCGGTAGAGTTATTATAGAGAAACATATAAAAGGTGATGAATCAATGTCACTTTCGTTGGAACAAAAGAATGCAGTAGAAAACTCGATAACTGAATGGGAACAAACGATTACCCGAATTGTGAAGATTGTTGTAGAGGTTAAATCAAAAAGTTCAAGTCAGGCTTCGTGGAAAGAAAGCAGTACTACTGAACACAACAATGTTTCTATGGACGGTAACATGGTGGCGACCAATGGAGAAAATTCCGAATCCACGCAAGAAAAATCAGATGGCGTTAAAGGAAGCAATGGAGGTGATGTATCAATGGAGACTCAACAAGGAAATAAGGTGGACGATCTTAAAGAAGGTAATACTGTTGTTGAGAATGGCGAAACAAAAGAGATTAATGGTGAAAATGCAGAATCTAATAACGAGAAGGCAGTAGAGGGTCAAGGAGAAAGTATTGGAGATTCGGCCATAGATAAGAATTTGGAATCTAAAGATGATGTTAAGTCGGAGGTAGAGGCTAAAAATGATGGAAGTTCCATGAAAGAGAACTTGGAAGAAATTCAAAGAAACAATGGAGTTTCAACAAAAGATACGAATTTGGAGAACAAAGGAAGTGAGGTGGAGTCTAAAGATGATAAAATGGTAAATGCTACAACAAATGATGAAGATAACACGAAAGAAAATAGGGAAGAGAATCAAGAAAACAATGGAGAATCATTGAAGGATGAGAATTTGGAGAACAAAGAAAGTGAGGGAGAGTCTAAAGATGATAAAATGGTAAATGCTACAACAAATGATGAAGATCACACGAAGGAAAATAAGGAAGAGACTCCAGAAAACAATGGAGAATCATTGAAGGATGAGAATTTGGAGAATAACGTAGGTAATAAAGAATTAAAGGGTAATGGATCGGTAGAGGCCAAGACAAATAATGAAATTTCTATGGAAGCAAAGCGAGAAGAGACTCAAAGAAGTAATGAAGTTTATATGAACAAAGAAACAACAAAAGGTGAAAATGCTGATTTTAATAAAGAGAAGGAATCAAATATTCAAGGAGAGAGTATCGGAGACTCAACGAAAGGTATCATTTTGGAGGATAAAGAAGATGTTAAGCCAGAGGTAGATTCTAATGTAAGTGATGGAAGTTCCACGAAGGAAAGGCATCAAGAGGCTCAAGGAAATGATGAAGTTTCAACAAAAGATAAGAATTTGGATAACATAGGAGCTGATGAAGAGAGAAAATATGACAAATCAGTAAAGGTTATGACAAACGATGAAGGCCATACGAAAGAAAAGAGGGAAGAAACTCAAGGAAACAATGGAGAATCAGTGAAGAATGAGAACTTAGAGAATAAAGAAAATAAGAAAGAATTGAAGGATGATGGATCTGTAGATGAAAAAACAAATAATGAAAGTTCCTTAGAAGAAAAGGGGGAGCAAACTCAAAGAGGTCACGATAATTCTGTGAATAGCAAGTTAGTGGAGAACAAAGGTGGAAATGCATATTCTAACAAGGAGAAGAGAGTACATGTTGGAGACTCAACTAATGATAATAATATTGAGAGTAAAGCTAAATCAGAGGCAGAAGTCAAGAAAAATGATGGAAGTTCCATGAAGGAGAAGGGAGAAGAGGGACAAGGGAACAACATAGAATCAATGGAAGATAAGAACTTGGAGAACAAAGAAAGTCATACTGATTTAAAGGATGAGAAGTCCATTGCGGATAAGCAAAATGTGAGAACTACCATGAAAGACAAGCAAGAAGAATCTCAAATAAACGTGGGAGAGTCTAAAGATGATAAGTCGGTAGAAGCTAAGGGAAATATGAAAGAGTCTAAAGATGATAAGTCGGTAGAAGCTAAGGGAAATACGAAAGAGTCTAAAGAAGATAAGTCGGTAGAAGCTAAGGGAAATACGAAAGAGTCTAAAGAAAGTAAGTGGACAAAGACTAATGAAAATAAGGTAAGGAATAAAGGAGAGAATGTTCAAGGAAACAAAAACGAATCGAAAAAGGTAGAAAAAGGAGAGAACAAAGAGTCTACAGACGCAAAATTAGTGGAAGCTAAGGAAAATAAGAAACTTTCTAGAAAAGAAAACCGAGAAGAGGATAAAGGAGGTAGTGGTGAAGATACCAAAGAAGACAAGGAAGAGTCTAAGGACTATCAGTCAGTTGAGGGTAAGGAAAATAATGAAAGTTCCATGAAAGGAAAACAACAAAAGGTTCAAGAAAATGGTGGAGTGTATACAAAGGTGGGTAACAATGAAGATAGTAAAGATTTAAAGGACGATAGATCAGTGGAGGTTAAAGCAAATAAGGAAAAATCCATGAAGAAAAAGCGTGAAGAAGTTCAAAGAAACGACAGAGGTTCAACAAAGATAAAGAAAAACAATTCTAAAAAGACTACAAAAGAAGATAGAGATTCTGCTAATAACATGGATATAGATGTTCAAAAGGGAAATGGAGAGTCAGTGAAATACAAGAAAGACGGAAAGAAAGAAGGAAATAAAGAAGAGAAGAAAGATACAATCAATACTAATTCAAAGAAAAAAGGAAAAGATAAAAAGAAGAAGAAAGAGTCTCAAAATAGTAATATGAAGAAAAAACAAGAAAATGAAAGGGAAAAAAAAGAGTATGAAGACAGTAAATTGAAGAAAAAAGAAGAAGATAGAAAAGAGAAGGAAGAGTACGTAAACAATGAATTGAAGAAAAAAGAAGATAATAAAAAAAAGACGAAAGAGTCCGAAAGTAGTAAACTGAAAGAAAAAAACAAAGATAATAAAGAGAAGAAAGACTCTGGAGATAGTAAATCAAAGAACAGAAAGGAGAAAAAATATGAGGACAACATAAAAGATGACAATAAAGCAAAGAAGAAAAATTCAAAATACTACAAGTTGAAGAGAAAAGAAGAAGATAAAAAGGAAAAGAAAGAGTATGAAAATACTAAATCGAAGAAAGAAGAAGAAAATAAAAAAGAGGACAAAGAGTACAAAAGCAGTAAACTAAAGGAAAAAAATAAAGATAATAAAGAGAAGAACGAGTCTAAAGATAGTACATCAAAGAATAAAGAGAAGAATGAATATAAGGACAATAAAGTGAAGAAAGAATACGAGGACAATAAATCAAAGACAAAAGAAGAGGCGAAGAAAGAGAAGATATATTCAAAAGAGTACAAATCGAAGAGAAAAGAAGAAGACAAAAACGAGAAGAAAAAATCTGAAGATAAAAAAAGAGAGGAGAAAGACTCTGAAGACCGTAAATCTAAGAAGGCAAAGGAAAAAAAACAAGAGAAAAAAGAATCTAAAGACCTTAAAGGTAAGAAAAAAGAAAACGAAAAAATGGAGAAGAAAGAATTAGAAAACCATAAATCGAAGAAGAAAGAGAAAAATGTAGAAAATAAAAAAGAGCATGAAGACAATAAATCGATGAAGAAGGAAGAAGACAAAAAAAGAAAGAAAGAACATGAAGACAATAAATCAAGGACAAAAGAAGAGGATAAGAAAGACATAGGAAAATTGGAAGATCATAAATCGAACGAAAACATAGAAGAGCACGAAGACAAAATTTCCAAAAAAAATATAGAAGAAAAGAAAGAGAAGAAAAAGTTCCAACATGGTAAATCGATGAAGAAGGAAAGTGATAAGAAAAAGAAGAAAGAAAAAGAAACAAAAGAGATTGAAAACAGTAAATCACAGAATAATGAAGTAGATAAAAAAGAGAAGAAAAGTTCCAAAGACCAACAGAAGAAAAAAGAAAAAGAGACAAAAGAATCCGAAGAAAAATACCCGAAGAAAAATGAAGAAGATAGAAAAAAGCAAACAAGTGTTGAAGAAAATAAATCAAAAACAACCGGAGAAAATAAGAAACAAAAAGAAACAGAGGAAGCAAAGAACAAGTCTAAAGACGATAAGAAAAACACTAAAACACAGAGTGGAGGCACAAATCAAGTAGGAAATCAATCAGAAACAGGAAATTCTATGAAAAGAAAAGAAGACAAGAAAGAATCTAAGGATTCCGACTCAAAAGAAGCAGACAATCAACAAAAAAGCCATGGGCAAGAAAAGAAAGTAGGGGTTCAAGTTAATTCTGAAAAGGATAAAAAGAAGACTAAAGAAGATGTCAATGTGTCCACAGATGGTAAATCAAAAGATCATGAAAAAGGAACCCAAGCAACAACTCAAGGAGATAGTGAAGAATCTAAGAATGAAATGCAAGCAGATACTCAAGCAAAGATTGGAGAATCTTTAAAACATAAGAAAGTAAAGGGCGAAGAAGATAATGGAGATGAAGTTGGTAAAGAGAAAGGTAAAACTATAGAGGTTAAAGGAAGAAACGAAGAGTCTAAAGATGGCAAAAAAATTAAAAATCAAGGTAAAAATAATTCTGAGGAAGGAGGTTCTAAACATGGTAAGGAAGTTCAAATCGAGGAAGGTAAAGACGGTTCTATAGAAGAAGGTTCCAAAGGTGTTAAGACTATTGAAAACATTGGAGGTAAAGAAGATTCCGAAAATGATAAGGTAATTGAACATAACAAAGCTAATGAAGATTCCATAGAAGGGGGTTCTAAAGATGGTAAGACAACTGAAATCAATGGAAGTACAGAAGAATCCATGAAAAAGGATTTGGAAGATGGCAAGACGGTTGAAATCAATAAAGGTAAAAATGATTCCCAAGGGGAAAGTTCAAAAGATGCTAAGACAGTTGAAACAAGTGGAAGTAAAAATCACACAGAAGAAGGTTATAAACTTGATAAGACATCAGACATCAATGCAAGGAAAGAAGATTATAAGAAAGACGGTTCCAAAGATGGTAAGATAGTTGAAATAAGTAGAGGTACAAACTCAACAGGAGAATTTTCCAAAGATGGTAAGACAATTGAAAACAGTGGAGGCAAGTTAGATTCCATGGAAGAAAGTTCCAAAGATAGTAACATAGTTGAAACAAATGGAGGTAAAGAAGATTCCGTAAAAGAAGGGTCTGAAGATGGTAAGACAATTGAAACTAATGGAGGTAAGGAGATTTCCACTGAAGAAAGTTCCAAAGATGGTAAGATAGAAGAAGTGAACGAAGGTCAAGAAAACTCTACAAAGAAAAATTATGAAGATGGTAAGACAAATGATATTCATGGAGGCAAAGAAGTAACCATGGAAGAAGGCTCTAAAGATGATAAAAAAATAGAAATAAATGGAGGTAAGGAGTATGCAGTGGAGAAAAACTCTGAAGATGGTAAGATAACAAATTTAAATGGAGGTACAAATCCCACAGGAAAAGATTCCAAAGATAGTAAGTCAGTTGAAATCAACGGAGTGAAAGATGATTCTATGAAAGAAGATTCCAAAAATGGTAACATAAACGAAATAAATAATGGTAAGGAAGATTCTGTGAAGGATAATGTGACGGAGATTCAAGGAAATGATAATAGTTTGACAAACAGTAGATCAATGGAGCCCAATGGAGATAAACTAGATATCAATGAAGATTCTATGAAAAATAAGACAATGGAAGCTCAAGGAAATAGTAATGGAGATTCAACAAATGGCGAAACAGAGGAGACTAAAGAGAGCAATATTTCTATGAACAATCAAAATATGCAGGATGTAGGAAGCAATGCAAATTCTATGAATAATCAAACAGCAGGAGATGGCGTAATTTCCACAACAAAAGAGGAAACAAGAACATATATCGAGAGGAACACTTCTAAAGAAGTTACAAGTTTCATATCAAACCTTGAGAAGAAATCTCCAGGCACACAGGAGTTCCAAAGCTTTTTTCAGAAACTTAAAGATTATATGAAATACGTGTGTCCGGTCTCTTCAACATTTGAGGCAAAAGATTCAAGGTCTTACATGTCTGAGATGATAAGTATGGCCACAAAACTGTCTAACGCTATGGCTGTCTTGCAAGCCAAGAAAAGTGGGTCAGGACAGGTGAGTTAATTAAATCAATTCTCATAAAAATCCCAAGAAGTATAAGCTCACAACTGAATTTTTTTTCTAACAGATGAAAACAACACTACAAGGATATCAACAAGAAGTGATGAAGACTCTAACTATCTTACAATCGGTTATGGGAAAAGTCGTATCCGAACAACAAAGCAAGAATAGTGGTTCATTGACGCTTACGTTATCACAACAACAAGCAATCAAGGGAATAGTGTTGAAATGGGAACAAGTGATGTCTCAATTTGTGAAGATCGCTACAGAGAGTGAGAAACAATTTTCACTCGAGATTTCAACTGAAAACGGCTACCACATGAAGAAAAGTTCTAACTCTAGCTCGAGTTCGAGTTCGAGTTCAAGTTCAAGTTTGGATTTCATACATAACAGTGAAAATTTGAAGGGGGTGGATATGAATGGGTAGAGAGTACATTATGTGAATAATAAACTCCACATAATATTACTTATGATTAACTAGATTTTTTTTTTGTGTTGTAAAGTAATCACAAATCGTTGTGAAGTTTAGATTTTAGATAAAAAATTATGAACATGCATACAAATTATGCAAATTATTTTTTGTGGATATGTAAATATAAGAAATCTCATTTGGTTAGAATAAATAATTAGTTCTATTATTTATTATTTTGAGATGGTTTGGATATAATGTATAGCCAACACAAACGACAATAACTAATAAAAATTCATGGTCAATCATTAGTCAAGTACACATTGATGCCACATAAATATTTGTAGCTAATTATCCATGACCAACTTACGAAAATTCTAGTGACTAACTAGCTAGCTACTTTGACCACACCGTTTTCGTGGCTAAAATTTGAAATGGGTTTAGCTAATTTAGCCATTAATTATCTGTGTGACCTTACCCAATTAACCAAAAAACTTTTTTGTCCACTCATATACTTTAGTTTTATATGGTGTTTAAATAGATTTATTATTATTTTTATACGGAAATATTTTCTTACTCATTTAAGTACAAAAAAAATATTTCCTCTTTAAGCAAATGTGACTACTTCTCCATGCCATAGAAAAATGTGAATTTATAAGCAGGTTTGACCAATCTTTAAACATGTTTTATTCTGGCAATTTCCCTAAATTGGGGTTTTTCTCAAGAGGACAAACTCTACAATTCTTACTTTCACATCTACAAAGACGGATGTAATAAGTTTCAGAGATTATTAGCTGATATATTTAGGGGTGGACCCAGAAAATACTCATGGGTGCAAAAAGTCATAACATGGAATCAAACTCTGTAACATCCCGGTTTCAGGAATATGGTGGTGCATGCAGAGAAGATTAAAAGAATTGATTTGGCCACCTATGTCACCAAAGTGCACTTATCTTTTCGGTCAACTGTTCTGAGAAAACTCCACAGTTAAGGGTGCTTGAGGTAGAGCAATTTCAGGATGGGTGACCTTTCGGGAAGTGATTGTCGGAACTGTTTGAGTGAGGACAAAACACAGAGAAAGATCATGTGATGATTTGTATGGTCGGTTAACAAGTCTTTAAAACCTCCCGGACGTAGCGGACCGGCCGTCGGACACGGGTAGGCCCAAGGACAAAGAGAAGACGTGGAACCCATTAAGAGAGATATGACGGTCGGAGCGTTACAAACCTAGTACCTCAATGTATGTAATGACTCGTTCTAAACCATTTGCTACGTTTAATACTTTATCCATGGACAAACGTTATATATTTATATGTTACTGAGTGCCCTATAATGTGGGTCCGTCCTAGATATATTGTTGTAATATTTTCTACAAAGTCAATGGGTTCAACAATTGCACTATCTTTCTTTCATTTTGGTGTATTTCATTTCTCAACTTTTTTAGTTTAATCTCAAAAAAATTTAAATATTTTTTTGTTGATTAATATATTTTACATCGATTACAAAAAAAAAACCATTTAGAAAGGTTTGCACGAGTTTAAGAGTTCCAAATATTGGGATGTAGATAAAGTAGGAAGATCTGATGATCTTATCCATAATTCGGATATGTTTCCTTAATCCTTAAACTCTTCTTTTGATGTATTCTTTTATTCTATATGTAATTGGGTTGCTTAGTTAGAAGTAGAGATATTTATGTGAAACCTTTTTGGTTATGCTCTTTTTTTTCTACAACTTTTCCATGAAAGTATCTCTAGATACTACACAAAAAGAAAAAGAAGGGTTGCATCAATTAAAATTGCATAAGAAAATAAATGATATTAATTTGAGTTACTCAGTAGTAATAGATATAAAATATAGATTTAACATCAATTAAGTAATTTGATAAGAATTAATCTTAATTGGCATCATTAAAAAAGAAAAGATAAAAAATCAAAAATTTACATCATTTTAAAATTGAATGAAAGTTTAAATCATTTAAAAAATTATTCTAAAAAGATTATGAATAAGCCTTGTAATTGATGCAATTTTGTTTACTCAAGTTAGCCCCACACGGATAAAAACTGCTAAGAAGAGAAAAATATTATTTTATAAAACAAACTCATCATTTTATAATTGTTTAGAAAAGTTTTGGACGAAAACATTTTATTTGACACCAAATAATAATTTAAAGATATTATTTAATTAAATAATAAATGGTATGGGGAAGAAAGGTTCTTGGATATGGCAAAAATTACTCAAACTCTGCAACACTACGTTTGATTTTATCAACTATAAAATCAGAGATGGTAAATCTGTCTTCTTCTCGTTTGATAACTGGCGCACCGATGGAAAATTGATAGATTCGAATAGAGCGCTTGGTCCTCCTACCTTGGTGTCACACGCGCCAAAGTAGCAGATGCAACAACTAGTCAAGGCTTGTCTATTCAGAGCTCCATAGCACGTCGGCTCCAATACCTCACACACCTGATTTTGCAACAGCCATTTCCTCTCCAGTATGTAGGTCCCGACATCATACTTTGCTATGTGCTTTGACATCTTTAGCGCAAAGATATGTATTTCTTTTCTTTATTAATGAATGTAAAATTGAATTCAACCCAACAAAAAAATCCTTTTGTACAATGAATGCGTCATTTAACTAAATTTTGTATAGAAATTTTCAAAAGAATTTAGACCCAAAGAAGAACTCTTGAACTTTGGTTACTCATGCGATTGGAACCAGATAGTCCATCCTCGTACTTAGAGCACCTCCATTGGATAAAAAAAAATGGGAGTATCTTCAAATTTAAAAATAAAAATAAAAAGAAAGAAAAAATATATTGTAGGAATAGGAAATAACCGTGTCTCCCTAAAGATATTTAAGACACTTTACGTGTCACCATGTTATTAGGCAGTGATAATTTTTATTATTTTATTTTTATATTTCTTTTCTTTATTTGCCAAAACAAAAGTTCCTCTTTCAATTATCAATGTGGAAGATCTTAGACCATCTCCATCCACATGTTCTAAGAAAGGTTCTAACAAATTAAAAAATAAAAAGTAATACTAAAGTACGAGAGAGACTGATAAACGTTTCTAAATTGAGAAACTATAAAAAACGTATCTTGACACATGTCCTGTTGTAATTGGATAAATGCTTCTTTTATAAATTGTTTTTTAAATAAATGATAATATTATACAAAATTTATTAAAATAATATTTTTTGAGAAATTGATAACGTTTCTACTTATAAAGATGCTTTTAGAAGCTCCCTTTGTCGGAAGATATGTATTGCTTCTACTGTTATTAATCACAAACACAATAATTAATACGGTAAATAAACTAAACAATTTTTTTTACTGCTTTTTGTTGCCTCTTCTATTTATGCAGACATTACTCACAACTAAAAAATCTTGTCAAGTTTATATCACAAATAAAAACATTGACTAGCTAGGGGAAGCTATAAGAAAAATAAAATAAAACTTCAATAAAGGACTGAAAATTTGATTTAATGTATCATTTATACAAAAACCACTTACATTCATATTTTTTAAATTAAATGTAAATGTATATATCCAAAATTTCATGTATTCATATTCTTACAAAATAAAAATAAAAGAGTTAATTTTATATCCATGCATTGTACGCATGTCTATAATTCTATAGTATAGAGTGTGTGTAATTAATAATCTTAAAGCAAAAAATTCTACAGCTCGCTGCTGTAACTAAGCAGGGCCATCTCTTTATTGACATAATAATATTAATACGTTTTTGACCTCTGGGTCTAAATCTACGAGTCCGCATTGGCACTGCCGGAACTTTTCTCTTCCGAGGAATGGCTGAAGGAGCTTTTACCTGCGGATTTTGAGTGCGTCTTTTGATAGTTGGCAGATTGATAGCTAACAGTGCCGGCTTGGCCTCCGGAGGCTCCAGCTTCCATCGAGCTTTCAGTTGCACTTCCACTTGGGCCACCCGCAGAAGGGCTACCGGCTGGACTTCCACCTGTAGAGTCTGTGTAGGTTCCTCCACCAGCCATTGAACTTCCTTGGCTGTTAGAGGTTTCAGTTGCAGTTCCACTTGCGCCACCGGCAGCAGCGCTCCCACCACTAGTAGTTTCACTTGCAGTTTCACTCGCGCCACCAGATGCAGCTCCACCAGTTTCAGCACCGGTTTCTGCCGAGCCACCGGAAGTAGCTCCACCACTTTCAGCACCGGTTCCAGCCGAGCCTCCGGAAGCAGCTCCACCACTTTCAGCACCGGTTTCAGCCGAGCGTCCGGAAGCAGCTCCACCACTTTCAGCACCGGTTCCAGCCGAGCCTCCGGAAGCAGCTCCACCACTTTCACCACCGGTTTCAGCAGAGGCACCGGAATCAGCTCCACCACTTTCACCACCGGCTTCAGCCGATCCACCGGAAGCAGCTCCACCACTTTCAGCACCGGCTTCAGCCGAACCACCGGAAGCAGCTCCACCACTTTCAGCACCGGCTTCAGCCGATCCACCGGAAGCAGCTCCACCACTTTCAGCACCGGCTTCAGCCGAACCACCGGAAGCAGCTCCACCACTTTCAGCACCGGCTTCAGCCGAGCCACCGGAAGCAGCTCCACCACTTTCAGCACCGGCTTCAGCCGAACCACCGGAAGCAGCTCCACCACTTTCAGCACCGGCTTCAGCCGATCCACCGGAAGCAGCTCCACCACTTTCAGCACCGGCTTCAACCGAGCCACCGGAAGCAGCTCCACCACTTTCAGCACCGGTTCCAGCCGAACCACCGGAAGCAGCTCCACCACTTTCAGCACCGGCTTCAACCGAGCCACCGGAAGCAGCTCCACCACTTTCAGCACCGGCTTCAGCCGAGCCACCGGAAGCAGCTCCACCACTTTCACCACCAGTTTCAGCCGCACCACCAGATGCAGCTCCACCACCAGCACTTTCACCACCAGTTTCAGCTGAGCCACCAGAAGCATCTCCACCACTTGCGCTTTCACCACCGGTTTCAGCCGAGCCACCAGAAGCTCCACCACTAGCAACTTCACCACCAGCAGCACCTCCACTATCAGCATCAGTTGCACTTGCAGTCTCCCCAGCTGCTCCACCTACAGCAGAAGAGGAATCACCACCCATTGAACTTTCTCCTCCGGCGGAACTGCCATCATCAGTTGTACTTCCACTAGGGCCACCAGCAGTGCTTCCACTGCCATCATCACTTGGATAGGAGGGGCTACTTGCCGAGCTTCCAGTATCGCCTGTGCTATCTCCATAGCTTCCACTATCGGTAGGACTCCCAGTATCGGCTGAGGGGGAACCGCTATCTGAGCTTGGACTTCCACTATCACCACCGCTACCAAAGCCAGAGCTTCCACCTCCAAGAAGTGATGAAAGATCAATATTTTTGCCGTCACCAGTCTGGTCGCCAACTTTTTTCACAAACTGACCAATCACTTGTGCCCATTTTGCCATAGATGTGACCAGCTCTCTTCTTTGTTCGCTTGTCATCGTTGTTGCACCGCTCCTTTTAAATTCAGCAAATGTTTTTCCCATTGACATCAAACTCTCGATCAATTTGCTCGTATCAGCCTATAACAAAACAAGAAAAATTAAACACAAAAAATTATCATGCTTAACGAATTGGCTCCGATTAGTAACATAAAACTAGTAAAAAACAACTTTTAGGAGTAAACGATTCATAAATAGCTAAAAATCTTAAAATGTAGCGATACAAGATAGCAGTATAAAAAAGCTGAGAGTAATCTTTTCCGTAATGCTTTTGAATAACGATTATATGATTGATGATGCTGAAAGTAGTACACCCGATACCGCAGCGATACATAATTACCAAATGAAAATTGTTCTAACTTCTAAAACTCATGTGAACAATATAATAAAATACAAAATCTTACCGATGATCCTCCTTTGATACCCAATGCAGAGATAGCCTTGAAGAGGCCCTCAGATTGTTGTTTCATCTGAGACTGGAAGTCTGAAGAAGACCCTTTTGCCGTGTTTATGAAGCCCATGAAAGCTTTCAGCTTTGAGAAGAAATCCTTGTACTCTCCTTTTCCTGGAGCCATACTTTCAAGGTTGTCCACAAAACTAAGCATACCCTTGTAAGCAAAAGGCTCAAAATCTTGGGAATTTTGAGGAAATTTCTTCATGTAATGCCTTAATAAGAACCCAGCTTGTGCTTCATATATGGTACTTGATGCTACTAGTATTAACATTAGACATACCGCTATAGGAAATTTAGCCATTTTTTTTGTCAGATATGTAAAAAAATTGAAGGATTTTTTTATGTTTAGTTTTTTAAATTTATCTATATATTTTTTTGGGTTTTTGAATAATTTTTTTCAATGCGAGAATTTGGCTTATATAGATGCTTAAAATTTCTAATTTTGAGTTAGAGAAATTGGTGGATACATTTAAGGTCGCGAGAGAATAGCCAAAGAGAGACTAATGGTTCTCATGTCCCATAACCGATTTCCACGGTAAATTGTGTTGCTCTTATGGTTTATATCATTCTATATTAAGAGAATAAATTATCCCAATATCGCTTGTAACATTAATGTACTATCCACACAATTTATGTTTTGTAGAAATGTTAGAATCTTTTGAATGCTTATTACATTCGGGTTTATGCATTACACGATTAATGATACATGTCGTAATCTTCTTAATTATTTTCATGTGTTGCGATCTAAATTTTTTAAAATATACCTTCGTAGTATATGTAAGATATGCTTTTTGGTTTTGAAGTTTTCTTTTTTGGTTGAAATTTTTTTAAAAAAACAATTAAGCTGTACATAGTAAATTAATATGCTCCATATTGCTACATATTTATACTATTAGCTTAACTAATCAAGCCTTAGGTCCAATACTCAAGGGAGCTTTTTCAAAGCAAGAAGCCTTCAAAGCAATAGTTTTCTGTAAGACTATTGCGAGTTAGCGTAAAATGTTTTAAACTCCCAATGTAAACATTTTGAGTTTACATGTTTGCGTAATATATTTTGAAACATATTTACGTAACATGAATTATCTCCACTGATATAATGTATTGATTAATAAATTTTTTTGTAAAGTATATTAATAAGGATAAAAGTTATCTCCACTGATTTAATGTATTGATTAATAAAACAATTTGTAAAGTATAAAGGATAAATTTTTTAATATAGTTATCTCCATATATAAGTGTCTACGTTTGAAAATATAATTAAATAACTATATTCAAATTGTAGACACTTTATATGAAGAGAAAAAGATGAAAAGAGAGTCAACATCATAATGTAGTCTTCGTAATCTACATTGAAAAACAGAATGTAAACTTTTATCTAATATTAATTCTTCATTCATCACTGGGTATTGATTTAGCATTTTCGTTAGTGGCAATGGCGACGTTAAAAGAATTTTGCTGGCCAGGATTTGTGATTTTAACGACTCTTTCTTAAGCAGGACACCGTAACATCCATGAATATATTGTTGGTTCTCCAAGCCTAAGCCAACTTCTCTATTGGTATGATATTGTCCACTTTGGCCGAAAGGCTAAATCCGTTCGAATTTATTTTTAAAATATTTTATACTAGACCTCATACTAATTGTAGTCGGACTTCCCTTATATATTATACAACTATTTTCTAATCTTTTGATGCGGGACGTTCGTTCATATTCCAACAATTTTCACTTCAAACCAAGACCATGAACCTTTGACTTCCCCTCCAGCGCAACTTTGGCAGTTGGCACCATGGCACCGAGACTTCTTAATCGCTAAGTCATATTGAGGCACTTTTTAGTCGCGTCACATTGAGAACTCCTCCCGCACCAAACATGTAGCCCACACCCACTTTTCTAGGTCTACTTTTTCGATCTAGGCCCAAATACCAATTGTTGGGCTCTCCAAATCTAAATCAGTTCTTTTATTAGTATGATTTTGCCTGTTTTTGGCCTGAAAGCCAATCTTGCACGGATTTGTTTTTAGATTTTTCCCAAAAGATCTCATATAAATTGGAGTTGAACTTGACTTAAATATTAGACAATTATTTTCTAGTATTCAATGTAAAACATGGCTTATATCTCAACATATATTGGGTTCGAGCCTATTGATGACTGTAATAGCAGAACTGGAAAGCCAAACACTCGATGGGAATGACAAATGTCCGCAGGGCTGGTCCGCATAAGCAAAGAACGTATCCCCTAAGGCATCACCAACACCAATCGTTTGGAGAATTTTGTTTCGAAATTTTTTTGACATGCACAATTTTGTTGTTGTTACACGGGCATCCAACAAAATTTGGAAAGAGTGAACCGCCTTGAATGTGAGGTAAATGTCGCAGAATATGGAGAGTTAGATAAAGCCAGACTTTTGTTGGGAAAGGTAAAGAGGGTGTGTATGTAACATGTACCTCATGTTTTGCTATAAACTTAATAAAAAAATATTGCTAATGTTATGCTCAAAGTTGTTATCCAATTCAATTTGGGTATTATAAAATAAATAAATGATTTAGAGGTTTTTTTTATATACATTTTATTGATTATATCAAGTTTCTCTGTAAAGTCAAATATATTTGATCTATTTGTACTATTTAGATTGTTTTTAATGACGTATTGAATGACGTTTTTTTATTTAAATAGAAATTATTATTTATATAATATTTCATTTTCTGCATTTTTAACTAATACTCTTTCTGTTACATTTTAGTTGATGTTTAAAAAAATTTCACAAAAATTAACAAAATACATAAATTCTGTAAATGTTTTTGTCTTCTGTATATTTAAACATTTATTGTCTTTTTTTTTTATCAAAAAACATTTGTTATCTAAAAGTAACTATTTAACGGATGAAAAAAAAACTCTAGCAAATGATAAAAAATAAATCATAATTTCGCATAGAAAAGTGAGAACAGCTTTAATTTGATGGGTATTAGGTTACTCTATTTATAGACTAAAAAATAATATTATTTTATTTTTTTTACTATTTTAGAGGTCACTCTATATTAGAAGCATACATTGGAGCAAAACCCCCTCTAAAATAGAGGTGCTCTAAAATAGAGGAGAAAATAGAGGTGGGCTTTGGAGATGTTCTAAAACATTAATTATTTTGAAACTCAAATAGTATATCTTATAAGTCAAAATGAAAGGAAGTGTACTATAATAAAGAAAATTTATGAGGATAAGGTAGGATTAATTTCTCCAAACGAAGACAAGGTGATTGACCATAAGAATAAACTCATTTTACTTGAGCCTTGACATGAAAGAATTCAATAACTCCTAAAAATCCATATTTCGTATAGGATTTCTTGTGGACACAACACTACAATAACGAAATTGTAGGACTTAACTTTTGGAAGAGGAAAATTATTCAAAATCCCTTTAATGGGTCTTACTCACTTCTGTATATTAACATACAGAGTGCTTAGTCTATCTTTATTTTTTACAAAGCTTTTTTTACTTGCTTAAGTCGGTTTATAGGTATACCGATCTTAGTTTTATTTAAAACCATAAAATAAAATCTCTACTTAGCTACTAAATATAGTATTTTAGGCGGTACTAGTTAGTCTTTCTTGCTGATTTATAGCACATTGATGTAGCTTTGGCTTTGTAGTACTCAGTTTTTCATGGCCATCCCTGCACTGCTCTGAGATGAAGAAGAAGAAGATGAAGATGAACTTGAAGAAGCAGCAGTCTCAACGAATTGGGTTGTGACTTGTTCCCACTTGGTGATTGTCTGCTTAAGCTCTGTCTGTTGTGTTGATGTCACTGTCTTGCCACTCACAATTTGACTGTTGATGTCTTGTAGTTCCTGGAGACTCTTCATTACTTGTTGTTGGCATGATTCCATGGAGGTCTTGGTCTATAATAACGAAAGAAATAAAACAAAGATCATTTTATTTTGATCTTAAAGGAATCATAATATTAGTGTTTTGAAGTGTGGTTTCATTTGACGCGTACCTCTTCGGATTTGCTAAACCTTGAACGCACGAACATCATTGCCTCAGATAGTTTTGAAGCAGCAGATCTCATCCCGGAGACGAATTCTTTTGCGTTTGAGGCAGAAAGCTTTGAGGAAGCAATCATGGAAGTCTTTAGTTTGTCAAAGAAGACCTTGAGTTCTGCATTTCCAGTGTACTTCTTCTCAAGGTTCGAAATGAAAGAACTGACTTCTGAGGAAGTTTGGCTCTCAACTTCTTTCACTGATGTGGTGGATGTGCTACTAGTTGAACTTTTGCTGTTGGATTCTTTCTTTTGAGAAGCAGCATTTTCGCCAGCACTTGCATTTGCACCAGCACTTGCACTTGCTCCAGCACTCGCACTTGCGTCAGCACTTGAGCTTCCTTTGGAAGAGGTTTTACCACCAGTAGAAGTTGAGGGAGAAGGGCTGCCAGTGGGACTTCCACTCGGACTTCCCGAAGATGTACCGGTAGTGTCTTTGTAAGTACCACCACTGCTGGATTCTTTTGTCTTGGTAGCAGCACTTTCACTTTCACTCTTAGATTTAGATTCTTTTTTCGTTGAAGCACTTCCACTAGAACTCTCACTTCCCTTTTCAGAGGTTTTGCCACCAGCATGAGTTGAAGAAGAAGGGGTGGGCGTAGAAGGGGTAGGCGTAGAAGGGGTAGGCGTAGAAGGGGTGGGCGTAGAAGGGGTAGGCGTAGAAGGGGTGGGCGTGGGACTTCCACTTGGACTGGCGCCTGAAGATGAACCAGTAGTGTCTTTGTAAGTGTTACCAGAACTTCCACCGCTGGTTTCTTTAGTCTTGGCCGAAGAAGAACCTCCGCTTCCAGCCTCAGTTTTCGATCCAACAGATCCGGTTTTAGTTTCGGTACTTCCAGCCTCAGTTTTTGATTCACTTCCGGATTTGCTGGACGAGCCTTGTGATTTAGTGTTTGAGGAACTCTCATTATCGGATGAAGAGGAACCATCACTTTCACTTCCACTTCCAATGCTGGCATTAACATCAACATCAAGACCATAAGATGATTCATCAATCGACTTTCCTCTCTTCTCGGCGACACTCTTTACGAATGTTACAACAATTCTAGTCCATTTCACCATAGCCACAACCAACTCTTTCTTTTGCTTCAATGACATTATCCTTGAACCTTGCCTCTTTTGCTCAATCAAAGTCTTTCCCATTGACAGCATGGTAATTTTTAACTCCGACTGTCGCAAAAACAAGAAACATTTATATTAGAAAACACCAAAATGTTGTTTATATCATATGAATGTTATGGTATAAGACTTACTGATTGGCTGCTTTTACTTCCAGTCAATGCAGACATAGCCTTGGCAAGCAATTCACATCTCCCATTCATCTCCACATCAATGTTTTTCGATGAGGATATCGATGCCGAGCTGATAAAGCTCATGTAAGACTTGAATGTTGAAAAGAATTGTTTGAACTCTCTTGTAGCGGGACATCCACCTTCAAGGTTGCTCACGAGCATCAACATACCTTTGCTAGCAAAAGGGGCAAAGTCGACACAACGTCTGGGAAACTTCCTCCTCAAGTAAAGCTTTAACAAGAAAGTCCCTTGCACTTCATAGACCACACTTGATGCAACCATAAACACCAGACATATTGCTAGTAAATTTTTCGCCATTTTTTTTTTTAAGTTAAATAGAACAGAGCAAGACAATTATTTTTTTTTATTTTTTATTTTTTCTTATAAATATTTTTGTCTTTTTTTTGGGGATTTTGGAATGATTTTTGTTTCTAGGAGAAACTGGGTTTATATAGATGCTTAAAAGTCTATTTTTAAGTGAGTACGAGTAAATAGTGGATTGATTTAAGGTCACGAAAGAATAGCATAATAAGAGGTTCACATGTTTTACTTTACTTTCTATTTTTGAGGGGTAATTTATGTTGCTGTGCGCATTTTTCTTCAATCTATATTTAGAAGGATCAAATTATTGACACTGATTAATACAAGTGTGAGCAACAATAGATTCTAACTTTTTGTCATACTAGTTCGAACCCTTGACTAATTCATCACACTAAAATAGGATCTAATTAATTTTCTGACTTTAAATCAGCAGTGTAAATGAAAACACTAAAAATATATGAAATTTATAATAAACTTAAGATAGAGTATGGAGTATTCTGATTATTGTTTCATTACTAAAATGGTTTCCAACACGGTTTCACACAACTGTGTTCAATCTTTGAATCAGGCTATGTAAACATCTTTCGAAATTTGCAATAAAATCTATAAACCATAAACCGTAAACTAAATTCAGAGATCCATAAACCAAATTATGTGTAAAATATGTTTTGTATCCAAGACTCAAATTAATTACAAACTATTGTGGTAACTAGAATTACTGAAGAGTGCCCGTGCTATGTGAATGATTTATACATACTAGGTCGACATCCGCGCTACGCTGCGGGGCTCTTTTAGATATATTTTTTTTTCCGAAAAAGTTGTTTGAATCAAATGGTTTTTAGAGGACAATATTCATGAGATGAATGCATCAACTGTTTACGTTGCGGATAGTTTTCGTAAATTAATTCTGTCTTAATTTTATATTTGTTTGTTTTTATTATATATTTTAGTATATGTTTGTTTTTATTTTATATTTTAGTATATGTTTAACTTCTTACAAATGTTAGATTTATTTTTATACTTTAAGAACCTTAGATTCTTTATGTTAACGATATTTATGGTACACAAGCATACTTTGAAATTTTGAATCATACTATAAATATTTAACATGTCTTTTTTTTTTTAAGAAAAAATCTTTTTTAATCATTAGATCACAATAATTAGCTACTAAAAATCTTATATAATATGACAAGGTTTCTTCAAAACAAGCTCTAAGAATGTGACATTTGGTGCTCTAATCTTTTGACACATGTCATTTTCAGTTTATTTTTTAATTTGAGTGCAATAAATCTGTTTAACTGATTTTTGAGAATAATAACCAACAATATAGTCCTCAAATCAAATTATAAAATAAAATAAAAATTATTTGATGATAAAATAATTAAAGGATATTTTTGAATAAAGAGATATTTTCCTACATTTTATCTTTGTTTTGTCACATAATTTATAGTAAGAAAATAAAGATCAAATTATTTGGCGATAAAATAGTTTAATTATATGCGATAAGATGTTATATTTTTAATTTAATTTTATTTCTTACATATAGCATATTGCCCTATGGTTATTTTATGTTGTATCTCTTCAATTTAATAAAAATAAATCACATGACATGATTATTACAATTTTTGCAATGTTATTCTAATATAAGAATAATAAAAATGAGAATAAATATATTAATACAATTAACTTTATTTATCTCTATATAACAACAAATATAACACATTTAATCATATACATTAATCCATCTTTTAAAACTAAATTGTAACCAAAATCATATAACTTGTGTATCTACTATTTTCTCTATCAATGTCATTCAAACACACTATTCCCAAATATTGTAACTCCCACAATTTAACTATTATTCAGTCGGTACATTTTTTTTGCAATGTCATATTAATTAGAATAAGTGAACAAATTTTCTCCTATTAATATATATATAGTTTATCAATACTTTAAATAATTACTAATCTCATGAGAATTGAATTTTTTATAAAAAGATAATGAATATTAATAAAATTGAATTTATCTATATCTTATTAAACCACAAATATAATACATTTAATCATATGCATTAATCCACCTTTTTATACTAAATTGTAACCTAAATCATATAAATTGTGTATTAACTTTTTTTCCGTATTTAATGGCATTGAAACACACTATTAACTATTATTGTAACTCCCATAATTTAATTTTTTTAAAAATAATATATTTTCTCATGCCTCATGGTGGAGGTTACATTTAAATACTAATTTACCACAATTTATTTCATCATTATAAGAATAGCACAATACGACATACCAATCTCAAATCTCAATATGAGAGACCCAAAATCCATCAAAAACCAAAATACATGAGGTTTTGAGCTATCTCTTCCTTTAATTTAATACATGAGGTTTTGAGCTGTAATTTATTTCATCATTATAAGAATAGTTGTTTATTTTTTTTAAGTGCTATCTCTTCCTTTAATTTGATGCTTTAAAATTAACTTTATTGGTTTCTAATCCTTTTTCCTTCACTACTATTTTTGCTTAATCCAATTATGCTTAGCAGCTCTTACCACCTTTTATTCTAGAGTGAACCTAATTGACATCAAATTCATGTGTGAGAGATCATATAACACTTTGTGGTTTCTTATGCCTTTTTGTATTTATCTCTTATAGATTTTTTTTTATGTTTCAATTTGTCTCAAGTTTGTGTGAGATCATTACATTTGGTGGTTTCTTATGTTTTGTATTTGTCTTTTCATGGAGTTTCTTATGTTCAATTTGTCTCAAATTTGATTTTGAACCTTCATGTGAGGTCATTATATTTTTTTGGTTATCTATAGTTTTTATTTGTTACGTATTTCATGAAAAAATCGAAGTCATCATCCTTATAAGGTAAATTACTTAAGATTAAATTTTCTTATGACATCAATTTGTATATTCTATACATCACTTTTAATATAATTGATGGTGTTCTTTTTTCTTTTGTTTTTTATGTCATTTTAAAGTATATTTCAATCCATAATGTCATATGTTATTACGTTTATAATGGTAAGATATGCTGTGTATATTTGAATTCTATTATTTTTATCAGAAAATAAAGAAAATATTTCCTATATATATGTTTTGTGTATGTAGACTATATTGTTAAAAATATTTCTATACGGTGATAAATTTTGTTTAGCTAACAATTCTAAATAGGTGAAAAGGTTTCAAAATCACTAAATACAATTTCAAATCTCATATTAAAATATTTTAAAAGATATTCTACACAAATATAAAAGTTGCTCTTTTTTTGGCCAACATGAGCCATATTTTTTTTCTTCTTTAAACAAATTATTATGAAAAATTAATTTTTTGATTAATGCGGTATAAATTGGAAGAAACAAAATTTAACAATCTTCAACTTAGAAATTTTCAATAAATACTCTGACATCTTATATATATATTTTCCTTTTTACTATCGTTTTAAAATTGAGAATTAACATATATAAGATGTTCTAATATTTGTTTTAAGCGATATGTGCCATATTTTTTTTTTATTTTTTTTTCTTTTCACTTTCAAATAAATATTGAACATCCTTACATCCTGTTATTAATAATTTTTTATTAATGGAGCATTAATTGTATAAATTACCTCCTATTGATGTTTAAGTTGCCAACATTTGAAATGACTATTTCGACATTTTATATATTTTAAAATTAAGATACCTAAATTTCCATTATCTTAAAGTAAACAGGTAACATAAGGGAAAAAAGACAATATTAAATAAGCTCTTACAAATTTTGTTTTTACAACACTTATGAATACTACCGTTTATAATGATGACTACGGATGTTTATAATTTCGTTTCTAATTTAAAAGACTAATAGTTATGTGAACTAACTATTACATGAAGTATTAATAAATCAAATTATCAAAATGGATGCAAGAGATATAAATGATAATTTAGCGTAACATCCATGTTATAAATATTCCATGTTCTTATTTCTTTTTAGCATCTATTTTTATTATTTAATATTTTTATACTACTTGACAATTTTCGTAAAATATCGATTAAATATTTTTAATAATATCTTAAATCAGTATGTTTCTATTAAGGTTTACCATCAATGTAGTGTCTTTACATTTTCTTAGCTATATAACGGTAATCCAACATTATTTTGTAGTACTTTAATTCAAAAATATGTTACCCTCGATGGGTACACATAAGTTACAAAAAAATTCACTACAATAAATTACAATTTAATTTATTACAAATTTGGAAAAAATGTGAAACTCAAGGGATAATAAATTATTTTATTAAATTTATTTAGTTATTAGGATTTAAGAGTACTATTTTGTTTTCTATAATTGTGGTATAAATTCTATTTGTGATGGTAATATCCTTTCTTTTTTTTTGACAAAAACCCTCTCATTATTTTTCCAATCTCCCTCAAAATGTTAATTCAAAAGCCATTCAAATATATTGATAATGTTTTGTCAAATCATATGATTCCTTTAAACATGTAAATTACAACTTTTTAAGTCATTGTAGAGAAGACATAAATTGGAAGATTTTTTGGCTAATACTTTTAATGAATAATTTGGAAGATTTCTTTTTTTTTTTTTTATTTTTTTGAAACAATTTTGGAAGATTTCTTTGTTAATACTTTCTTTATAATACAGGATCTAATAAGATTTTAGTTTAAACTTATTTAGTTTTCTTACGATAAAATATATTGAAACTATTCCCACGCATCGCGTGGGTCTTTTTCTAGTTATATAGATACCAAAGAAAAAAATTATAAATGTATTATGGGAAGTTCATCTTAGATTACTGGTTTAAAATTTTAACCAGAATGATATAGGATCTTCTTCCCTTGTTTTTTTAGCTAAAATTCTTCTTCCCTTGTTGCAGTAGTTGTAGCTCCAAAGACAAATTTACGAAAAGGTTGCAAGATTAGCTATGTCCAATACGTGAAACAAAGGACATAGAACATTGAACACTATAAACAATTTTTTAACTATAAAATAATTTGATTCTCGAATTAGATGGGATCAATATGATTATTATCAACCATGCATTTTTCCTTGTACGATTAATTCAATGTCAATTTGGGAGTATTTTATAGACCCAATCTGATCTGATAGTAACACCGGTCTGACTACAATCGATTTAGTCACCGGTTCAAGATTTATTATATTTTTATATTAAAGTAATAATTGTGGTCTTCTTCTTCCCCTTAACCTCCTCTCATTATTCCAAAGCTTCTCCAATCATCTTTCTCAATTGTAGATCTGTGTAAGCTCTTGTTAGACCTTCGTGTAAGTAACATTTTCATTGTTGTATCGTCTTTGACTCTGTTAGACAAAAGTAAAAATAACTAATAGTATTTAATATAAATAAACAATTTTTATTAAAATTAAAAGATTAAAAGCTCCCAACAAAATATAAAGATTTAATTATTTAAATTAATACATATAATCACAAATTCACAATTAAAGCAAAGAAAATAGAAAAACCTATCTTTTAGCGATGTGATTTTGTTCAACAAAATATAATAATATGCATAGTATTAGTGAGTGAGTGATTAAACATAAATGAGAGGAAAAACAATTGAACACGTCAAAAAGAAATAAACGAATTGGGCTTGGTAACTAAACCAAATTGGGCCAATAGGAAAAACTAAGAAAATAATATGTGGAGAGAGAGAGTATGACGTGGATCAGAGAAGTATTATTACTGGAATAGAATGCTTAGTTGTATTAATCGAAATGTTCTCATTGGATGACAATTTTAATGAGGTGTCAGCTTGAGAACATCCAAAAACGCTGAGGTGTCAGATCTGGAGAGATCCTTATTGTTATTATTGTATTGATATTTTCTGACATCAATTTTTGGTTACGTTATATTTTATATTGGTATTCATATTATATTAGAGAAAATATAAATTATAAATCAACATATTTTTGAAACAAGAACAATTGTGTGTTTATAAATATTTTAATGATAATAAATTTTTTTTTAAAGCTAAATATTGTATTATATATTTACTTGATAGTAAATCAAATATAAATAGGCTGGACTTATTTATTTTATCCTAAAAGAGGATCTGCGAACTATTTCATAAATAGGCCAAAAGCCAACTATTGATTTGGCATTTTATGTATACTAATATGATGTTACGTGCTATGTAAGGTAACATATTTTTGCCCTCCCAATTCGAAGTTTCTTCCTGGAAGTTTCAACATTAAAGTGATTAGGTGGAGGGAAGTAGGGATATGAAATCAATTACAAATTTTTTTTATAGTTAAAAGATGGTTATGATATATTTTTTTTGATAAATCTGGTCTAAAGATTTTTTAAGCCCATACACTAATCTTTGGGTTCGGGAAAACTATGTTAGAATTCGAACCTCGACGGCTTAATTTAATTTTGAAGGAGAAAAAAATATCATTAAAAATCATAGAGTGAGCTCACTCACTTATTGTTTGTTACAATATATATTTACATTTACATACTTATTCCTTGTATAGATCGCTCGACTGATCTATGGTTGGCCTATACCAATCTTGGTTTTATTTACAACAAAAACAAAAGTATTATTAACATAGGGCATTCTTTTAGTGATGCCTTTGATTTCAGTTTGTGTTCATCTTGCCACCAGAAGATGAAGTAGTTGACGAAGACTTTGTCTCGCTCTGAATAGCGGTCTCGACGAATTGGGTTGTGACTTGTTCCCACTTAGTAATTGTCTGCTTAATCTGTGTTTGTTGTGCTGGTGTGCATGTCAAAGATCCTTCTTTCTTGCCTTTATTCTGACTCACAATTTGACTGTGGATGGTATCTAACTCTTGGAGAGTTTTCATCACTTGTTCTTGGTAAGTTTCCATAGACTTTTTAACCTGTCGACATAGCCCAAAAAAAAAACTTAGATTTTACGTAAATGAATTTTGTGGTTGTAAATAAAAAGAACTTGCATTCATTTGATAAGGAAAATTTCTTATATATTCACTACCTCTGCTGATTTGCTTCCAATTCTAGATCGCATAACTCCCATCGCACCAGATAGTTTCCCAGCAGCAGATTTGATCCTAGTAAACAAACCTTTTCTTTCTTTGGGGGGAGCAATCATTGTACCCTTGAGTTGTTCGAAGAAGACCTTGAATTCCTCCTTTTGCGGACACTTCTTTTCGAGGTTCATTATGAATGTCGAGACATCTTTGGATGTCTCTTCCTCAACTTGTGCTACTGTTACACCACTGCTCTGACTAGCGGAGCTTTCTTTTTGAGTAGCGCTTGTAGAGCTTCCACCGGTAGTTTTTGAAGAGGAAGTCTCACTTTCACCTTTAGCGGAAGAGCTTGAACCAGATGGGCTGCTGGATGGACTTCCACTAGGAGTGCCCTTGTTAGTGTTTGCACCTGTAGTGTCTTCGGAAGAGCCTCCTTTTTTGCTGTTGTCGCTTGAAGCTTCCTTCCCAGTAGTAGAATCTGCACTAGAAGAAGAATTTTTTGTACTCATTACCATTGTGTTTGTGATCCGAGCAATAATTGTTTCCCATCTTAAGATTCCTTCATTGATTTCTTTTTGTTGTTCTGCTGTTAGCTTCATTGATTCCTCGCTCTCATCCTTTTTGCGGCTTCCCACAATCTTAGCCGCAAGAAATCTCATAAACTTAAAGGTATTAATGACTTCCATTTTCTCCTCTTGAATTTCCTTTTTTATCTGTTATACATATGCAAGATAAAGTAAATTAAATGGTTCATTAACCATATATATCTTCACGTTGAAGAAAAATTTACCTTTCCAATCGCGAAAGAAGATATGGTCTGGAAGAGGCCTCCGGCTTTGGCCTTCATGTCGCGGTCGTAATCTACTTGGTCTTTTCTTTTTATTGGGCAAACATACTTGGCGTATGCCCTGAGTTTCTCAAAGAAGGCCTTAAATTTATTTGTCTTGGGACATTCTTTCTCGAGGTCTGACACAAATACCATCACTACTTTGACGGTGTAAGGTTCGACATCCTTCACCGTCTGCGGAGGTTCGATCTGAGGCAAAGTTGGCTTAAGCTTCAAATGAGCTGAAACGACGTCCAGAAGAGTCACAGATGCAAAAAGAATGGTAAAGCATAAAAATAGCTGAACTCTTGCCATTGTTATGTATCTTGTTAGAAATAAAAGTTGAAGAATGAATGAATTGAAATGGAATTCTTTGTATGCTTTTATAGTTATGTTTAGTGTTCTATGTTTAGAATTTTGTATCCACTGACCATTGAGAAATTGGTGGATTAAAGTCAAAATAATAGTAAAGAGCTTCATGGTTCTTACGTTTCACAAATCTATTGATGGTGCACTCTTTTACATTTTTTGTTTTTTTTTACTATTATGAAAAGTGATTTTTTTTTTATGTTGAAGGTATATAGAATGTCACCATAAGGTATATAGACAGTATATCTAAGTTTTAGCTTATCTTCGTGCATTCTTGGTTGTTTGGTTAGGCTTTCCTTTTCTGCGCTTTTGGTTGTTTGGTTGTTTGTTTGATTGGTCCGCCGATTATTGTTTTTCAAAGTTTATTAATAACTAGTTTGTACATCTCTTCTCGATAATCTTTATATATCTATACAAATCCAATTTTACCCATTTAAGATCTTATTCATATGTTTTTTTTTTATAATAATAATTTTTTTTCATATGATCTAGCAAGTAATATAGGTTTTGATCGATTTAAATGATCTTTACATGTAATTTTGGTTATTTTCTTATCCAAGTAAAAGGACATATCATATGAGAATATTTCAAACAACATAGATATCCATTAAAAAAAACTACATAGATTTATGATAAAATGGTCATAGATAAAAGAAAAGAACAAAGGGTTATTATGGAACTAGAGTTCAAAGAAAAAATAGACAAAAGACATTTGATTAAATCTTTGTTGTCATTGGTTTTCTGGTAATGGAGGCTTCTCTTGAGTATTACTTGTATTACTGACCAGTAGATGTTGATGCGCCATCAGCTCCATGACCACGACCATCATCCATCTTTTGATCTTCCCTATTCCAAAATATTTTACAAGTTATCATTTGCGCATCAGCAGCTAAAAGTTGCATAAGTTGATTCTTTTTAACTGCATTTACATTCTTTATTTTTTAAGAAAAGAATCTAAAGAGGCTGATGTAGTGGCATAGGAAAATCATAAAATTTCGACACTTGATCAGGTTGCACGTAAGTTCCAAACTCATTCATTGCATATTTAATACCTTATTCAACACTATTGAGAATACTCTTGTAGTGTCGGATCATGGCAGGACAACCAGAAATAGAGTCACGTCTACGAGCCTTAGCCGCATAGCACATACAATTGGCAGAAATCTCTTTTTGATCTAGGGATTCAAGATTATCAAGGATATTACAAACATTCACGACTCTAAAGTCTTGATGAATATCTTCAAATCATATCATGCGATGGAAAATGTGGTGCAAAGATGCACCTTGGAGCTAGGTGTCACAGACCGATTTCTCGTGAACCAATTCGTGCGGCCTTAGCACTAATCACCTTGTGTTAGATAAGTAAGCCTAATACTCGGAACTCGAACTTGGAACTTAGAGAGAAAAAGAGTAAACGTTTAAAAAGAAAAAGTAAAACTTTATTAAAGAAATGCTTTGAAATGTTAGGATGATTTCAAATGAGGGATTCTATCCCTTTATATGCAGGTTCACCTCCATTACTTCATCTTATGTATTTTAAGGTCTATTAATGTCTACTTATCACTATGGGATGATGTTGTTGCAACCTTTCCTGCACATCTTTGCTCTGACAATACAATTAACTCTGTCATGCTGGTAATTACCGTCAATTCGAGGATGTTTGGATGTTAATACCAGATGGATTTACTATCAACTAATAATCTCAAATCTTAAGAAAAAGACTAACACATGATCATTCATACTGTTAAAGGTAACCTTTATCTCAACTCCACATCCGCATCAAGATGCTTTTTTTTGACACCAGCATTCAGCCAATCTAGGAGTTTACAAAAAGGTTAGGTTGCTATCAATGCGTCTCTACTAACTCACTATAAAAAGCAGAGAAGCTTTTGCACGTGTAGATACAGATGCTGCAATACGAAAGAAAGAATTGTGTCCATTCATCAGGTTCACGAATTCATATCTAAAGCTGATGAATAGGTAATACAAATATTCTACATAGTTTGCTACCAAAATAACTCCCACAAAATCAAGTCTAATGTTCGTCTTCTACTTTACAAAAGACACATGATGCTGATTTCCTCTGCAATGCTAAGGTTTCAGGCGTACTTCAAAATGGATTTGTGGTCCCTCACAATCTCGAAATTCTGACGAAGTACAAAGTTCATATCAACGTAGAATAGTGTTTACAAGTCGAGCGGAATCATCTATTCAAATACTTTACAAAATGAGTGGATATAGTAACACTTCAAATCCAAAAAGAAAGTGGTGTCAATGGTCTACGATCTGGAAATGGTTTTGAGGATAAACCAAAAAATAAGATAAATTAGTACCTCGTCTGTCGCTATTTATCAACATATATGCAGGAATGGGGGAGAATATTTATGTTTAATATTCACCACTACATTGGGATTTCACATTAGTAATACAAATTTATAAAAGGACCAAAATAATAATAATGAGAAACAAATGCTTTAACTTTATTTATAAACTGGTAACATTTTCGTTAAAGTTAAACAAAACTAAAGTATAAATTGATAGTTTGATACTAAAACCAGAAGCTTTGACTGGACTACATTGTGACATATAAATATAGTTTTACCAATACCAAACACAAGTACATAGAATACACTTTCAAAATTTAACAAAAAAATAAAGAACAATACAAACTAGCAAACGTACCCGTGCAACACGCCGATCTCATTACTAGTTTTGTAGTTTTTTTTCTTTCTTTTTTTTGGTCAAAGATACCAGTTTTAGTAGTTTAGAATCAGATTTTGTAAAAACCAATAGAAGATTCAAATTTCTCTCGTCGAAAGATTGTATATTAAAGAGATTAAACTTAATTTATACTAATGATTGATTTTCGGTGAATTTAGTTAGTCTTTTGAGGGTTCTTAGAATTTTCTCTTGAGGGTTTGTTTGATCTTCAAACATTTTCCCATGTGAATTCTAACTTTCTTATAGTATTATACAATAGTAAACATATTTTAGGGATATTAAGATGAATTGAATTGAATAGTTTAATTATTTTAGTCAAATTAATTAAATTATATTTTTTTGTTTAAACCTGTTAATATTTCCACCATCATACAAAAAAAACTATTAATGAACATAGGAATACATTACCTTTAACAATTTTTATTATGTATGCTAAAAATTTAAATATTTTCCATAATCGAAGACGCTATCTGGATTAATATTTAATATAAGTTAACTACGGATATAGTCTTCTTACATGACAGCGATAATTTTAATACCAGAAAGCAAGAGCAATAATATTGTAACATACTAACTTATGTTGAGTGACCAGAAAGCAAAGATTCTGGTACACTAATCAAAATGTCAATTACATAACTATATATGATGATCATAAAGACCGAAAAAAGTAGTGGTCATAAACGAATGTTGCACAAATTTGATTTAAGAGTCAATTACATAATAATTTGATCCATCTAAATATAGATTAAAGAGAAATGCGGATCACACAACAATAGAAATTGTCGTCAAAATATAGAGAGAAAAATGAGAACCTCTTTTGCTATTCAATTGCAACCTTAAATCAATCCACCATTTTCTCTTATTCACATAAAAATAGAATTTTTAAGCATCTATATAAACCCAGCTCTCCTAGAAAGTAAAATCATCCAAAAAGGAAAAAAACAAAAAAAAAACAAAACAAAACCAAAACCAAAAAAAAAAAAATGGCAAGAATTTCACTAGGGATATGTCTGATGTTAGTAGTAGCATCAAGTGTGATCTATGAAGCGCAAGGAACGTTCTTATTAAAACTTTACTTGAAGAAGAATTTTCCAAGAAAATGCAACGAGTTTACGCCTTTCGCTAACAAGGGTATGTTGACATTGGTGACCGATCTCGAAGGTAGCTGTCCAGCCACTGCCGAGTTCAAGACTTTCTTTACACAGTTCAAGTCTTACATGTCCTTCATCGAGACGACATCGGCCTCAACAAAAAATGTTGATGCCGAGATGACAACCAAATGTGACGCGCTTTTCAAGGCTATGTCTGTATTGAGTGCTGGTAAAGGCGAAAAATCGGTAAGTCCAATACCATATATACTATTCATGTGATGTTAATTTTTTTGTTATTGTTTTAATTGTTGCTTGGTTTTACGGTAGGCGGAGGCTGGGGGTATGAAGGCGACAATGTTGTCTATGGGAAAGACTTTGGTTGAGCAGAAGAAGAATACAAAGATAATGACATTGAAGCAAAAGAAAGAGTTGGTCATTGCTATGGTGAAATGGACTAAAATGGTCGCTACATTCGTGAAGTCGGCCTCCGAGAAGAAAGGAAAGTCAATTAATATAGCATCTTATGGTCTTGATGTCGATGTTAATGACAGTTCTATTGTTGGTGGAGCTGCAAGTAGTGAATCCTCAACTAAATCTGGAGCGGTTTCCACTAGCGGAAGTGTTTCTACCAAGACAAAAGAATCGAGTAGTGGAAGTTCTGCCAGCGGAAATGTTGCTACCAAATCCAAAGAATCAAGCGGTGGAAGTGCTGCTACCAAATCAAAAGAATCAAGCGCTGGAAGTGCTGCTGGTGCGAATTTCAAAGACACTACAGGTAAAAATTCGGGCAGTCCGAGCGGAAGTCCCAAGGCCAGCCCATCTGGTTCAGTTGGTGGCAAATCCTCTTCAAAAGAAAGTGCGAGTGCTCAAGGAGGCGCAAGTTCTCAAGGAAGCGCAAGTGCTCAAGGAATTGTAAATGCGGCAAGTGCTTTCTCCAAGAACAAAGAAACAAAGACATCGAGCCAAAGACAATCAAAATCATCGAGCGAAAGTTCATCTAGTAGCACAACCACCACAACAGTGAAACAAGTCGAGAGTGAGACTTCCAAAGAAGTAATGTCATTCATAACTCAACTCGAGAAGAAGTATGCAGCAAAGTCGGAACTCAAGGTCTTCTTCGAGTCTCTGAAGTCTTCCATGCAAGCTTCCGCAAGCGTTGGTTCCAAAACCGCGAAAGACTATGTTTCTGCCTCAAGAGCAGCTACTGGTAAACTCTCTGAAGCCATGGCTACAGTTAGTTCAAAAAATGTCAAATCAGCAAAGGTACAGAAATTCGAACTCAAATTTCTTATTCCTTTGATTAAGATTAAACAAAGTCATAACTATTTCTTTGTGGTATAATAGATGAAGAGCAACTTGGACACCAGCAAAGATGAATTGATGAACTGTGTCAAACAAATTCAAGATATCAACAGTAAAATTGTGAGTGGCAAAACCGTGTCATCAGCACAACAGTCAGAGCTCAAGCAGACAATCACCAAGTGGGAAAAAGTCACCACCCAATTTGTTGAGACCGCTGCTTCTTCGAGTTCATCGTCATCCTCATCCTCATCCTCATCTTCTGCTGCTTCTCAGCAGCAGGGCAGTGCAGGAATGGTCAAGACTAATTAAGTTGATTTATCGCGCCAAAGATCACCAAGAAAGACAAACCAGTAATGCCAAATATTATAATAAGTAGATAACTATTAGATAATTTAATTTTCTTGTAAATAAAACTAAGATCGGTATAGGTAAGCAATGCATGCTTATAAACCGATGTATGCAAGTAATAACTCTGTAAAAAAACGATACAGATAGATTGTAACCGCTTTGTATGTTAACATACAAAAGTGAGTGATACCTATTAAAGGGATTTTTGAATAATCATCTTCTCCTTACAAGTAAATAAGTTCTACTTTTAAGATAGCTCGAAATTTCATCGTATGCATTTAAAAGATATGGGACTTAAGAGTGCAACTTAGGACGACACAAAGGTTAATTTCACCAACCAGACATTCTTACAAGAGGTTTAGACAAAAATACTCGGAACATGAGTGCAGTTATCGGTGGTTTGAATTTCTCATAATATGTGTCCAATTATGAGAAACATACGTCTCTCTTCTCTCTTAAACATTTTCTTATTGTTTTTTTTCGACTATAAAGAATTTTACTGTCTTTGTAAAAACACTCCAAGTTTAGTTTTGTTGATGCTAAATGACAACATTTTAACAAATAAATAGAGTTATCTAACTATTCTCATTTGACACTAGAAAGTTTCATGCTTTAGACCCATTAGAAAAATCGGCGAATGAGATATTCCACGATTAAACTCACTCTATGAAATTAACCAAAATAAAAAGAAAGAAAAACTACTCTCCGATTAATCTCCGCATAATCCCCCATTTTTAATTGTCTATGGGGATCCGTGTTCATTCTTCATCTTAACTCAATCTTTAATTGTATGTAAAAGAAGGTTTACGTTTGTTTTTATGATGCAATTGTTCAAGTAGATAATGGCGTAAAAAAATTGCCCGTGGATTAATATATGATGAGGTTTAGAAGGTAAAGGTAATGAAGTAGATAATTGGGTTTGATACATTGCGTATTTTATATAACTACTTAAGATATTGGGACGTGCTGCAAACGTATATGATCTCCATTTGAATGGTCAAGAGAAAAAAAAAATGAAACCGTATAACGAGAAACATGTTCTTACGCGTCCGCAACTTGAATTCTACTTGGTGAGACCCAAACTCTATCAGTATTCTTCTTGTTGAGGAATGTTCTTTTTTGTAGGAAAAAAATACTTTGAGGTTGATATTGACATGCATGTCATAGATAGACTCAAGATCTGGTATTGACATTGGCCTCACAATTAAGGTAAGTTGTTTTACAAGCATTTTCGGATGCAAAACTCATAGGATGATTATATGGCTTATGTAGAAGATTTGTATGTATGAATAGGGGAACAAATAAGAGGAGTTACCAGAGCAAATCTAAGCATAATTTTCATCACAATTGACATGCTGTTTTTTTTATTAGTTAAACACATAAAAACTTAATCAAAATTATTATTATGAAAACCAAGATTAGTTAAATAGATCTGTAATAAAATAAAATAAAAAAACAACAGATGGGACAAGCCATTACGAAAACATAGAAGACTAACTACATTGTAAAAATAAATTTAGTATCACTCCAATATAATTTGATGATATCGCCTGTCCTAAGATGTCTTGCATCTTTGATATTCTTCCACCCATTTCCGATACGAAAACCACCACAGACATGTTTAAGGTTTACCCAATACGAATTTTCATTATCCTGAATTTCCACTTGAATACTATTCCGAGGTAATGTATGTCATTTCTGTAGTCCTTAATATGTTCTCAATCTTCGCTTTTGGTGAATACTAACAACCGTGATGGGAAAGGTAGTAGTCTTTTAGCGTTTTTTTCTATCTTCATGTTTGGATTCATTTTACTAAACTTTCTACTCTTTTCGGAAATATAATGTTCTCCGCCAATATAATGTTCCTTTCCTTCTATAGATATATGGATATTCGTATAAACTTAATAAATTTTATGGATATATTTTCTATATTAACATACATTCTTTTCTAAATTTACAAATTTTTATGTTAAATTAAATATAGATTTTATTATGCTCAATTGTACTTACCATAAATCTGTTAAGGCCCTTTTGAGATAAAGAATATTTTCCCATATATAAGCTAAATCTCTTACAATCTAAGAGACATAAACTCAATTCTTATCTAATAGTATAATGATACTAAAATTTGTATTTGTTATTGATGTTAAAAATCAAATGTTAAATAACACCTCACGATATTACTATTTTTGCAAAAAAAAAAACACTACTTAAATTGCGTAAATTATATATCTTAACATTTACAATCATATTATTAAAAATCTACTAGGGTTAGAAGAACCTAGTAGTTCATATTCACACAAGAAAAGGTATCCTTTCCAGAAAAAGAATGACAAAGATTAAAACACGGAGAGCAACGATTACCGACCAAATAGAAATTGAAAGAAAAAAAAATATTTTATAGAAATTTTGCTAGTCTCTAGCGACCTTAAATATCGATCCACAATTTTCTCTTATATTCATCTAAATTTAGACCACTTAGAAATCTTTATAAACCGATTCTCCTAGGAACGTAAAATCATTCAAAAACTCTCCCAAAAAAAAAACAAAAAAAAAAATAAACATTAAAAAAGATTAAACAAAAAACAAAAAAATGGCAAAAATTTCATTAGCATTAGGTCTATTGCTACTAGTGGCATTAAGTGAGGTCTACGAAGTGCAAGGGACGTTCTTATTTAGGCATTACTTGAGGAAATTTCCCAGAAGGTCCAGAGACTTTCGACCATTCGCTTGCAAGGGTATGTTGAAGTTCGTGGACGTTTTGGAGGTTAGGTGTCCATTGAAGCCACAATATAAGAGCTTCTTCGGAAACCTAAGGTCTTACATGAACTTTATAAACTCGGCGTCCGGGTCGAAAAACTTTGATGCCGAGCTGAAAGGGAAAGCCCAGGGTCTTCTCTCAGCTATGTCTGCAATGAGTGGCAAAGGCGGCGCATCGGTAAAGTTTATATAGATCTTAAAATGTATTTAAGTAAAGATGTTCGTGGTTCGATAATGATTATTTTATTTCTTTTAATTTGGTAACCAGGCTGATTCTAGCAAGGTTATGGATACATTGTTGTCAATGGGAAAGACTTTGGGCAACCAACAGCAGAGCGGTTCAACGGTAATGTCGTTTGGACAAAGGAAAGAGATGATCATGTCTATGGTGAAATGGGCACAAACGATTGGTCAATTTGTCGTGAGTGCTGCAGCAAAGAGCGGTAACAAAATTGATATATCGTCTTTAGGAATTGATGGCATTGATGCTAGTGCTGCCGCCGGAGCTGGAGATTCTACTACGAGTGGCGGTACCTCTGCCACTGGAACTGGAAGTTATGGCGTCGGAGCTGGAGGTTCTAGCCCTGCTGGCGCTGGTACCGCAGCTGGAGGCACTACCGTCGCTGGAGGCACTACCGCTGCTGGCACTGAAACAACAGCTGGAGGCACTACCGCAGCTGGGGCTGGTGCCGCAGCTGGTGCTGGAGCCGCAGCTGGCGCTGGTACCGCAGCTGGAGGCGCTGGTACCGCAGCTGGAGGCACTACCGTCGCTGGAGGCACTACCGTCGCTGGAGGCACTACCGCTGCTGGCACTGATACAACAGCTGGAGGCACTACCGCAGCTGGCGCTGGTGCTGGAGCCGCAGCTGGCGCTGGTACCGCAGCTGGAGGCACTACCGCCGCTGGTGGTGTAAGTGGAAGCTATGGCAGTAGTGGAGGAAGTGCTTCGAACACCAATGTTGGAACTAATAGTTGCACCACAAGTGCGTGTTCTAGTGGTGGTGGAACCTCCTTTAAAGGTGCTATGAACTTTCAAGGAAAGGCATCTTCTCAGTCTCAATCTCAACAAACCGCGTCATCCCAAACCTCTGATGGCTCCAGCTAGAAAAGGACCGACCTAGTATATATATAAACGTACGTATTAATATTATTTAAATAAGAAGATGGCCCTGCTAACATATTAAAGCAGCGAGCTGTAGAATGTTTGGCTATATATCTAAGCCTATTTTCTATAATATGAGAAGATTTTGTATTAACACAAGATTTTGGCTATTTAGTTTTGATCAAATGTGTCCCGGTCCATTAGTGTCCGGTCACTTGCTTTTTCTTGACTGTTGGCTTGTGATGTATATCTTTGTGTGTGTTATTTATCTCCGAGTTTCTTCGGATTCTAGTAAAATTTTCCAGCAAAAAGCATGAAAGTTGCATAAAATCTTAAAGCATCCACATCAGTGGAGTTCTTAAAATGATGTTCTCACTTGAATAATATTGGTATTTTAAAATAATTGAATTATTTATTTTATCTTTTAATATTTTTTAAAGAATAAGCCATTCAGATGCGGAACATGTGGCATAACAGTTTCTAATGAGTATCTAAAGATATCTCGTTTGAGAAACGATTGTCTCTCTTTCTCTTACTTCTTCTTTCTTTTTTAATTAGTTAGATATGGAGTGGTTCTCCCGTTGGAGATGCTCAGAGCACCATTATTGGTGGTTTCTTGGTGGTTTCTTAGATGGTTCTTAACTTTTTTATCTTAGAATTAAATATTGAAAAATAAATCAAAACAAATTAAAATGCTAAGATTTGACTCTTAGCTAAGAGCTTTTGGGAGTGTTAAGAGCTAAGATTTGACTCTTAACTTACAAAAACCAAAATTTTAATATTAAACAATGTTAAGAGATAAAGTTAAGAACCCCCTGTTAATGATGGTCTTAGAGCATGATTAACAATGGTATCTTAAAAATGGTTCTTAGAAGTATTAAAGTTAAGAACTCTTAGTTTTGGGTCTTAGCTAAGCCACTTTTCTTAGTTTTGAGTCTTAGCTAAGACACATTTCTTACTTAAGAACTCTTTAAGATACCCTTGTTAATGGTGGTCTTATAGCCTAAGAATATAAGAGCATTTTCATCAGTTGGAAACCCACTTGGGCATCTCAACAATAAAATAAGAATAGTTTTTAGATAATTAAATAATTTTTTTTTAGAATTAGACCAATCATAAAAAGACAAATGTAAAAATGGTTTTTCATGGGTGTCTAAAAGTTTCTCAAAAAAACGGTTCTCTCTTCTCTCTTCCCTTTTTCAATTTTTATTATTATTTTAATAGAAAGTCGTTAGATGAGAGACTCCCAATAGATAGGCATGTCAATCGGGCTAGCCCGGCCCGGCCCGGCCCGAAGCCCGCAAAACCCGTACATATTTGAGCCCGGCCCGGCCCGGCCCGTAAAAATTCCGAGCCTATATTTTAAAGCCCGGCCCGGCCCTAACAGGGCTACAGGGCTTTTCCGGGCTTTTTTGGGCTTTTCTTCCGACAACAAAAAAACAAACTTATAAGTTATAATATCTCTTAAAAAAAAATCTATATATGAAACGAGTCAATCAAAATTTAAATAACCACTAACGCTAATTTAGTTTTTTAAAAAGAGAGTTAAAATCAAATAAATAATCCAAATAAATTGTTTAAACTTATACTAGATAAAATATAAAATCAAAATAATTCAAATTAGGTAGTAGAGCTAATATTTGCTTTTTCGATTTATAGTAATACACAACAAAAAACTATGTTTAGAGTTTTCAACTCTATCAAACAAATTTTTTACAACAAATCTTACAATTAAAGGAAAATATTAACAAAAAAATCAAAATATTTTTTTAAGGGCTTTTCGGGCTAGCCCGAGCCCGGCCGGGCTAAGCCCAAAAAACCCTTTAGCCCGAACGGGCTTAGCCCGAAAGGCCCGATTTTTTCTGGACATATATTTTTAAGCCCGAGCCCGCTGTTTTTCAGGGCTGGGCCGGGCTAGCCCGCGGGTTTTGGCCCTAATTGACATGTCTACCAATAGAGTTGGTCTAAAGACAGATGTGTCTACATAAAAGTGTTCTACGCAGCCCGGCGCAACATATATATCAGACCATTAGGCAAAAAAATGTTTTTTGACCCTTACTATATATACACTAAATTTTTCATATTTTAAGCAAATTTATACTTAAAAATAGTTTAGACCTTTCTATAAAAACTTTTTAAAAATGGCCACAAATGTTAATAAATTGGGCCTTGAAACATAAGAAATCTTTTAAAATTTGTGATGAACCTCCGTGTACGTTGTTATGGTATTTTCCTCTTCGTCAATGCTACTAAAGAACTTTACTCTGATCAAAATTATTTTGTCCTAACTATTAAAGTCCACAAGAAACACAAGCCCAAACCCAATGTGATGTCTAATTGATCAAAATAATTTAGTCGTAAGTATTAAAGTCCACAAAAAACACAAGCACAAACCCAATGTGATGTCCATCTTTGGGTGTATTAGCAAGATAAGATTCATATATAAGGATAAGTATTACATTAACAACATTAATATTTGGAAGTTAACTCTTGTGGTAACTTTCTTCTCTATCTTTGTATAAGGTAACCAAATAACTATTTTCATCATTTGAAAATCTAAATTTTTTTCTCTTTTACATTTACTGCACATTAAAGCTCAATAAACTATCTCATTTTATATCTTTCTTTTTTTTTTTTGGTAGGAATTTTATATCTTTCTAAAACTGAAGAAGGTTGGATCTATCTTGTTTCGAGTTTACTTAAACTCAGTCGGTAGTTCTTAGAAAATATGATTCTTTCTGGTGAATCATCAAAAAGCCCAACAAAACCAAAATATGCGTGATGACAAAAAAAAATGCTCTAAAGGTTAGGAGTTTTTACAAAGATTTTTCAATCCCAATAATAAAAGCATTCAAAATTCGACAACTTACATCCTAAACTCTACTTATATCTAAAAATAATAATCAAATTATTTCATTTAAAAAGAGAGAGAGACTGCTAACAACCATTGAAGAATAGCATACCATTCAGTATATTAAAATGGCTAAATGATCCTAAGTGGACTAAGATAAGTTTCACAAAACAAGGTTTAGTGGAGGCCATCTAATTCTTGTCTCGAAACAGCAACACATCACAAGACAGAAGACCAACATTACCATGAAGCCACTTAGTAACCCACTCCTCTCTCTCTTTTATTACCTCCAGATTCGCCAATTTTTCGGAAACATTTGCATACTAGTACTAGATATGCGTGGGTTCAGAGTCAGCACTAACTCTATTTCTTTGGAAAGATCCCATCTCCCAAGAGAAATTGAGCTAGGCACAATATAATCAACTTGGGCCACAATACAACCAATTTCATTTGCTAACCACTAGACCGTCATACTCTAGGTATTTTTACATAAAATCAAATTGGAGGTTTGAATTTAAAATAAGATTTTTCTTGTGAAGTATGATTCTGTAGTCTTATGTGATATATCTTTGAAGGTGCATTACATGACTAAAAAAAAGGACGTGAATCTGTATTTATATAATTTTTTCTTACTTTATGTGTTCCCTACCGGTTAACTACTTATATTCATAGTTTCATATATATACGACTTATAATCAAAAAAGCATTTATACAACTTTATTCGCATTATGAATATGTTCACATCACATTAATTAGTCAAACTATACATTTTTAATACCAGAGGCTAAAATTGAGAGGGGGGGGGGAACTTATTTATTTGTAATTTGTTGTCGTTTTCGTATACTAGCATAAATATAGTTGGAGATTATAATACATATAAATATAAGCATTAATCCTGAAATTGAGGCTTAGATTTGTATTTACATCTATGTTTGATAGCAATTTCAAACATTCCACAAAATTAGTGGACATGATTTTGCTTTTAAAAGTACTAAGCTTTACTATTTCTCTTTGTTACTTAGTTCGTGGCTTTGTGCTGTATAGTTTGCATATTCACTGAATCCCAATCATGCGAAAATTATTACCATATAATTGTACTAATCACTAGAACTGAGATCAGTTGTGTTATTTTGCATCACAGTGTACTATGAAAATCTGGAATTTAATAAGACAGAGAAGTAGTAACAAACTCCAAAAATTAACATATGGGAGTGTAAAACTCATATATTAAAAAAAAGACCTAAACTGCAACTTATTAAAAAATATATAGATTTGATTAAAATTTTGTATTGCCTAACACCAAAACAATATTAAAACATACTTATACTATAATTTACGCTGATAATTATTTTTTCTTAAAAACAAAATATTAAAAAGATGAAACAAAGAATAAAAAAATCCAGCTGAAAAGCATTACTACAAAAGATCCTCGAGTTTTCAATATTTAATTAACTTCTAGCCCTCTACATACTTTCGTGATGTATTAATGATTTTATTGTAATCACAACCTAAATAGTTGTATAGAATATAGATATTAAATATTCAGCCGATTTTTTTGGCGAATGTAAAATTTTGTTAATATTATTATTTTATTACAGTAGAATTTATGAAATCAAAGAAAGTTGGTAAACATGACTTATTGTGTTATTGTTAAAAATAAATAAAGAAAAATACAAATAAATGACCATATTCCTCAGATGTAACAGATTATTATGTAGAGGGTCCTTCGTTCAGTCCCACACATGCTCAGCCTTAATTTCATATATCGAATTATTAAATAATAGTTGTTGCATTTTGTTTTTTGTTTTTTGTTTTTGTTTAGTGTGGTACTTTTATTTCACTCATATCCAATAATAACAAACTTTCCTGTTTTTTCACGCCATTAAAAAGGTGTGAGGAAAATAAATTTATCATATACATTAACTAATCTTTTTTTTTCTTGGGCAAAATACATTAATTAATCTAAGTGAAGAAATTATCAAGAAAAAACAAATACACGTGTGGATGTATATTGCTCTTTGAAGCAAGCCTGTGTAGTTTAAAATCCCGCATGTCCAAATCCAATACCATTAAACCTCGAACGAAAACCCCACATATCTACTACTCTCAAATCAAACGTTTTGGTACCTTGACGAGTGTCATCATATGCTTATATTTTATTTTCATAGCTGATTGGTTTATATATTAATCTAAATATTGGATTCTTAGGCACGGCCACTGGCAGGTTTACATAGGGGAATTGCCAGCCTCGTGGGATTAGTCCTTGGGCCTAGGAAGCCTTTGGGAGACCCGCGGTTATTCAAAAAAAAAAAATTGGATTCTTAATTCGTTTTTTCCAAAATAATAAAATTTCCAATCCATTTCAAATTGATTTCCAGGTAATTGGTTCGACAACGTGTCCTACAAAGACACTCTACTTAAACCATCCTACATTAGTTGAATCTATAATACCTTCTTTGATACTATGCAAAGTTTTTTTTTTTTTTTTTTTGGTAAAAATACTATGCAAAGTTTTTATGTATTTCTAACTCAAAACTAGTTGACAATAAATAAATTAACTAATGTCTCATCTTATAAATGACTTCATTTCTATCTAATTTTAAATGTGCTAAATTTAACACGGTTTTTTTGGAGATAATAATAGCTCTTATCAGTTCACCTCAATTGAATCCTATAATTGAACCGACAATATCTATATCAAGCAACATATCAGTATTAGATCAAGTAAACGCCTATATTATGTTATATTTTTAGGCTCTCAATTCATAAATAATTACAAATTAATAGATTGATTCAATGACATTTGAAAAGTTTTGAATTCCTAAATCCTAATAATAATATTGGTTTACATTCTATGTAATTTCATGACTACGTAGTATAAAAAAGTTAATGTTATTAACTCAACTACATAACAGTACCACATGCACCTAGCTTACTATATAGGAAATTAATTATATTCACACAAAAACACTTTTTGACATTATGGACCTCCTTCTCTATTTGTTTATAATTAATATGCTTTCTCTATTTTTAAAATCAGTCAAACCATATATATATTACCTATAGTCTATAGATGTAATGGTTTCCGTCATGTTTGAATTATACATCGAGTTGCAAAGTTTTGGGTTTTAATTTGATGTTTTTGTTTATTTATAGTGGAAAGACTGTTATTTATTACTTTGTTCAAATAACCTGATTCAAGTGATCTAAAAAGACCATTTTTGTAAGACATTTAGGTAAGACATTCAAGTGATCTAATATAACTACTCAAATAATTATATATATTATATATTAGACAAAAGTTTTTTTTCAAAATTATTAACGATTCTACGAAACTCCTTGCCCCAGTGGTCAAAGACTTAAATGCATCTAACACCATGTATGCTGTTCGATTTCTAAAAAATGCATTCTTTTTTGCACATTAATGGTATAGTACATGGCTAATCGAAAGTTCTAGAGTTTTGTATGCAGATACATCCGTTGTCATCTCGAGTGTTAGGGGTAAGACTGTCCATTGTTGATATGTCGTATGTAAAAATCATTATTAGAAGATCTGAGTGTTATAGAGAGAAATTGAACATCAGAAAGTTGTTTGCGGAGTCGCTCATCATAATTTCATGTGTTGAATAGAGGCATAGCTGGTAATGAGGCCAAACGGGCCAAACATAAGCTTGCGACCCTAAATAAGTATATACATTTTAGCGGTCGAATTTTTATTTAAACTCTTCTTAGTCAAGCGATAGAAACTCTTCCCTTTAAGTTTATAGTGATTAGTTCAGGTTTCTGTGAATGTTTTTTTTTTTTCATTTTCTAAGACTAGTTAACTCATTGATTACAAGCTTTCATATTTTTTTTGCTTATAGCCTTAAATATCTTAGGTCTAGTTCTGCATGTAAGAAGATCTAATTGATTGATCATGATTAGATCAAAATATCTATGATGATAGTATAGAAGACGAAAAAAAATTATTATATATTCTAATAGAAAATTTTCTATATAGTATTTTAGAGTTTATTTTATTATTATTAAAATGTCCAATATTATAGTTTTATTAACTTTTTTCATCATTCTTTATGTTTACTGATATGTTAATCTTTTACGGATATATCAACATATATCCAATTTCTTTTACGGATATCCAGTGTTAGATATTTGGATATTTGAGTTAAGACCACTTTTAGGCTAGATGCATGCTAATCTTTGATGTTATCAACCTTATATCCAAAGTCATGAGTCTCATGACTAATGTGATAATGTTTAAATGAAAAGAATTGATTAATTATAATTATCAGTATCTATATCATATCTTTTTTTGCTAAACTTGTCAAAATAATTTTATGGAAATTATTCTATATATTAGTTATAATATTCTTAGGATTTTCATTATATATTTATTTACCTCTTATAATAGTTTTGATAAATTTCTATTTAAATTCTTTTTTATCCATATTTTTTTAGATACCTGATTATTTAAAAATACCAACAGAAAATAATATACTTTGATTTGTAAACTTTATCAACGACTTTGAATATTTGGAATAGCGAATCAGCTACAAGAATGAAATACACAGAGTAATAATTTATATATAGTTCCAAAAAACAAAAAAAAAAAAAAAATGGTCCAACAAAAGATCATATTCATCACTAATCAAATTACATTTCAGAAAAATGTATTACCATAATTGTATTACATAAAATATGCAATTTCTTTATGTCAATAAAAGCAAAAAATAAAATGACATTAAAAGTAAAGAACATGACAAAAACCAGTAGATATCATTCCTAATTTAAGCAATCCCAAAAAGTTTTCTCTGAACAAAAAGAGCGTGTATCACGCGCCTTCACATTACCCTCAAATATGACTAGTAGAAGGAGGAGTCAAATGCAGAGAACTTTACCAAATTCAACAACAACAAAAAAGAGAGACTTTATAAATAAACAAATCTCTCTAAGAAAATTCTTGAATTTTTCCACAACCCCCAAAACATTCTTCCTTCTTCTTCTCCTTCCTCTCTCTACAACTTTTAAAGAGAGAGTTTTTATAACCCAGACGATGTTCATGATCATGATCATGAAGATGTCTTTGTGGTCTCTTTGTTAAATCATTTGGTTTGGTCCAAATCTCTGTTTTTTTTTTTAGTCCAATCACAATCCTCTGTTTTTGGTCCCCTGCTTTGGTCTCTTTTTTTTTTTTTTTTCTAGATTGATCTAAAAATCCAGAGATTAGATAAAAGATTTGATTTTTATCACAAATCTCGATAATAATTCGTCTCGATTTCACAAAATCCAGTTTTTATTCCCAAAATCAAATCAAAAACACTTTTTTCTTTCTTCCCGTTTTACCCTTTTTGATCATCGGTTATGGGTTGTGCGAGTTCCAAGCATCGGAAGCGTTGTAACCATTGCCGGCGAGGATATTCTCCTCCGGTGGATATACCGAGAAGTCACTCGGTGCATCACGCATCACAAAACTCTGAAGATAGTTGTCACATGGTGGCTCTAAGTTCCTCAAGCCTTGGATCTCTCAAGCTATGTGATTCTTCTTTTGGGCATAATCACAAACACTTGGCGGACTTTAGTGAGAAGCTTGTTTCTGAAGAATCTGGGAAAACTGGAAGTGGGTTTGGTCCAAATGTGGTTAGAGAGAAGTCAGATAAAGAGAAATCGAATTTGGAATTGCAGGCTAAGCTTATGGAAGCAAAGGTATGGTCAAGTATGATGAATGAGAAGATTCCGAAGATTGTTCCGAAAACTCCGATTGTTACGCCTCCTGGAGAGCCAGAAACGATTAATACTTGGGAAATGATGGATGGGCTTGAAGATGTTTTAAGTCCTTTACGATCACCAAATCATGTTAAGAGTTTTTCTTTTGATATTGCTCGTAATGGCGATTGCGAACGAGGTAAGTCGAATGGTTATGTAAAGCCGGTTTGGCTTCAAATGGAGGAAGAAGAAGAAGGGTTTGAAGATTTTGATCCTGAGATCATTTCTTCGTTTAGGAAATCGCTTCAAGAACTTCCTTCTGATCATCCGTTTCACATTTCAAATCGTGATTTCGAATTGAAACCGCGGTTTAATTTCTCTGATGAGGAAAAGGAGGAAGCTTTGGGTGAAGCAAGAAAAAGTGTTGGTAAAGAGAAAGTGATACTTTACTTTACAAGTCTTAGAGGTATAAGGAAGACATATGAAGAGAGCTGTGATGTTCGGATTATACTAAAGAGCCTCGGAATTAGAGTGGATGAGCGAGATGTATCGATGCATTCGGGTTTCAAAGGCGAGTTGAAGGAGCTATTAGGGGATAAGTTCAACAATGGTGTTGGGATTACTTTACCTAGAGTTTTCTTGGGAAGGAAGTATATCGGGGGAGCAGAGGAGATTCGGAAGTTGAATGAAGACGGGAAGCTGGAAAAGCTTCTTGAAGGCTGCGAGAGGGTGGAAGAAAATCAAAATGGTAATGGTCAAGAATGCGAGGCTTGTGGAGATGTAAGGTTTGTGCCGTGTGAGACATGTTCAGGGAGTTGCAAAGTGTACTATGAGTATGAAGACGAAGACGACGAAGAAGAAGAAGATGATGATGAAAGTGTAAAGGAAGAAAGAGAGTATGGGTTTCAAACATGTCCTGATTGTAATGAGAATGGTCTCATTAGATGTCCTGTTTGTTGTGATTAGTTGTTTGAACATACACACAAGAAAAGGGAACCTTAAATTGTTCTTTTTTGTTTCGTTTACTAAATTTGAGTTATGAGTACTACTTGAGGGTTTTATTGCCTCTAAAGATTTTGTTGTACATAAAGAGGTTTTTGATTGTGAAAGTGTAAAATTGAAATTAGTAAGTGTTGTTGTCTATTCTTTGAAATTCTTCTATTCTTGCTTTACATTTTGTTTGACTCATATATTTAAAAGCAGAGTGTATTGACCGGAGAAAAGGAGAATTTGTCAAAACTCTAAATCTTTCTTTTTTCTTCGATATGTCAAACTAGACTTATGTTATGTTCATATTGAATATGATCATTTTAAATATACTTTAATTCAAAAAAAAATGTTATTTAGGTGGAAACTTTAAGAGGAGAGAAAACTCTCTAATCATATGATTCACATCAACATTCAAATAAGCATATTTTACTCATTTCTTTGGGATCTACATATCTAATTTATCAAAATTAAATATCACTAAAACTAAAATTAATTAACATACTTGATATTATTATCTTTATTAAAGGATAAGAATAATTAGCAAAAAAATAACCTATATATAATACGAAATGATAAAAATAGATAAATAACACAAAAATATGAAAAATGTGAATAGAGATTGAATAAATATAAATTAGATAATTCTATATTAATATATAATCAATGTGTAAATATTTGTAAATGGGTAGATATAGGAAAAACGAAACTTATCATATATATTTAATGGAACAAACTTTATATTCAAGATGTAACACCCCGATTTCAGGAATATGGTGGTGCATGCAGAGAGGTTTAAAAGATTTGATTTGGCCAGCTATGTCACCAAACTCCACAGTTATGCGTGTTTGGGCTGGAGTAGTTTCAGGATGGGTGACCTTCCGGGAAGTGATTGTCGCAACTGTGTGAGTGAGGACAAAACACAGGGAAAGATCATGTGGTGATTTGTAGGGTCGGTAAACAAGTCTTTAAAGTCTCCCGGACGTAGCGGACCGGCCGTCGGACAGGGGTGGGCCCATGGGCCCGAGAGAGGACGTGGGGCCTACTGGTAGGGATGGTCGGGGCGTTACAAGTGGTATCAGAGTTGAACCCAGACGAGTGTGGAGTCAAGAGGGCTCACACCGTAGGGGACAAAACACAGGGAAAGATCATGTGGTGATTTGTAGAGTCGGTAACAAACTCCGTCAGCTGCTGTGGATTCTTGACAACGTGAGCTTTCCAGGACATCTTATTTGTCATATGATTCACTCTCGTATGACGGGAATGAGTCTCACAAAACCCCATCTTAAAACTGTTCTTCCTGCTTCCTCTTTTCCCATCATCTTCTTTCTTTGCTTTGCCTAGCTTCGATCTGGTTCAGTCTTTTTCATTTAATTCTTTTCATTAGTTTTAAGAATCAGAACTCACTTTCCCACTGTTTCTCTTTCGTGGTGGTGATGATCACTCCTCTGTCACGACTCCACGTTCACCTCCGTTTACTTCTCTTCTTCTTTCACGATCTGCTCCATGTTCTTCTTCCTCCTTCGAGTTTCAGCCTTGGTTCAGATTGTTACTCCTCTGATCCGTTTCTCTTTATCCCCCATGGATCTGACTTGGATTATAGTATCTCCCCTAGGCTGCAGACATTTTCATTGATGACAACATCACAACACAACCAGTGGCGGAGGCAATGAAGAATCATGGGGGTCATGTGACACCCATGAAATTATGATTTTCAGTTTAACTTTTGTTAAAATAATTATTTGACACATGTCTAAGGAGTTATTGACACCCCTTAAAAATTTTATTATCCATGAATGTAGTTTAAAAATTAATATTTAACATTCTAAAGTTTGCAGTTTAATAATTTATCACAAACAAGTTTAAAATATAAATATGCTACTAATTTTGTTTATAGTTTAGCATATTAACATTATTGTTGGGCATTTTTGACAAACTGTTGGGCTTTAACGAAATTTTAATTGATTTTGTTGCTTAATTACTTAATTAAAAAATAATATTTTTTGGAATAAGTTGATTAAAAAAAAGTCAATTCCTAAATGTCGATAATAAAATTTTCAAAAATATCATTAAGATAAATATTTGTAGCCAAAAATTAAAGATGTCATTACAAATATTCATCTTAAAGATCTTTACCAAAAAAAAAAATATATTCATCTTAAAGATGAATTCTACGTTCACTCATAATTTTTAGAAAATATTTTTAAAATGAATATTTGTAATGATATTTTCTAATAAAATTAATATTTATAAAATAAAAAAATATTATGACCCTTCACTAATTTTTCTGACTAATGACCACAACGATGAGGGCAAACCAAAACGATGGTGGCTCTCTCTCTCTCTCTCTCTCTCTCTCTCTCTCTCTCTCTCTCTCCTCTCTCTCGCTATCTCTCTCTCTCTCTCTCTCTCTCTCTCTCTCTCTCTCTCTCTCTCTCTCTCTCTCTCTCTCTCTCTCTCTCTCTCTCTCTCTCTCTCTCTCTCTCTCTCTCTCTCTCTCTCTCTCTCTCTCTCTCTCTCTCTCTCTCTCTCTCTCTCTCTCTCTCTCTCTCCTCTCTCTCTCTCTCTCTCTCTCTCTCTCTCTCTCTCTCTCTCTCTCTCTCTCTCTCTCTCTCTCTCTCTCTCTCTCTCTCTCTCTCTCTCTCTCTCTCTCTCAGTGGTGACGATCTCATGACGTTGGTCCTCCGGTGACTCTCCCAGTTCACGACCTCTTGATTGTTGGTGGCTAGGGTTCAAGTCTTAATTGCTTCCTCTCTTCCAAAATGACAACAACCTATATATAGGCTTCTTATATACATATACACAACACATAACCATTTGTCTTTTAAGGGTTTTTACTTTACTTGGACTTTTCTTTTTATCAAAACAAATAGGGTGTGGGCTCTAGAAGTTGGGTTTGGAATGTTACAATTTTTGCCTAAGAAGACTCAAAAGTTCTCTTGAAATAATAAAATAATATATTAATTAGAATACCGAAATTAATTATTAAAATAATCTTTTAGTTATTCAAATATAATAGAGATAGGAGTATATAATATATAAAATTTCATTCGTCTTATCCCACAAAAGTAAAATTTCATTGTCTTTTTTGTACTCTTTTTCCCTCACAATATCCATCCATTTTTCCATGAAATCATAATCACCATTTTTTTATTGTATTCATTTCCCTTCGCATCTTTCACTATAATTACTTCGACATTGTTTCTCAAATTCATAATTTCTCATTTTATTTCCGGAATAATAAATTGTTCAAACTCTCTTTTTGATAGACGAAGCCGACTATTATAATCAACGTAAAATTGTTTCAGTTTCTTTTTAATGATCATTGAGTGATTTTTTGTAAACTCAATTCCAAATTGATATTTCTTGCCATTTTATAAGTTACTAGTTCCATATAAAAAAAATTCTTATAGATTATGGTGGATTTGAGAAGAAACCTCATCATCTATGTTTATATATAGTTGTTGTTAAAGTGTTTATAATTAATTTTTATTTTAATGTTTAAACATAATTATCGTTTTAGTTTTTTTTTTTTTTTAAATATTTTTAGTAATTATTTTTTAAAAAGAGACTACCTTTATATAAATTTCGGATGACAAAAAAAAAAAAAAGACTACCTTTATATACTTTAGATTTTATTTTATACTTCAATACTTCAATACTTTAGATTATAGAAAATACTTTAGTTTTGCATAAAATGAAGCTTATTGAAGTATTTTGTACCTATACCATAACTAATGAAAATAAAGACTTATTTACTTCAAAAGTCGGAATTGCTTTTGTTTTAGATAAATTAGATCATAGACATTAGTTAAATCTGCCTAACTTAACTAAGGCTTTAAAAACAATAAAAGACAAAGAATTAAACAATCAACATCATAAATAAGACATTAAACGCCTTGATGAGACTATTCACTTATGACCAAAGACATTCACTTGATGTGATCATTATAGAAGAAGAATCAAGAATTTAAGAAAGGATTACCTAAGGGTTTTGGTAATCAATTGAAAATAAACCAATAAAAAAAGAAAAAAAAACTAAGAAAAATCTTTAAAACTAGAAATATCGTAATATTTACATGCCTATGAGGCTAGAATACATAGGGTATTTATTTACAAGAGAATCAGTTTACAAAACCATATCCGACCAATTAAGGAGTTAAACCGATCGCTTTCAAGGTGTCTCCAATACCGATCAGTTCTATGCTGTTACCGATCGATATAGTGGTCATAACGTTTTAGCGCACACCTAAGTATGCAAAATGATAGTAAATAGTGTGAAACAATGAATGAAACTAAGCTAAAATGATGATGGATGAGTGATTAAAAAATGTAAAATATAGACATATCACTACATATGGAAACTAGGAGAACATCTAGACCACACAAGACATGTACCACACGAACTTTGTTACACCTTACCACAAAAGAACCCGCGGAGTTACCACTTGCAATATATGGAGCCGAAAGAGCTCAACTTGCAACGGCTCTTTCCTTCTTGTTTGTGCGCTTGTGTGAGACTCTTGAGACTCTCCAGAAGCTTCTAAGACGTCACAACTTTCTCCAAAAGTTGATAAGATACAAGGCACATCTCACTTGCTTTATTTAGACAGATTTTATACTTAATGGCCCAACGAACATATTTTCTTTTAATGTTGTAATTTGTTTCTTTGTTTTATTTTTTTAGAACGTTTGTACTCAGCCTATATAAGTTGATCATTAGTCTCATTGTAAAATACCCCTTCATCATTTTTAACGTAATAGAAATGTTTCTTCTTGTCAAAGTTTGAGTCTTTGTCATTTTGTTCTTTAGTTCTTTGTGAGTGAGTCACTTAGTACTCTAGAAACTTGCGAATTGAGTTTGTTGAGTGACGAATTGAGTTTGTTGAGTGATTCAACATCCTTCATTCATTCATTGATCGAGTGAGTTGATTATCTGACTGATTGAGCGAGTCAATCACCACATCTATCCATCGTACCACTCCTTGATTCACTGGAGAGTGCTTCAGAGCCAGCTCTTGAATTCTACCTTTTACATAACAAGCTTGGAAACTCTCGATCATTGAGTGATCAAAAGTTTGGATTAGTTCCAATCTTGCATCATTATTGAAGTCTACCAAAAATGTGATGACCTTACGGAAGACTGTTATTCTCTACAGAGTAAATATAAATCTACCGAATATATTGGTAAAGTCTGCAGACTAGAAATAAGTCTGACAAATATATTTTTGAGGTCTACCAACAATTGGTAGACTTTTACGCAAATCTGCAAAGTGTCTATATACTTATTGTAAATCTGTTGATAAATCAAAGTCTACCAAGAAACGCAGACTTTACGCAAGTTCGTCTTCAAAAAGTTAGCCAAAACATGGTAGAGTAGTTAATCTGACTTTTCATATTCAACATCAACACAACATTTGAGTATAGTTACATGGATCTCCATAGACGTTGAATACTGGTGATTAAGGATACTATTTCGTTAGTCTTTCACCATTGGTTTTAAACAAACATCCTACAAACCAAAGCGTATTAAGCAAAACGAATCATAATCAATCTTAAGAATAAATAAAATAAAAAAACAGAAGATAACTTACAGCTTTTTACTTCAATGATGTTCAAATAATTAGATTTGGAGTGTCAAATAGATGATTAACCAATTTTGTTTCTGATCGATAATAAGTTTTTTTTTAAACGTTGAAAACGAAGATACTTAATATTGTTGAAGATGAATTGTGGATATAGGCATATAGCCATGGACAATGGGTTGAAGATGAACGATGATTGACTACTAATTTCAAATTATTCCTTTTTTAATTATTTCCTTATACACTTGATTTGCTTATTAAATGATTTCCTGGAAATCTTTAAAAATCTTGATAGGTTAGTTTGGTTGTTTCTAATAAATTCTAGGTTATTGTAGTAAATCGTCCATAAGTACAAGCTACAACCAAATTTTTAAAAGGAGAAATTGGAAATAAAGGATATCTACTAAAAGATTTGTCCATATATCCCTTTTTCTGTAGATTGGTCAAATAGGTTTTTTAAAAAATCAAAACCCAACTTTACCCTCATTTTCTCTCAAAATTAATTCAAAAAATAAAACTTCATAATTGATTTTACAAAATTAAAATAGAAATAGAAAAATCACAAACCTCCAAATGAATAAGAGTCTTTCATAGGACGTAAAAAAAACACTGTTGAATGTACACTAACAACATTTAAAAGTAGATTTGTTAATATCTTTGAATTCCTGTAACTTGATTAGAGGTTTCAATTTCGTGAGTTTTAAACTTCCAAATTTCAATTGAATGTAGATTGAATAAGTCTTTCACTCTTTGATTCATGTTAATGTATATGTGTTTGGGTTCAAATTCATTGATTTAGGCAGAGTTTTATGACTGAAATCACAGTGTCATCAATGACCACATAGATCCATTGCTAGAGTTTGAATTACAAACATAGAGGTTGTTCTTTTTTTTCAACGTGGAGTCTACCAAATAAAAAGCTTTAAAGCCCAAGTTCAAAATATAAAAAGCTTTTATTCTCTGTTACTTTACACTAGTTGACATAAACACTGTTTTTTTTTTTAAGTTTACATAATATACCTTCACTTTCATGTCTGTCGGTGTGTGTATTGGATTATACATATGTGGATAGACATGTACCCGTAATTACATATGTATTTACATACGTGTCTTGTTTATTGTTTTAGTTATAGGTTTTGTCTCTTGTAAATCTTCTTCAGCTAAAGACATCCACATATGGTCATTGGAAATATCTTTAATTTCTTAGTTCATGTTTAAATCTTTATTCAAGTTTGTTTCTGCTTTACATTCATGCATGTTGAAGACTGTTTTTGTGTTTCCTTAATTCTTGTGTGTGTGTTTGTACTTTTTCTTGTTTTTAATAGAATCTCCTCTTTATATTGTGGCTCATTTTCTTAACATGAAATCAGAACACAAGTTTATGAAATTAGAATTATTTTGTGATCCTTCTTGAGCTGTTTAGATTTTTGATTTGAAACTCTCAGCTCTTAAATTTTGACATTGTGAAGCTCTTAGGTTTATTTTTATATCAAGCGTTTTTTCTCTTAATCACTTTCAATATTTGCTAAAGCTAGTTTGTTCTCTATTTTCAGGTTTTGGATCTACATTACATCAAAGGTTATCAATGGAAAACAATCTAGGAAGCACGAGTAAGACATCATGTACTTTAACATACAAATTTTTGTTTGCTAACTGCAACTATGCACTATAATTAGTCATCACTGTGAATGGTTTTATTTACATATGTTTGCTTTTTATGTGCAGCCACTGCTAAGGAGTTTCCCAAGCGCCTTTTCGGACATGGTAAAGAGCCTGAAGTTGAGAAAATTAACAACAAAAGGAACGTGGAAATGTTTGTATACATCATCCCAAGGATTGTGAAAGACGTGCACGGGAAGGTATATGGAAAAGTCCCTCTATTGACACAATATGAGATAATAAACGTCAAGGTGCCTAAATATCTGAACACTTCTATGTGTGACTGCGGAGTGTATGCGTTGAAACACATTGAGTGTCATATGCTTAATCTAAGCATGGATTTGATAAACGATGGGAACATCAAAGAGGCGCGCATGAAGATTGTTGTAGACCTTTGGGAGGCTGCTCATGATCCTATCTTAATTGAGCGAATGAAGAACTATAAACCTCCACATCAATCGTCGGATATCCTTGAAATTGATTGAGATTAATTAGCATTATGGTTTTTTTTTATCGTGCAAACAGATTATGTACTAGTCTTTGTGCTTATCTGTTTTATACGTGTTCTACTCATGTATAATTTGATCCATTACAAACTTGATTATGAACACAACCATTAGAGACGAACTCAGTAACAAAAAATGATCATAAGTAGAAGTGAATCCATAGTTCAAAACTAAACCACGGACTTAACTAATATTGAATCCATAAATCAAAACACAAAAACAAAAATATAAGTATAAGTGAATGTAATACTCAAAACAGCAAAACGAAAATTATTAGAATAAAATCAAAAACTCAGAACTGAACCCCGCAACCTCCCACGAATTTTTTCATCAATAATAAATCTCCACTCTTTCTTGTTATACAATCTCCATACACCACTCCTTACGTAGATGTGCATCGAGAAATCGTTGATCAAAAAAGGGAAAATTTGAAGGAAAACGTGTTCTTAGCTTTTTAGAAACGAAAGTGGTGGACTAAGACGTGTAGGATTAAGACATGTAGCTTTTTAGGGTTTAGAAAACGTTTTAGGTTTTAATCTTAGTCTAAAAACCGTAGACAACAACTTTTACATCTTGTAGATCGTAATCTAAACAATAAATATTCATTTAAATCGTAATCTAAAAAAAAATTTGTTTCCTTTTCTGAATATTTACTTTCTATATTTAGAGCATTCTAAAAATTACAGAAATCGAAATCTGCAATACCGTAGAATTTACATTCTAAACGAAGATTACAATTTCTAAGGATGGCAGAAGATGTAGAAATTATTAGAACGTCTATTTTAAAATATTTAGAACATAGAGAAAAACGTAGAATGCATGTTCTAAATATTTTAGATATATGATTTTCGGATTTTTAAAATTCTCAGAACAGAAATCTAATCTGAAATATGTAGAACATGTACAAAAATGCAGAATACACATTCTGAGTTTCGCAGAACTCTAGAAAACCTGTTCTACCAAAATTAGATGAAACTTTATCCATCAAAAAATCAACTTTTTTTAAACCAAATCTAAAAATTTCCACTTCAAATCACCTCTACTCTTGTATATCTACCTGTTTTTATGATTATTTTTTAAAAAAAACATTTAAATTAGGGTGTAGGGGTAAAATCGTCCAAACTGACAATCTCACAAAAAAGGTGTATATGGACAAATTTTTTAGTAGATATCCTTTATTTCCAATTTTCTCTTTTTAAAATCCAAATTACAGTCATCGGAAACAGTAACAGTCTAAACCAATCAGCCACAAAAAAAAACATATATCAAAAATAGTATTAACGAATAAAACTGGCAGTCATTTAAATCCATATAAACTACTTTTAAAAGCACCCCCATTACATTTATTTTGGAGTGTCTTTAAATTTTGAAAAGATTAATAAAAAAAAGTGAAAAACAAAAATGAAAGTGTCTTAAAATGGGAAGGAATGTCTATAGGAAGTCATGTCTTTAAATTTTAATATTAAATTATGTTTAAAACACCCATCAAAAATTTATGAATGGAGATGATCTAACATACACCAAAAAATTTCCAACAAGATTTGTCGGACATTCATATACACAGTCATGATCATGAGTGTAACACCCGTCCCGCCATATAGGCCAAGACAGCATGTTATTCATCCGGTCTTGCCAAAACATTTTCTTCAAACTTCATCTACGAACAAAACATTGCACAACAACTCGTGAAACTTATTCACCTGAGAAAAAAAAGGGGGAAAAGGGGTGAGTAAAGAATACTCAGTGAGGGGAATCAACTCTGCCCACTGAAACATAGAACACTTTCTTAAGCTATACAACAATAATCATAACATATAAACTTAGACACTAGCAATCACATAACATTATTTGCTAAACATAACAACAATCATTACATTCATCTTAACCACATAACCATACATATACATCGTTAGGTCCATTCATCCTCGTGACGACTAGAACCTCCTGAGTGGAGGCTGGCCCTCGTGGCTCAGACACTCCCATTCCGGGCTCGTCAGTCGTTCTTGACCAGCTGTTAACTCATCGGTCCATCACTGTCCATCATTCATACATACTCATAATCATACTTAACATTTTCATACATAACATCACCTTATCAAACATCATACTAACACATATCAAACTCAACAATCATCAAGTCATATCATCACATAATCTTATCCTATACAATCAGATCTAAGCCTACATATCATGCGTCAAGAAGCATAACAAAAGAAAATGATACTATGCTTCGCAAATACCACCCTAACCTTAGCCTACTGAAGACGAAGACTCACTTCTTCTCTTTTAGACCAATTTACTACAGAGCTTTAACTGCATACTCCTGAGCTCCATATTGGTTCTCCATCAATACTGACCTAATTCCATGAGTCATTAGAGCTCCTGAAAATCTTCAGCTCAAACCAAGCTCATTTACCCAACCAACAACACCAACTCGTCACAATTTACTTCACACAAAACTGTCTCGGAAAGATATGTATAAATCAATAACTAACCGTTAGAAACGTAATCCCACCGTTGAATATGTAGCCACTAGTGTCATGAACCTCTCTACCAAATTTCGTACCGATCGGAATGGTTTCAGACCTCCAAACGTTACCTCGAAAAAGCCAATACGAAACTGTTTTCAACAGTTGCTTGTCCTTAAAGAAACGTGCATAACTTCTCGAATATAAACTCGATTGCAACTCTGTCAGCGGCTGTGGATTCTTGACGACGTGAGCTTTCCAGAGGAATCTTGAAACTGTTCTTCCTCCTTCCTCTTTGCTTCTATTCTGCTTGGATCAGCTCGGATCTCCTTCTGTCTCCACTTCTCCTTAGTATTATAAACCAGATTTCCCTCTCTATATGACTTATATTCGTGGTGGTGATGATCTCTTCTCCTCTGCGACGGTACGCCTCCATATCTCCGTTTGTTCTATCTCTTCACCTCTTCCTTTGATTTTCTTTCTATATGGATCACGATTGGATCTATTTCTTCTCTTTGATCTGCGCCTTCTTCTCCTTTCTCTTCAATTATTTCTCTCGACAAAAGCTGCTAGGGTTTATTTATCTCAACCAAGAAGGAGATACTTACATATGTATATATACATGTTGTTTTTTTTGGTCTTTCATTCACATGGGCCTTAAATGAGATATATCACAATATCAAAACAAATTAGCCCAATATTGTGGGAGTGGGGTGTTACAATGAGCTTTTTCATACTTCCTCCGTATCCAAAAGAATGATGTTTGAGATTTTATTCTTGTATCAAAAATATTGATTTTCTGTAGTATATTTAATGCATTTTTTTTTTCAAGATCAATTGATTGGAGTATGTGGGATAAATAGTAGGTTGAAATTAACTTTTTAAAAGATATAACACAAAAGTAAGTAATAAATATACATCATTTATTATTTTCTTAATTTTGGTGAAAATCTTAGAAAATCAATCTTTCAAATACGGAGGGAGTATTTATTTATCATCGTTAAATGGAGATACCCCTCATTACCTCGTCAACCTCAAAGTCATTTATAGAAATGCAATAAATATGACCCGGTTCTTACCCAACAAATAATTAATAGTTAATATTAGTAGTTGATAACAAATTTCAAAATTTGAGATAATTATCCATTAATTTCAAAATCTTCCAAAAAACTTAACTTCTTTACGGTTGACAAAAAAAAAAACTTAACTTCTTTACATACAAAAGTCGAAGCACTAGTCTAGATAAAGAGATGCATGATCGGTCAAGATAAGTAAGAAGTAGTTTTCTTTACAGACTGTTCAGATTTGGTAAAGATGGTGTCTTCTCCGAAAGAATAGTCGGTTTTCTCAACATATTTAAAGACGATTCTGAGCGACAAGAAAGAGTTGATTATTGTTTTATCTTTAATTTCTTGTAATACAAATGTAAAAGCGGATCTCACACGAAAAATTCGTACTCACCCACATAACATCACTTATATAAATAATGTTCTTCAACATTGATTTATATGAGTCAATATAATATAGTTGTTGAAACAAAAAATAGTCATCTAAAGATTATTCATTATTTATTTCATTCAGCATTTGTGTTTTGGATCTTTAACTGACACAATCGAGTTTAGACATCACAATGTCCATTACTCATTTAATAAATATCACATATTTAAGAGACAACTGACTATGATGAATTAATGTAAATAGCTGGACCAAAATTCGGAAGTTCATAAAAGATAAAACACGTCACTTGATAATATATTAAGGACGATAAAGATTACATATATAGATAAATTAATAAATACTAACATTATAAAGTTATAATAAAAAATATTGGAAGGTTACATGAGTAAGCTTCTAATCACGGCAGCTTCAGGGCTATCTTCATCAACAGAGTCAAGAAGCTGCGACAAACGATCACTGAGATTGTCAACTTCTCTATGCAATTTCCTTATGTAGTTACATGTCTCTTGTAGTACCTTTGATGCTGACACCTATTTTGAGAAAATAATATTGTTAGGAATCTACATTTTCGACAAATATCATTAATAAGACCATGTATATACACACACATGTACGAACACCACATAAACAAGACTTTTTCGAGGTTTTTATTTGGTCAAAATAGAAACCAAAAATGCTGTCAGGAGTCAAAAGTTCCGACTTTTTGGTCTCTTCTTTTTGATTTATATGTCTTCCCATTTTCTTTTAACGAAAAGAGAATTTTCTTTTTAGCAAAAAGAAAAAAAAAAAGAGAATTTTCTTAGTTTTTCTTATATATATGTATGAAAGAGGTCAAATGGACTAGGTATCGTTAGTTCAACTAATAAACCCTAGACGAACTTTCGAGGTTGCCAGTTCGAGTGATGTTTGGGACGAAACTAATATTACATGTTGTGGTTTTAGGTCAGGAGGAATTACAAGTTTTGGGCCAGAACCACTTGGTATTCAAAAAAAAAAAAAATAGAGGTCAAATGAAATGAATGTGTGTATATGTAGTATACCTTATCAGAACGACGCCGTTCATGAATCTCTGGCAAAAACTGACGAAGCTTACTAACGAGGTCGATCATCTGATCATCGGAGATTCTTGAAGCACTCGAAGATTGTCTTGATCTTCTGTTAGACATTTTCTTGTTCTTACTTTTTGATTAGTTGTAACACTACAATGCCGTAAGAAAAATGACCTTTAAGTTGTGTTCTTTCTCTCTATTTCTAGATTGGATAATAGAGAAGAGATAGAGAGAGAGAAGGGTTGTTATTAAGAAGAGAGTTAACAAAAAGTGAGAGAAGCTATGAAGAGGGTTTATGTTTATTCCACAAGTTGTATATTTTGTTGAAGAGGTGTGAAAGAAGAAAAAGAAGAGCAAAGGAAAAGAGAAGACAAGAGAAAATTGTAAGAAAGTGTTTCGGGTTATAGAGACACTTAGAGGTATAAAGAAAATGAGAAAGTGATATGAGAGATTTAAAGAGGTCAAGGACCACATGGGAGAGAGAGAAGAGATCAATAAACCTAGACAATGATGTAATGGGAGAGAAAGAGATTTGAATCTTTGATAAAGCCTCATACAAAATTCGTTTAAATAAAATTATATTTTTCTTTTATCTCATATACATATAGTCACCTAGATGTAAAATGAATATAGAATACTATTAGTAGTTTTTTTCTATTAGTTAGTCAAGATAAGTAATCAATTTCTTTTACTAAAGGCATATATTTGGGATTAGGCCATTCTAAAATGTAAATTTTAAAACTAAGTGTGGATTTACACTGTACAATTTATGCAAAACAATCATATAATTTTTTATGACTTTATAAAATTAATAATATATGTATTGATATGTGGTGATTTTTATGAAACAATTGTGGCTGTGACAAAATATCTAGTTAGAAACTAGTAAAAATATTAATAATTGAAACTATGGTATAGAGTATAATTATGGTGAATAATGGACGAGGATTTTGGATTTTTTTTGGATTTTTTTAATGGAGAAATAGATGAAAAAAGCTGAATGTTCCCAAAGCTAGTATTGAAGTTGAAGTGGGATTTAAGAGCAGTGTTCCATGTTGAGCTAACAATGTGGCCCTTTATGTGCATGTCACTAAAAGGCAATACCATGTGATGACCTTGACTTTCTATTTTCATTTCATTACTATTTACGATATTATTCCACCTTGGATTAATAGAAAGATCTAGAATTGATCCAGGAAGTTTGTAGTTGATCCGAAGTTTATAGACCTAACTCTTTGTCATGTAGGATATGTCAACATAACTTATATGTGTGTATAGTAATCAAAATCCATTTAAAACAGTTGGTCTAGTTGAATTAGTGTGTTCACATGCCTTTAGAACTTATTACACATTGCTTGTAGTAGTACAAGAATTTTGAATCAGTGAGTTGATATGCCATGAATCTATCTGGACCGGAATTTCAGTAACGACCGAAAGCGTTGTAATGTTAGTTATCATAAAAAATGGAACATGTCTGTATAAAACTTTTAATCTAGAAAAAAATGAGTATTTTGATATGACTGAAATTTAAAATAACAAAAATACGAAGATTTAATATAATATCAAAACAAAAACAAAATTTATCGGATGGTTCGGTGAACTATTATAAACGTCTGGTTATTAGGCTTTTTAAAGTTATTTCAACTCTTCCTTAGTATGATATTGTCCGCTTTGAGCCTAAATGTCTAAGCCTGCACGGATTTGTTTTGGACTTTTTTCTAAAAGATCTCATACTAATTAGAGTTAGACTTGACTTATATACTAGACTATTATTTTCTAAATTTTCGATGTGGAACGTTGGTTTGTATCCCAATAATAGTTACCGTCTAACAAAATACATTGGGTTAGAAAAAGAAAAAAAAATAGCAGCGTGGACTTTCATTCGGTCTTGCAATTGATTACCCAAAAAAAAAGTAGCCATGATAAGTTCGTCTGCTTCCTAATTTAACTCCTATGTTTCGGAAGCTTGGGATCTAGTTTACATGATGTTTAATGGCATACATGTCCCATGTGGTTGCTTAAGATCTCAGATTAAGCCTCTTTAGATTCTAAATCATGATTACCACGGGGACACAAGGTACTTAATTATGTCCTTTATTTGTGTACATTGTTTGCATAACATACAAAAGTGTCAATAAATTAGGAAAAGTCCACTAATTAATTACTATTAAATCTAATCAACAGAATCTTGTTTGACGTTTTAACAACAACAAAAAATAAACTGAACCATGTTTTCTCATCCAACTTCCAAACTAATAGGAAAATATCTATCAGGATTAATAATTACAAATTTAAACTTAAGGAGAAGTTTTGTAATTATTAATAGCTAATAGTCTTTTTTTATGATTTAGAAACTTAAAGCAAAAATAATTATAAATGTCGATTTAATTATTTAAAGCAATAGTGGGAGGCGAGTATATTAAATTATTAATAGCTTATTTTCTACAATTCCCAAATTATTGGATTTGAATCCATGTTGTGATAAAGGAAAAAAAAACATATCAATCAAAATGTTCACACTAATTATTTTATTTCCTTTATTTCCCGTCCTTTATGGGGACATCTAAGTATGTGATTGTTAAAGCATTGTTTGCCTAAGCATCACATCACATTGATTATTTTTGTAATAACATGGTTGTTTTATCCTCTATTTGAACGAAATGCTTTTAGTATTAAACTCATTTGAATTAACAAAACATAAACAAATAGGTATAGTCTAATTGTACTGTTTTATTGATTTTTGAACCCGGGAAATTAATTTTCTACATTGGTGACTAGTCTATTGATCTAAATATAATTGCAGATTTGCATGGAACAATAAAATAAATATAGTTATTACGAAATGTGTCGAACAAAGGGTGCAAAATGAACAGAGTAAAATTGAATGGTAATCATAATTAATAAGATTAGTTATAATTAACAAATAAATGTCTAAATTTTTGAGTGACCGGAACGTAAACACGCATGTCGTTTGGAAGAAAAGAGGATAATAACCGCACCTCGTAATTGAAGGCGTATTAAAGTTATCTACATAATAATATTGTTTAACCATTCGTAATTATGAAGAGTAATACATCAAAGAGCATAAAAAATTATACGTATTAAATTGGTATTGTCTTTGTTTCAGGTAAATTATGAGCTTTGCCTATATTTTTTCTATTTCTGATCATAGTTTTTGATAGTCAAGTCTCTAGTCTATTTGCAATGTGAGTTTAAACTCATAATTTTACAAACGAAAAAATATCTTTCAACCAAATTAGTCATCTTTGTTGTATTACTATAGGTTCTAACGATTTTGCGTATTTATTCATGCGAAACTTTTTTTTTTTGATAATATATTCAAGTAAAAAACTTACATTATATTATTGGTGTTGTATGTAAACTTACCATCTATTATCCGCGGATTTCAAATTTAAAATTAGCTCCGAATAGTTATTCTACACAGAATAGAGCAGACAAAGCCTACCAAAAATGGTATTGTATTTTTTGCGCTAGTTTTTATAATAAATTTCTGTGTTATACCATGCATTTATAACGATATTGACCAAATACACGAATTATTCACCATAAATATATATGATGTATATCAAGAGCCCTTGTTTGAGGAGGTTCGTTCTCGTATTTGAATAGAAGCTAATCACTATGTTTTGGCTCGGTTTTACCTTAAAACTCGGATTTGTTTTCAAAGATTGTCGCCATTATAACTTCTGGATTTGGTTGACGCAGCCATACTTGGGTTGACTCCACCTTTTCAGTGAAAAAAAGAAGAAGAAAAGAAATGAAAAATCAAGTACCTAACCAAAACTCACTCTATTCTTTTGAAAAACAATGCACATAAATGTAGACATTATATATAAAAATATAATGTAAATTAATAGCTAAGGGATATGTAACATGTTAGTCCATGTGGGTTTCACGTACTAAATGTTAGGCCTCTTAGGCTCCACGATGTTTTTATGTCTAACGATACCTTTTGATTTTTCCTATCTATTTTGGTCCATTCAAACATAATGTAACAAAATAAGATTATTCAAATATAAATTTATCTATAAATAATGAGAAAAGCAGCCATATGCAATAATTGAATTTTCCGATATACTAGTTATTTATATATTTTTAATTTGATAGTAAAAATCTCGTAGTTAAGGTTTATGCTGCGGAATCAACGTAGTTTAAGCTATACGATTTTACCAAAATGCGTAATAATATACTATTATTCAGCTTGCTATAATAGTGACTTCAACGAGTCATAATACGTCTTGACCTTTTTATAAGTACTGGAATATTGTATAATATATGCGATAACTAAAAAAGTTTGTTTTAAAGACATGAAATTGTTTACAAAAAAAAAAAAAAAAAGACATGAAATTATGCCCCGACAAAATACTTAATGATGTTTAAGCACACTTCACCTACCTTTGCTTTGCGCTCAACAAAATACTGATTGGTAAATTTACCAATAAATAATTGTTCTAACTCCTACACTGGCTCCCTTTTACCAACGTCGAATGTAAAAAGGTTTACTGATATAGTTAAAACAGAGAGTATATCGTAAATGCATGGTAAAATGTTGCAGTAGTAAGAGTCTTACTACTGCATGTCAATCGGGCTAGCCCGGCCTATTTGAGTCCAGTCCGGCCTGGCATGTAAAAATTCTGAGCCTATATTTTAAAGCCCGGCCTAGCCCTAACAGGGCTACAGGGCTTTTCCAGGCTTTTTTGAGTTTTTCTTCCGATAACAAAAAGCAAACTTATAATTTATAATATCTCTTAAAAAAGAATAACGAGTCAATCAAAATTTAAATAACCACTAACGCTAATTTAGTTTTTAAAAAAGAGAGTTAAAATCAAATAAATATTCCAAATAAATTATTTAAACTTATACTAGATCAAATATAAAATCAAAATAATTCAAATTAGGTAGTAGAGCTAATATTTGCTTTTTCGATTTATAGTAATACACAACAAAAAACTATGTTTAGGGTTTTCAACTCTATCAAAAAAAAAATTTACAACAAATCTTACAATTAAACGAAAATATTAACAAAAAAAAAGATCAAAATATTTTTTAAAGGGCTTTTCGGGCTAGTCCGAACCCGGCCGGGCTAAGCCCAAAAAATCCTTTAGCCCGAACGGGCTTAACCCGAAAG